CAGAAGGTTCCACCCAAAACCCGTATAGTACTCCACAAAAACCTAAACGGAAGCCTAAGTATAGGGTACCTAGAAAAGCGGTCCGCCGCAAACCAACCAAAAAACAACCTACTAAAGCAACAAATCGCAGCAGCCTATCAAGTACAGTCCGCCACGGACCAACTCAATCAGGCAAAATAGAGCTACAAAAACATCCCAAGCAACAAAAAAAAGCAGCTACAGAATATAAACGGAACCCTGTTTTACAAAGGAAAATACTACCTCCTAGCAGCTCTCCAAAAAGAAGTTATCAAAAAACTTTATAAAGCACCAGCACATAGCCACCAAAGCATCTAAGCCACATACCTAAAGCTAAAACAACACTAAAACTTCCCTAACGCAAAATAAGAAATAGCCCAAATCATCAACAAATACAACCTCTGCAATAAAAGCAAGCCTATAAAATATAAGCCATATAGGCTATTACAACCACTACCAACGCCAAATAAACCATAAAAATTAATTAGCTTAAACTTTATTATTAAACTTCCCCCATCTAAGGAACCAATAACAGGAATCAGCTATAATAGCATCCTAATCATAATAAACAAATTTATAAAGTATACATACTTTATACCCTACAAAAAAGCCAGCATAGCAAAAGAACTTACTTATACATTCCTCAAAACAATCGTTAGCTAACATAGGCTACCAGATAAAATCGTATCTAACCAAGATAAACTATTTATATTAAACTTTTAATCCTCTTTAATAAAATAACTAAAAGCTAAGCATAAACTTTCAACAACAGCACATCTACAAACAAATAGGTAAACAGAATAACTTAACCAAATATTAAAACAATATATACACTACTATATCAACTACCAGCAAAACAATTAGGTACTATTGCTACTGTTAGCATAATTCGTATATAACAGTACGAATATATATATTACTAATATTTTGCTATTTTATACTAATTACAAATTTAATCTAAACATTTATCAACACCTAATTTCTAATATAGAAGTATTATAGGCTACTAACTATACAAAATAAATTAAAAACATTTATAAAAAAATTATAGTAAACTTAGGATTTATTTAAAAATATATAATAAAATAAGTAAACTAATAAAGGTTAAAAGGACCAACCTTTAAGAGGGGAGATATAGTTTACCTATTTTGTAAAAAACAAATTAAAACTAAGCAACCTAGCAACAAACTCAACTTTAAAAAGATTAAACCATTCAAAGTTAAAAAAAAAACATTAAAAATAAACTATAAACTCGCGCTACCAAAAAAAATAAAAATCCACCTAATCTTCCACATTTCTATATTAAAACCTACACCAGCCAACACAACACCAGCCACCAGCATTAAGCTCAACAACTACAAACTAAAATACAAAGTAAAACGCATCCTAAACCACCAAACATATAGGAAAACAACAAAATACCTAGTCAAATAGAAGAATTACAGCAACAAAAATAATTTATAAGAACTTATTTAAAACCTAGCAAACTACTAAAAAGCACTTTAGATATACTATAAGATAACTAGCTAGAAAAATCCATATCAGCAAACTCTATTACAAAACCCCAATCCATAACACCAAAACCCCCATTCTATTAAACATTAAAAACAGCTTTAAACTTTTTGGCTATAATTCGGTTAACAGCCTCAGCACAATCAGCCTCCTCAAACGCATCCAAAACAGCTAAACCTTTATTCACCAAACCAGCCCCACAATAAACTAAAGACTCCCTTTAATAATGTAAACGATCCAAACAGGCTATTGCCTTACTTACCCAACAATGAGCCTTACGTAAGGCCTTTTAGGCCTTAAGCTTTTAAAAACGCAACTTCTTTTCTTCCACAATAACCCAAAATACTAAAGAAACAGTCAGAAAAAAAAAAAAAAAAAAAAAAAAAAGAAAACAGAAAAACAAGGAAAACCAAAACTTATAAGCACTCATTAGCACCCCAGAGCCATCACACCTCTTACCTCGCTTAACGCAAACAGAACAATGGGAAACACCCTCTATCATCCAACAAAACCACCCCTTTACAAAACAAAACAAACAAAGCATAACTTCAAAGCCTAACAACTTGATGAATGTAAACAGTCGATCACGCTAATCCGATTTCTTAGAACGCGGTTTCTCTACACGCAACAGCATAATTATCAGCGGAACAAACACAACAAACACAAAGAAGGAAACAGGAGAGAAAAGGACTCACCTAGATTCTTCAGGGACAAAAAAGTAATAGAAAAGGGGAATAATATTATGAATGTGATAGGAATAGAACTAGGGGAGCATTATTGGTCCCCTAAAGGCGCAGATAAACCCCACAAGCCAGTAAAGCAGGCTTAAAAGGATTTGCTACATAACAGAAGCAAGTCACATAATAGAGCAAAAGGATAACTAAAACAACTAAAGCAACGCTTCGCTCCAAATAATCCAAATAATCCAACGCTCCTATCGCTCCAAATAAGCAACGCTCCAAATAAGCTGCTAAAAGCAACACTCCCATTACTCCAGCTAAAAAAATAAACTATATAAATCACGCTCATTACCAGTAGATAGCATTAGCTTAAAACAGCTTTTTAGCAGTTAATTTAAGTATTTACCTAAAATAGCTGTAAAGTTTTTAATCTACTATTATTACATATTGCTTAGAATATTACCACTTTAAACGTTCCCTAAACATAAACCTGCTTACTAGGTTTATTAGCTAAAAACTAGCTATAATTATTATAATACTACCCAATATTTAATAAATATTCCTAATTAAATTTTATAATACTAATACTTATATACTAAAAATTAATTAGTTAATTAACTAATTTTATATTTCTACTATCTATTACCACTTATTAAATTTACTAAATTTATTAAATCTATTAATTACACTTTTTTTTCTTATTTTATCTTATCTTATTATTACTTAATATTTAAAATAAAGTTATATTAATATTATTAATTAAGCTAGCTAGTACTAGCTTAGCTTAAAAGTCTATCCTTATTTATTTATCCTTTAAATAGTAGAATTATAAATCTATAAACTATTTTAAAATAAGGTTATTTATAAGGTAAAAGCAATTATTAAATATTAACTTAAAAAGTAATTTTAATAATAAAAGTATTATAGCAACTTTTATTTAAACTTAATAAATCTACTTATTTTAAAAACCCCTAAATAAATTTAAAAAAATTAAATACCTAAATTATTTAAATATTTAATTAAAGCGTATAAGTAATTATTTTAATTATTAAAGTTTTAAATTTAAGTTATATAAAAAATAGTTTTTAAAAAGGTTTTTAATACCTATAAGTATATATATATACTTAATAAAAAACTATTAATATATAAATTATAGTATTAGTATTTATAGTAAGCTAATTAGTTTATTAGGCTTATAGCTATAAGTAAGCCTTAAAGGAATACAGCCTTTAGCTGCTTCCTATAACCAAGCAAGCAACCCATACCCAAATAAATACTAACATCCCCAAACGCACATTATATTCAAATACATAACCCAGCTAACACCCGCAAAGGATGCCCTAATCAATGACCAAGCTGGAACCAATTAAAAGAAAATTTGATGGAAAGTCACTTATGTTGCTCTAGCATCAATGGTTGCTCAATTCAAAGTTGAGATGAGATGAGATGAGATGAGATTCAGTTGATGCTAGGGATTCTGTTCTTCCTTCTACATTTTATTATATCATCAACTTAGTCCTCAAACTGTATATCATGGGAAGATGAGTGATAACATGCATACATCAAAATGTGAAGGACAAAGAGCGTAAAACGGGCCTGCTCAAAACCTATCAGAGAATCTGGGTGTAGGTGTATCGTCTGCTATGTGCATATACAGAACGAGCGACATGGACTAGGAAATGAGCATGATTTGGTTGTTTGTCCTATCAAACCATTCCTCTACTTCCAGAAGAGAGAAGAGCGCTCTATTCAACCTAGACTGCTGATGCCTTACATGCCGCAGAAACCCATGGTACAAAGAGGTCAAAGAAGTCAATGTCCCGGAGTGAATATCCGATTCATGGTCTTGAAACTACCGGTCCTGGAGAAAGCATCCCAACTTGTATCTCACCATGAAACGTGAGTTCTCTTTCCACTCCATATTTGTCTGTGGCTCTTTGTCAGCAGTAATTGCCAGCCTCGAAACTTAAAAATTGATAAATTTATGATGATTATTTTAGAAACCCGCACAAAACGAACCACAGTCGCCGCATTTGTGAAAATTGAGAGTAGATATCCGTTTGAGCATGAAGTATGAATTTCTGTGTCAGAAAGTTCAGAGCAGTCTCTGATATACGAGCTCGGTGGACGGTGGCTATGAAGCCCACTCGTCACTCGATCACCGCCATCGTGCAAAGATGGCAAGCAAACAGACGCATCATCACTCAAGCCAGGGCTTATCAAGCCGAGAAGCCTCAAGTGGCTCGTTGTTGATCTCGTCCAAGTCCAGTATAAGATCTTACGGTCAAAGCAATTGTCGAAGATGGTTGTCAGCTGAAGGTGTACAGATTGCATAGCCAAAAAAAACCAAAAAAAAAAACCCACTCCCCGACTTGCACGAGCAGCTGTGAATAATTTCGAGGCATCTTGCAAGACAAAAATGAATTTATAATACAGCCGTGATTCTCGTACAAGAGTGATTAAAAAGAGAGCAGGCCGGGTATATCTAAAACCATCACTATGCCAACCATTCCATTTCTTCCGGGATCCAGGCTCTAAGTCCTTGGGTTGGGTATCCTTCATATCATCATAGCGTCGTGTCCATGCCGGTCTCGTCCTAACCAGACCGTACTCATTACATTACCATTTGACTGCCCAATTTATTGCCTGCACGATTTCTTCCACCACCTGTCATTCGTGACTCATTAATTACCCAGGGGAAAAGAAAAGCCAAGGAGCGGTTTCCTTTCAGAGAACAGAAATGGCCCGGAGTATCGGGCAGCAGGTGGCAGCTGCGACGTGTGCTTCTTCTCAGAAGACATCATCCTCGTCGTCCATTACACCCTCCCACTTCCGCGCTGTCAACTTTCGAGATCGGACCCGCTTCACCGGACTGCCACCTGCGTCCGCCCGGCTTCTGCTATTTGCCCGACTGTTGTTGGCACTCGCAACCCTCCTGAGGTCTTCCTGGCCTTCTTTCAGGCTCAGGCTCTCCATCCGGCGCTGCAGATTTTCCGGATGGATGTTCTCATTGATGTTTCGGCTGACGCGGGTCGCCAGCGCCTGTCGAGGACTGCTATTCGTGCTTGTTGTGATGTCCTCCCTCTCAGCCAGCGGGGTTCTCTTACTGGGAGTACGCCCGGCAAGCTCTCTCTTGAGGATTGTGACTTCGCGGCGTAATCGTGCGTTCTCCTCTTCCAGGTTTTCGACCAAAAGGTTTTCTTTGTTGACGACACAATCATCCTCGCTCGCCTCAGCTGCAATCATCTGGGTCCTTTCGAACACTTCCAACTTCCGATCCCAGTGCTCCTCGCCCCTCTCAATTGCCATCTGCATGGCTGCCTTCCACCTTGATAGCTCCACAGCGAGCCGCTGCTCAAATTCTGCAACGCAGTCTTCGCGCACTGCCTGTTCTAGCTCCAACATTTTGTCCTCCATTGTCAGAAGATGAGCCTCCGCCGTTTCTCGGGCCTCTTGCTCACGAGCCAGCGACTCGCGAAGGTGATTGGCCTCTTCAGCAAGCCGTGCGATCTCCAGAGCCGCGTTCTCCATAGTAACACGGTCTTCAGACGGCATAACGCTGTGTGGTGTGAGAGTCCGATGCAGGTTCGGGCTTGTGGGCCCCGGCGGGAAGAACGGTGATCGCTGATACTGCAGGACCGGAGACGTAATTGGGCTTGAACATGAGTGGGCTTGATTAGAGTTTCTGTGAATAACCTGACCTTGAGGGTAGGCATGCGCAGTATTTGCCTGCAGGATTGTCTCCGTTATGGAGGGTATGCGTGGGACAGTGACTTCTCGGGCGAGGGCGCTGTATCGGAGGATTTGTGATGTCGCATTGAAGTCACCGTGCGGATCTGCGGTCACAATCATTACAGCCTTTTGTGGGTTTCGGCGGATGGATTGCGATTGACTGAGAGAAGACGGAGACGGAAACGAGTTTGAGAACAACAGCTCAGTAAGTTTGCATTGCCGGAATGGCACGACACCGGGCTGCAATGGAGGGTCAGTTACCAGCCCTCGAAAAGCCAACGGATTTCTCACCTTGCTGTTGCTTCCAACGTCACTTTGCATCTGCAGGCACTGGCCGAGGTACATCAGGCTCTCATTGATCTTCCCGGCCTCAGCAAGTGTCGCTCCGGCCGTCTTTGCATCTCGGGCCCTTTCACTCCCAGCAAGGTCCACTACTGTCAGCGTGCTCCCTGCCCAAGGATACTCGTGCCGCTTGCTGCTGGACCTGGGTCGCTTCTTAATCTCGACGCTAAAGAAGCCGTGGCTGCGTGAGCTAGCACTATTGCTGCCAGTTCCAGCGACTCGTCGCTCATGTAGCCCAGCCTCGAGAACCATAAGTGCCTGGTTCAGGCTACTACAGATAATCTTGCGCAGACCAGCCACCAACTTCCGGTCAGGTGATTGTTCGGTGGACTTGAATATCAGAGGCCTCCGCCGAAACTCTTTAGTGGCGGCTGATTTGACTGGGGGAGTTAAGAGATCAAAGATGCGGTCATTGTAGACCTCGTACATCGAAACCAACACCAGATATTCTGCTGCGGGATCAGATGAAACGTTGACAGTGCTAATATCAGGAACCTGCGGCAAAGCCACAGGTCGGTTCAGGAGCCGTCGTGGCGTCGGCGGAACTGATTCACCCTTAAGGTTGAAAGGTTTAGCATTTCTCTTCTTGTGACGAGCGGAGGCAGTGGCGCCCATGTAATGCTTTGAAGGAGATTTGTATGGGGTGTTGACATTTGCAACGCACACCTGGAGGGGCCGGCGACTGTCCGTCATGGATTGTGTATTGCCATGGGTAAAGACACACCAATCGTGACGGAATTGCTCGGGAGTACCTGGAGAAGACGCGGTATAGTCCTCTCTACAAACAAGACGCACACTCTTCGGTCGGGAAAGCCGAGAAGGAGTGGACGGCTCGGCAATTTCAGGTAACTCAGGAAAGCAGACACTTGGAACAAAAGCAGCAGCATGAGAAAAGGAATCATGGGGTCGTACAAGAGGTGTTTGTGCGCGCGAGGAGGGCCGCGGAGCCCCTGAAGTGTCTCCATAGACGGCCTCAATAAATGTGGATGCGCTGGATATGGTTGCCTCGGAGGCATCTGATGCCTTGATGGATGCTTCAGTTGTGGGGTTCATGTCGATATCCACAAGGTTCTTGCCAATGGATCGGAAGATCACATCCAAAGACAACTGAGTCAGGCCGCGCTGTGATCGAGAACCCAGAATCGTGTGGGACTGTGAAGGGAAAATGTCAGCGACGTGGTCCTTACCCCAGCAAGAACATTAAGCTTGTGTTTTGCGCCGTTGTGGTCTGTCGTATGGAACATGTCCGTGTCTTCGACGGGGACCCGCCGCTTCTGTCATACGAGAAGCATGTGTCCCGACTAGAACCCCCGAGACCAGTACTTTACTCCCACCTCGAGATAAACGCGTGAAACATACCTTGCCAGACCCCGTGACTCCCAGCGTTGCGAGAAGTGCATCAGTGCCATCGCCTCCATGTGGTGCCAAGACACCCTCAACGAGGGGCACGACGTTGGTACAGTGGAAGACATCGAGCTGGGTAGCGTCCTCGGTGAAGACCTGCGTGAAGGCAAACTTCTCGACGGCGCGTCTCCGGTCGTTTGGGGGATTCAGGGTGATGTGGGTCGGCGCTGTCGAAGGAGCGTCGGCTGGCGGAGGCTCGACAGTGATGAATCGCTCAGTCGTTGTCGCACCAGCCTGAGGAGGTCTCAGGCGCAGATAGACCTGAAAAAGATTGTGGGTTTTCTGGGCCGTGGAGGACCCCATGGACGTGTTGTCCATGATCGCTGTGAGGATTCTAGATGTGCTGGGGGATGAGCCGCGAGTCCAAGATGGAAGATGAGTTGATCGTGACCAAGTGAGTGGTGGCAATGATTGAATGTGGGTTGATTGGTTGTGGGGGCGGGAAAACCCAAAGGCTGTTTCCAGACGCAGGTATGGATTGACGAAACGGGCGAGAGTTCAGGACGGCTGTGACAAACGTGCAGCAGATACAAAGATGGAATGTCAGATGCAACAAACTGGTCTGTCTGCAATGCGGTTTCAATTCCAGTTCCAAATCTGGCTGTGGATCTGGATCTGGATCCAGCTAGAAACAGTCAGCAATACACGCCCCAAAGAAAACAAAGCACAGACCGATCGGCGGGGCAACCACCCCTGCGGCTGATCAGTTAGCCGATTAGCGAGCGGGCGATAAGGATACCGATAAGCGACCAAGCCCTCCCCAACGGCAGTGTACGTGCACTATGTACAGTATACTGATCCTCAGACTAGGCCGTCAGGGTCAGGGTCAGGGTCAGGGTCAGGGTCAGGGGCCAGTGGCAGGCGGCCTACCGTTAGCTCCTCGGCCCAGCTTGCGGGAGGGAGTATCTAGGGAGTATCTAGACTACACTATCTATCTAGATTTCTAGGTAGTGGGCGCCAAGACTACAACGGCTGTCTGGAAAAGGAAAAAAGAAACCTCAAATCACTTGCAGACAGACTGCAGCGCATTGTGCACTGTACTGCACGACATGCAACTTGCACCGCACCGCACAAGCACAGCACATCGGCAGGCGTTGAAACTTTGTTCTATTGCGCCCGCCTGTTGCTCCTGCACTGTGCTGCACCGAAACCTTCATAGCGCACTGATCAAGTCACCTACCAGTTGCTGCGTCGTCAATTCGAATTTGGAGATTGGGGAAGTTTGACTCGCAACATTGTTGGAACTGTATCTTGCTCGGATCACGATTCTCGCTACAACTTCACTCAGATCGGATCACACTATCCGGGTGCGCTCGGCCGATGGCCACGATGTGTGTCACCTAGAATTATCTAGGTACTACTCAACCTCGTCCTTGACCTCCTCTACTCACTACCGCCCAGCGAGCGTGACTCGCAGTCGGGGTCCAAGCCTCCTTAGCCTGAGGACTGGCTTCGAACTCCTGGTCTGCGCAGCACCGCAAGCCGGTTCCCCGTCAAATAGAGTTCGTCCGACCAAGATAATATAATTGGGTATCATCTGAGCGGGCGTCCACAATGCATCACACCTTACTTCCCACCCTGCCGAGCACCACGGCACGCCTGGCACGCATGGCTCACATGGGCATGCAATCAATAACAATACTTGTCGCTGATCGTCCTGGTGCTACCTACCGCAGGGGGATCTCACCAGCAGCGCAGCCGCCCCCATTCTGTGCCAATGCTGCTGTCTTCGGCCCAATCCGACTGTTCCGGAAGGGCAGAGCTGGAGACGAATAAATCTATTCAAGTCCCTCCCAAAGCTTGTGCCAATTGCCTGTCTCTAATCATGGCACTGCGTCTCGAAAAGGCTCAACCCCGCCTGCACCCAAGCCACCTCGTGTCGGGCTCTTTGGTTGAGACTGGGGGAGAGATACGTCTCCGAACATGGCTTACGACAGTCTCGTTGCCAGTTTTACGCTCGCTGGCAGCATGACCTCCTGTATTGCAACGTCTTTTGTGCTGCTCTCTTATCTCATCTTCCGCGACCAGCAACATTCCTTCCGGCACGCCTTGATTCTGAACCTCGCCATGGCTGGTACGCCTCCCCCCAGCGCTGATGACTTCTCTCTCTCCTGCTTCACGTCTTGGATCATGCTTGCCTGTGGAAAATGTACTGACTCTCTCCCACAACGCAGAGTTTATAAATACTCTGAACAACTCCATATCGGGCTTCATTTATGTCAAGAACAGGAAGCTGACTCCTGGTCCTGCTTGCACTGCAAACGGCTTCATCGGGCAGCTGACGGTTCAAGCTGTGGACTTCACCATCCTTGCAATTGTCCTTGTGACGCTCCTAACCATCACACGTAAAACTTACCTCCCTGACGTCTCAGTCTGGGCAAAGGCCCTGATCTGCGCTTCTACTTGGATAATCCCGATCATCACCAGCGTTGTTGCTGTCTCACTGAATGTGATGACGCCTGTCAGTGGAAATTGGTGTTGGATTACTGCAAAGCGGCCAGATCTACGATACGGCCTTACTCACGGCTGGCGAATTGGAATCATCTTCCTCACAGTCCTGCTTTACGTCTATATCTGGTGGTTCGTCCATCGCCACTTCAGAGCCTTATTCGGTTCTCGCAGGGGCGCTCGATATGGCTACAATCCCGTAACTGGCGCCGTGCACACAGAGAGTGCCAAGTTGACGAGAGAAAGGCTGGAAGAGTCCCAAGGGACCACTCTGATTGGAGACATGGATACGAGGCCTCTAAGCGATATAAGGGACGACCCGAAGGATTCAAGTGACGGCAGAGACGATGTGACAATGTCGGACTTCTCATTGCCCATTCAGGGGATCGAAGAGGTCACTGGCACAGAACGGGATCTCGTGTCAACCGTGACAATACCAGCACCCAGCGTCGGCCATGCAGACGCGAAACGCAACTACAGCCGACATTTCCCCACGCCTGAAAGCGACAAGCCCGAAATCTGCCCCCGGGTCAGGCACTCTGTCGACGTGCGAGTGAGCATCGCAAAGAAATCATACTCGTGGCTCCCACCAGGTATCCCGCCAGGGTCGTCGACGCGCATCACCCCACACACCGAAACTAAAATCACATCCACACGCTGCTCGCGTGCGGCGCCTTCGAAGCCCCAGAGACACATGTCTGTCTCACAGAGGGACGCTGGGGCCCAATCCCGAGCGCACCAGGTCGAGAAGGAGATCCGACGAATGCTGCTCCTGGTACGTATGAGCTTTGTTTGTTTGCTGCACTGCCCTGGCCCAGCCCCTGTGAACGCTCGCCGGGATCGCGACCCCGGGCTCCTCATCGCACAGCTGACCAAATAGTAGAACGCCTACCCGACCTTGTACGTGTTGTTGTGGATACCGGGCATCGTAAACAGGTTCATGGAGGCGACAGGAAACACGCCGTCGAATCCTCGCGCCGTGGCTGCTCTGCAGAGCACCAGCCAATTCGTCGGGTTCGCCAACGCGCTGACCTTCGGGGTGAATGCGAACATGAGGCGGCGCATTAGCTCGGCGACCGCCGGGGCAGCGCAGGCACTGAAAGCAAAGTCGGAGGCATGGCGGAATGTGTAGCGCGCGGTTGCTGCTGCTTGGTGAGCACGGTGTAATGTCTCTCTTTCAAGCTTATTTTATATAGACAGTGATAGTGATACCCGGTCAAGGACCCGAACCTTGGAATGTGAGAACGTCGATATTGCGTGCAGAAGGTCTGGAGTGTGCGCCGTCTCAAAACATAGCTCCTGACACAGTGGTGCCCAGCTCCAGAATGCCAAATCTTCCACGTGGAGAAGTTCGCCCTTGAATATTATATATGCTGGATATGTAACGAGAATTCGAGACCAACTTCAAGTGATCCCTCATGGTTACCAGCCGACGGCGGTATTACATAAGCGCTCTAGAACCTATACACTCGGCAAAGCGGGAGTGCGATTTCCAGTGGGACAGTTTGGGATAGCAAAAACGCAAGTTCACACTGTATCAATCGACAATGGGGCTGCCAGGATGTATCCATGGGTGCGGGGAACAGAAATTTAGGGGTCCTGGTCACGTCAGATCAAATTAAGAGCAGTGAGCCAGACGAGGGATAAACTCCGGACGGGCCCTTGAAACACTGTGACAAAGCCTGACGACTTATGAAATGTTTCACCATGCCTTTTTTGCTGGGGTGATGGTCACCTTTTTCATGATATAGAGGGCAGCGCATGCTCAACGTATCGTAGCGGAGAGTCTTCAACGTGTGCGGGCAATACCGACTTTTGCGATGAATCAAGGTAGACCTGGCTGCCGGGAACAGTAGGGCGGAGGAGGCCGACAATGCAGGCTCCGTTCCAAACCCGGTTCCGCGCCAGACGCCGCCGCGATAGATGACACTTCAAGAGGCGCCCGCTCGGTGGGTAGCCGTAGCAGGGGAGATCTTGATGGCCAATGGGCGCAGTATTGTGGGTTCAGTCATGAGACTTGGTCCTCATTTTGGAAAGCTCCCAAACAGAGACTTGTTGATTTGCACCACTATCGCCATGAATATCATGATGTAAGGAGTACGCGCAAAAGTTAGTGTCGACGTCGCTGAAGCTCAAGGCGACATATCGGGATTCTGTAATCAGGATCTGGACGCTTTGGGGGGGGGGGGGGGGGGCAGTCGCCGCCAAGCCCAAATAACTTTGTGATGACGGCCCTCAATCAGGCCAGCGGAGCAGGTGGTGTGGGGCACACGACGAACGTTGAAGCGCTCGTCTCCTAGGCACGCCAGGCCGCCCAAGTCCAGTTATCGCAGACTTGAGGTGCAGACCGCTAGAACCAAAGAATCGAACCCGGGGTCTGAAGCAGAAGCTCTCCCATATTGTGGGCGGAAAGAGAAGGAGTACAAGGCAGAGATGGTGAGCAGCTCCCGTGCGTACAGTACAACAGGTGTTGGCAGGGCAGATGTGATGCGCCAGTCGGGAAAGTGTGCTCGTCGTCATCTGCAAACGCTGGACTGTGAAGTCCAGCCTAGAGAGATGGGTCCTAGAAGTGGGGACAGAACATCGTCACACCTGTGGACCCGAGCATTGATTGCTGGTGTCATCGTCCCTGGCCAGATCGAGAAGGCGACAGACAGATTTATGGGCCTGGAAAGGCGAGTCGGGCAGCTTGTCGCATTGCCGTCGTCGCCTGTACGTACACCTCGCCTCTCCACACATGGCCAGTTGGCTTTTCCTGATGTGTGCTGTATATGGATGCCGCGGTTGGCTGTCACAACAGCAGAACAGTTGGCAGAGGGGTTAGACCAGGGCTCTTCAGCTCCTCCTTGCGAGGGCTTGGAACGTTGCGATGCTGGAGAGGAATTGAGTTCTGAGGTGATTGCTGCTTGTCAGACCTCGCAGCCGGATGGGAAAAGAAACCAAACCACCTTACACCTTGCCTGTCAAAATGGCGGTGACGGCGGTCGAGGAGGTGCTCGATTGGACGGAGGCGGACTTTGCTGCCGTCTGTCGTTCATGCTGAATGCTTGTTGCTGCTGTGTGCTGCCGCGGCGGCACTGCGCAAGGGCAGGTAGACTATACTTGACGCACAGTACCCAAGACCATTGATTGGGTATGGCGTCCAGGGGTCAGTCAGAGCCTGGTGCATGCAGTCTGCAGGAGGAAGTACACTAGATACTGTACAGGAGGGTGAAGAGGCTACTGCCCCCAGGGTTGCCTGTCTGCAATGTGGACGACCCACTGTCGTGTGAGTGAGCGTATGAAGCGTGTGTTAGTCACTGTTGCTCATGCCATGCACGACCGTAGGAAAGAGTCACCGACAGCTGATATGAGTCGTCGCCAGGAATGTCTAGCTGACGGGTTGGATGGCCGGGTCGAGCTGTGGTTGGGCAAGGGCTGTTGGCGATGATGATGGTGATATGGCAGTGAGATTAACCGTCGCAGCACCGTGAGTGAATATGCAGGTGAGCACTGAGCAGGTGAGACGACTGCCATGCCTGGCTGCACCTGGGGCTGGAGGCCAATGCCCAGAGGTGCGGTCGATGCAGCGGGTGCAGCTGTGCAGCGGGTGTAGCTTGTCCGTCCCTTGATCCGCTGGGCATGGGCTCGCAGGCTCGCAGGCTTGCAGGCTCTAGCCTCTGGCCCAAGCTCATTGACCATTCACAGTGCCCGCATTGGGTCCCACCCCAGAAAAAAGTTTCTGGGACCTTGACTAGGCACTTGAGAAATTTCGGGCCCCTCTCGCTTACAAGACTGCCCTGCCCTGCCCTGGCCTCCCCTTCCTCTTCCCTTCCCTTCCCTCCCCACCCAAACCAAACCACCATCAACCCAAACAGACAACGAAGTCGCAATACCATCCACAGAGATTCACATAAACCCAGTCCAAACTTCGTCGAACCCCTTTTGTCAACATGTCTTCGGTTGTCCCTGAGCTGTAAACGCCCACTGCGCGGCGTCGGTCGGCGTGAAAGTCGACCGATGCCTCGCAGTCCCGCAGCATCAGAGATCAGTCCGAGTCCTTCGACGAAGTTATCCAGACCTTGAAAGCCTGTCAAGAGCCTCCTCACCTTACCCAGAGGCACCACGCATCCACGGCACTGACACTGCTGTCGAGCCCCATACGCAGGGAACCAAGAGGCCTGTCTCCGAATCCAACAACTACACCGTTTGCCCTCTCCCGGCGGGCCTGAAAGCGTTTCCACACCCTTGAGACCGAGCTCCACTTCACTTCTTCCCTCTCCTCGGATTCGAATACTCGCAACAACCACCTCTCTGCTCCTGCGCTCCCCTCCTTCCTACTCGACTCGGCTCGAATCGACACGACGGGGCTCCAGGCCGATCGATACCCACCAAGTCAAACTGCCTACACAAATCCCGAGGCTCTACTGCATACACCGGCTCGGCGTCACTGACTACCACTGTACTCTGTTCTGGAAATTGAGATCGTTCCCTCCTTCGGAAGAGGATAATCAGCTCCAGCTATGCCTCCCAAGATCGTCCTCAAACGGGGCCTAAATCGAGTGCCCACGGGTGGCAAGTCTATCAAGGCGCCGAAGAAGGGCCCCAAGAAGGCGCCCAAGTCTTCTAAGCAGCGACGTGCATCCTCCTCCTCCTTGTCATCCGCGTCGCTCGACCTTTCCGACGATGAAGGTTATTCCGGCGTGGAGGACGTAAGTGACTCAGACGACGACGAGGAAAATGTATTTGCGGCCGAGGAGGAGCACATACTCTCCAACGCGAGGCAGCATGCTGCCCCGCCACGCTCCCCTCGGCCGACCTCTTCTGACGAGGACGAAGCCGCCGCTGATGCGGATGATGATGATGACACAGATGACAATGAGCACGATAACGAGCAAGTGGTCGAATCTATGGATGAAGACGGTGATGATACTAGCAGTGTAAGCTGGAATGGCTTCACGTCTGAGAATGACGAGGCCGCCCCAGCCCAAGGACACACTGCCGAGCCAGTCAGTACAACTCCTGTTGAACGTCATGTCCGCTTTGCGGGCGTCCCCGACTCAGAGTCGGACTCTGACGAGACCGAGGAGGATGTCGATGACTTCTTCCCGGACATTTTCATTGCTCAGGACTCGCTCGACTCTGGGTTTCGCCGGGAGATTGAGCAGGATGATGACGATGATTCGTCAGTCTCTGCCACGTACTGGGACTACTCCGGCGCCGCTGGCGTGCCAGACGACTCGGATGACGACCCATACGGGATCGACGAGGAGTATCCCAATATATTCGGGAGCAACAACGTGAACGAGTCCAACGACGCCACACACTCAAAGGTTCCTGTTCTTCCGTTGCCCGAGGAAGATGACGAATCAGACGGATATGAGTGTGAGTTGTGTCGATGCATGCTGTTCTCGCGTTTTGATGCTGATTATGCCTGGTAGCCGATGGTGAGACGACTGAAGAGGACGAGCCTGAGCCAGTACCTCGTAAGAAGCTGATTCCGATTTTGCGTGATACGTCCGGAGAGCGCTCTGATTCAGAGAGGTCTGAAGGCGGTACACCCCGGCCAATCAAGAGGTCGATCAAGAAGCCAATTGTTGTCATGAATCCCGTCACCCGAAAAATGATGGTAATCACTCCACAGAAGAAGAAGCGTCGTTTCGACGTGATCCTCGATCCGGCGCAATTCCAGCCAGACTACTTTACGTTTCCCAACTCCACCCAGACTTCCCCAATCATGGGCAACCCCGGCTCGCTCATGATGAGCGCCATGTCGTCTGCCAACTTCTTTGCTGGCGGCATGATGGATTTCCAGACTGTCGGGCCGGCCGAGGCTTTCTTCCCGTCGGGTGCTGAACCGTACATGGGAGACGACAGTGAGGATTCTTGGCTGGTGGATGCTGAGCAGGACGACGAGGATGCCGAGGAAAGAAACCTGAACATCGAAGACTTTCTCGATTTCGGCGATGTGGGATCAGACGGAGAGGATCAGGCTGACAAGTCTGATGATGGAAATACCGACGCAACGCCTTCGCGTCGCAGTTCCATGGCTCCCAGCGCACTCAGCGATTCCAACAACGATGTCCATCCACTTCTCAGCCACCTGACCAACAACGCGGATGCCGTTGGCGCCTTCCGTCGCAACCAGGTCAACCAGCAGCTGATTCTGAACGGGCAAGCAACGCAGGAGTCTCTTGCATTCTCAAATCCGCTATATCATGGTACTTTACGTGGTATCAAGCACGGCAGTCTTGGAGGCGCAGCTACTCCTCTGACACCGGAGCGTCGTCACAAGAAAGCACTGGCCAAGAGTCCCTCCGAGGCTGTTATGCAAAAGCGCAAGGCTTCTGGTCCAGCCTCCGACATGTCTCAAGCCCATAAGAGGCAGCGGAGCATTTCGGACGTCAGGACGATGCACCTCTGAACGCTCGACAAGAACGATAGTCTCCACCGCTCTTCTCAACACAACATCAAATACGCTCATGGACGGCATGGCTACGGGGCCTTGTCACACTGCCAAAGTTGAACATCCTCGCTGTCATCCCTGGCCTGATTCTTCCCTTCCATTTATGAACACAAAACTCTATCGCCACCTGATCCGGTCTTTCATTGATTACTTTGTCTTCAAATCTCGTTGGTACTCCATTGTGTTTTTTTCCTTGCAATATGCTCTCACGAGCTGCAGAGCCCTTGTGGCATCTTGCATTTCGCTCGCACAACCGCAGTCCAGCTATCTGAACAATAGCTCGACCAGTTGCACGCATGCTCCCACCGAATCCCACCAGTGCTTGAAATGCAGACGTGGACAAAAGTTTGGGAAGGTTTAGAGAAAATAGACAGCCATGACGGCTAGATGGGCGCACTTGTGCGTTCTGGGTTCAGCGGATACGCTGTTAGCCATAATGTCTATTGCGCTCGACTAGGAATATGAAAGTATTGCGACCTGGCTGGGATGGAAAGGGTACTAAAACAAATGCTTCCAGTAATTAAAAGTCTAAAAGCAATGTCAACGCCAACACATTTTATTTTAAGTCGTCCGAAATGCTGTGCAGTGTGTTGTGAACCTCATCAGGCACTGGTTATCCAAGGGTGACACACAAGCGGTCAGACAAGCCAGAATCGTTGAGCACGTATGCTTACTTTCCTAGGAATTCTTGACTTGTCGATGCAGCAAGTCTCTATTCAGAAATGTCGTAGGCCATCGCGCCGTGTTTGTTCCGCGCAAAACCTGGTTTTCTTTCACAGCCAGGTTTATCTTTCTTTGCGAATGATCATGTCTTGATAGGTCACCCCCTCGGCTTCTGTGCCTCATAAGTACGAGAGTATGGCATAGCTGGGGATATCGCGAACCAGATCTTTCGTGAGCTCCAGGCAGTCGTCGCTGCAGTTCAAGAGTCGCATCGCACTAGGTGGAAACTAACACTTTGTGACACGGAGCTTGACTACTGCTGCAAATCAACTCTATGTGTGCCGGCCAAAAGACCATAATAACCAATCGCCAGATTGGCTATTCAGCAGTATATAAGAGCCGTACCGTCACACTTTGTAGGGTTCGGTGGGTATGGAAAGCAATTGTAGCTGTCGAGCTTCAGAATACTAGGTAATGCTGAACAAGTTGTAAAGATCTGATTACGCTGTTTGGGATCGTCCAAGAAAGCAATGACAAATTGACAGTGGGTGCAGGGATCCCCGTGGGTTCTTATATTAATCTTATTACAGCGCCGCCATCGATGAGGAATATAGGAGCGGACTCTCTGCCGCGCGCTTAATGCGTATATTTTGTTGCCGCCTGGACAATTGACATGACCTGCAATAAAAGACTATATTTATAGTAGAAAGTTCAAGGTCTCATGCCAAATTCACTAAGGAGTGCGGTGCCTAGAACGCAGTGGATATTGACCATGCAGTACGTATTTCATTTCAGCAAACACCTTTCATCGTGGAAAATAACATCACACACATAGCCTGCAGAGCAATTAACAAGCCAGGCTCAATTCAATGGATATACAAGAGGTTAGTCATATTCCTTGCTCGGAACAGAGGAACATCGAGATACATAGCACACCTTTCGGCTACTTTGAGAAGCAGGGATAGGACAATATAAACATCACCATATGGTGCATCTGGCTCATATTATTAAGTCTATGAGAAGTCTTTCCATTAATCGTCGGGACCACTCACCTTAGTCAGCCCCCGGAGCGGTCAGTCTGGCAGCTAAGCCGGGTGCGCTACCTCCTTTGGCACAATAGCCCAGTCTAATTTATACAATAAAGGTTCCTTGATAATAAATTAATAGTTTTTCATCATGTTAATCCAACTTGAACTATTGTATCTAAAAAGAAAAGTATAACTTATAACTATAATTATATCCTTTTTTTTTTCTTCTTTTTTTTTCAAAAAAAATATATATAGTATTTCAAGCTATTTCAATCTTTTTATTAAAACTTTTGTCCAGATTCAGAGTATTATACTGAATATAATCAGCATATTTGTGATCAAATCACATGACCTCATAGCGCCAGTGGTTTAGCGGTAAAATCCATCGTTGCCATCGATGGGCCCCCGGTTCGACTCCGGGCTGGCGCATTACTTTTACATTTTCTTTTTCCTTGGAAAAAGTCTGCTGGTGAAGATGCCATGGAGTTTGCTCAGTCACTTAATGGGTAGACTCCTTATGGTTAGCTATAGAGGAAAATCAATTTTCACCCCTCCACCCTCTGAGCATAGTTTGGGAGTTATATAACCAGATATACCAACTCTTACCCTTAGATCTTCATGCAATATAAGCTGGAATCAGGATGACTCTGGCTAGATCCTTAGATTCCTACTCTCACTATTCTCGCCCTTCCACTACTATATGAATTATTTTATCCTAATCTAGTTTCGAGCTAGAGAGTGTTTAAGTTTGATGGCTATATGCATAATTCAAGACAGGAGCCAGGTTTATATCAAGTTGGCTACAGAGGAAGATGAATATACTTACGTCCTCTTAGTGTGTTTTGGGAGGCATGTAACCAGGGATATCAATGTTCATCTCTCAAGGTTGATTCACATGTAGATTGTATCTGAATTCAGTGATCTAATGAAGAGGAAGACTGTCAAGCTTTGGCCTTGTTATTGGGTTCGAGGTGCAAACCCAAGTACCAAAAACCTATAAGCCTAAGGTATGCTTCAAAAGCAGTCTCTTTTATGGGAAAGTAATCCTTAGCTCATCACAACCTGTATCGTCCCCTGGGGTGTCTCCGCCTCAAGTCCTTCTGTCACGGCCTCCTCACCCTCCGGTACCCAGTCGGAGCCAAAGATCGGCCCGCACGCTTCAACAAATTGGGGAGCGTGGTCATCACCAAATGCATCAGCGCAGTTAGACACTGTCCCGTTGACGCAGTACTAGTAATGAAGCGAGAAAGTCAGTACGCCACAGGAATCCTATAAGACGCTTCAATTTCGGCAGACGTTGAGCCAAGACTTACGCGATAGGGATAGAAGTACACTTGTGTGTCGGTACTTCCTGTGGCCCATTCAACTATGACGAGTTAGCAACCCGATCTGGACAAGGTTCCATGATGGAAAGAGACTGGGGACCGTAGGGGAATAGGCTTTTGACATACAGAACAAACTGACGCCGCTCAAGGCCGGGAACCTGCGACTCGTCAGATTCGCGAGGACTCCAAAGAAGGCGTCGTATTGTGGTTCCGCGGCCGAGGTGTCGTTCACGGTCCGGTTGTTTTGCTTCGTGCCCGTCGTCACCTCGGTGCCCACCGCGGAAAAGCTGGAGCCGCCGAAGGTGGCCGTTAGAACGACGCCAGGCCCCTGGCTGGTGTAGTTGCTATCGATGTCAAAGTCGCATTGCGAGTCGTCTGACTGCCTCCGCATAAGTCCGTTGTCGAGGGAGTCGACCACAAAGGCAGAAGCTGGGAGGACGGCGAGCAAGGTGAGGAACAGGGCGAGCAGCAGGCGTGATGGGCTACCTGTGCGAGGTAGGCCGGCTGATGTCTGGATCGTTTCATTTTGAGTGTTGCTGATGCTGCGCTGGCAGTACGCGAAGCCAGGATAAGTGTCGTTGGTGTTTGTATTGTTTGCCCAGCATTTGCTGAACTCGGCCATGCTTAGGGACGTCTCGCAATACGAATTGCACCAGTACAGCTGGACGTCACCATCACAGCAGGATCGGATGCTGGTGGTATTGGCACTTTGGATGCCGCACACGCGCGTCCCTGTGTTGTTGCGAAGGACTGGCGTGGAGAGGGAGAGCCTTGAATCATTGCAGTTGGTTGTTTTGCCAACTAGGGTGTATTGCAAATCAGACATGGTAGAAGTTACTTTGTCAATCTTACAGCGTGAATGCTTATCAGATTGTGCATGTGAGTGAGAGTCGAAGTCGGGCAATTTCCAATTATTTACATACGTCGTCATCAAGGGCAAAGCTCTTGTTGAGTTTCTCTTATATATCTCGTCTCTCGATTACTCAAATCTCCTTATACAGCTTGCAATGACGTGAAAAGGCGGCAGACTCTTTCTTTGGAAAGATGCCAAGCATCCTTTTGAATCCTTAGTTTTGCGAATGGCCAACCGGGCGCCATAGCACCGACGATCATTGAGGCAGGGCGGTCGACGCCGCACGTGCAGCCACAAAAATCCTCTGTGAACTCCAGGCATCAATTGTCGCTACCAGGAATGGACCCATACGCGGGTCTTCAAAACGAGTCAGCGATGAAGCCCATCTGGATACTGCGGCTTCGACGGGGCAAGCACTGCCCAGAATCTTATATCAGAGTGGTGCCAAGTGTGGCATAGCATCCTCGCAGGACTTTATGGGTCTCGCTTAATCTGCAAATGGGACTGGGATTGGGATGACGTGTCTCAGACCTCGCGGTCATTCCTCATCCTCCTTTGCACATAATTTTCAGTCATGTAGAATGCAATATGTTTCCCCGGACGTGTTGGTTCTCTATCGCCGTCTTCTGTACCCCCGCCTTGGAAGCGCAGGCGATTGCAAACGTTTGCAATGGTCTTGCGATTCTTGATCGAATTGAAAGAGACTGAGTGGAGACGATCAGCATGCCGCTCTTTTCAAGGCACTCTAGCATAAAGGTTTCGTCGAGTTTCTCAGGCATTGGACGAAACGGCGTATGACTTTGAGACCGTAGTCCTGGATTGCGATGCCTAAACTTCCATTTGTTGCACAATGTCATCGCAGCGCGATCAGCACAAAGCACAAGAACGTTGATCATAAGTAGACGACATCTGGATGATTTCAATATTGATCAAGAGTCCACACGCTCAAAGACCAAGGTCGTCTTTCATCACATTCGCGAAGGTCACAAGAAGAGAAAGGTTATGGAGCATGTAAGATATAGTAGTCAGTGATTTTACAAATCGCTTTCGACATGGTTCAAGCAAGATGAGTGCACGAAAGAGAGGAGTTGAAATGTCTTTTAAAATGCCTGAACTAGGTTTTGTTCCTTGGGCCAAAGTGGATGTAGACAGAGAAAACTGCACCGATAATTATGCCTGTTTCATCTCTCCTATTCATCTTTGCACAGTATGTCTGGAGACACGTGGTACGAGAAGCAAACAGCACAATATCTCCATGTTTGACATGGGTGGCTGTTTGGCTGGCACCTTGTGTAATGAGGGATCATGAACCCCCCCCTCCCCCCCCAAAAAAACTCCCTCGGCGGACCCAGGCTCGTAGCCTCATGTAGCATACAGCTTGGGAAACTGCCCCCCCCCCTTCGGCGGCAGTTTCAACGCTGTGGCAGCATTCAACATGTTCCAGGACTTATAACATCCCAAAGATCGGCATAATGAAAATCCCACGATCCAGAACTCACCCGGATTTGGTGACCATGTTTATGCTCAGAAGCCATCGGAGCAAGTCACCCACTCGACGTAACCACAGCTAACGAGTTTTCGTCGCTCGGTGGCTCAATGTAGACATGGCTCATGTGAGTTCTCTGTTGTGCAGAGGCTACGCAACCATTCTCATTCGTTTGCAGATCAAGAGCAGGCGAAATGTAGGCTCAAGGTCGTAGATGCGAATCATGCTTGCCAATTCGTCAGCCCAAGTCGCATCTATATGTACCGCCATTCGGGTTTCATTCAAGTTGCCCGAGCCTTTCGCTCGCAAGCCTCTGATCTCGGCAATAAAGCGGTCTTTGAAGGTGCGAAGACCATATCGTTCTGTGAAGCAGACTCTGTCAAGTCGGCCAGAGCTCTTGGGGTCTCCTCAAACCTTTTCCAGGAAGTGCGGCTTGAATTTTCTGTTGGCCCGATCGGCCGATCGAACAGCAAACTGGTCCCCATAGATCTCAAGAGTCAAACTTTTCGGCGGCGGAGCCTGTTCCTTCCCTTTCGCCTCGCGATCCTTGGTCGCATCCGAGGGTGGGATCTCGACCCGGAAGAGAGTCCCCTCCTTTGGCACAAGTTTGACCTTGTTTTTGGGAGTGATTATCTCGAACACAAACCTGGCGTCCTTGATCACAATCCCCTTGATGCCGACTCTTCCCACACAGCCACTCCTGACGACCTCGACCTCGGCGCCGTGCATATCGGCGGAGCTCAGCTTTGACGCAGCACCTTGACCACCGGTGTAGACCTCACTACCTAGGATCTCCCTCACGTAGCCCAGCCACAGGTTGTGTAGCGGCAGGAATGCGACATATTTCTGACCGTCGCGGGGCACATCGTGTAGGCCAAGTCGGCGGCGTTGTTTGGCAGATAGCGGTTTGGGCTTGAGGGCTTTCTTGCGCTCCTTGGCTTTGCGCTCGCGCTCTTTGCGGCGGGTTTGCCGGGCGGTGGCTTGTGGGGGAGGGGAGGTTGGGCGCAGGAAGAGCGGGCGGTGTTGGATTTTGTCTGAGTAGATGCGCTCGGCCGAGGTGGGAGAGTGGGCGCGCGCGAGGAGGGCTTGGGTGATGGGTTGGTTTTTTGAGCTCATGTTGTTGAGATATGGTGGCTCTGTAGGAGGCTCATGTCTCTGCTGAGAGCTTGGGCTGGTGAGGTGTGTTGTGTTGTGTCGTGTCGTGTCGTGTTGGAAGGAAGTTCGACGTTGTGGTCGGAGATTTATTGTTGGCGGAAGGAGTTGACTCGAGCTCCAACTTTTTGCCTGCGAGGCTCGAAAGCTTGGGCTGCAGGGTCCCGCTCACTGACACCCAGACACCCTGGTGGCCCAATTTACCCCAACTTTTGCTAGTCTGATTAGGCACAGTAGCACCATCCTTCACATGCTAGAACCTAGGTTAGAGCCTGCACGAGGAGAGCTCGGCATCGGCAAGCAGCGGCCACCCCACACTGAAGGTCACAATGTCACCGGATTCCTCGCTTTATGCGCCAGGGTGACGACGGCATCTGGGTGTGCCTGGACGCGACTAACTCCGTCGGCAATGCATTTGTTGTTTTCACATCTGCACTGGAGGGACATAACGACGGCCATGACATAATCGAGTCTGACACACTGCTGCCAACAGTCCGTCTTCCCACAGAAACACGGACGAGACGAACTCAATCCGCTTCCACTCCTACCCACGCCTGGCCATCGCCACCATGGCCAACGGCGACGATGACAATGCCTCGCGCGATTCTGCGCCCGACCTCCAGATCCTCGGCGACCAGATCACCCTCCAGCCCTCGGGCTACGTCGAGCCTCCCGTACCACATCCAAGCCACGCTGTTCACGATGCCACTGTCGACGACGACGCCGAAGCCGAGAAGGAGGAGGCCCTCATGAAACACACCGCCCACTTCCGCTCCGAGCCTCTGCAGTTCCTCCGCGAAGTCTCGCTGTATGTGTCCGGCACAGGCTGGCGCGCCTACGACGATGTCATTGGCCAGCCCATCTTCTACTCGGGCTTCTCCGAGAACATGAAAAACGCCATCCTGTCTGCACCTTTGCTCAACGCCCGGATATCCAAGTTGGCGGAGCGGAGGCTGGCCGTGGAGGAGAGCAAGGGCTTGTTGGGAGACAGAACCAAGGACAGCCGGGAGTATGACATCCGAAAGGCCCAGCGACGGAGTTTCCTCGAAAGTGGCCTGCGGGAGGTTGCCGACAAATGGACAGACCAGATGATCTGCAAATTCGAGAGCAAGACCTTCATCAGGGGCGCCTACTATCTCGTCACTCAGCTCCTGACCAGGGCATATCACCAAGGGATACACGTGTCGTCCGAGGAGGTCTTGCGACTGCGGAGAGTCGCCGAAAAGGCTGCCGCCAACAAGCAGAGCATCGTCTTCCTGCCTTGTCATCGGTCGCACGTCGATTATGTCTCCATGCAGCTCATCTGTTATCGCCTTGGGATTGCTCTGCCTGTTGTCGTTGCTGGTGACAACCTGAATTTCCCGCTGGTGGGCAGTTTTCTGCAGCACGCTGGCGCATTCTATATCCGGAGAGCATTTGGGGATGACACCCTATACACGACCCTTGTTCAGACTTACATCGATACTTTACTGCAGGGTGGTTTTAATTTTGAGTGTTTCATTGAGGGCGGACGTTCAAGAACCGGAAAGCTGTTGTCACCAAAATTTGGTATACTGGGCTTCATCATTGACAGCCTGTTGTCCGGCCGGGTCAATGATACCATCATATGCCCGGTCAGCACACAATATGACAAGGTTATTGAAACCGAGGGCTATGTCACAGAGTTGCTCGGTGTGCCCAAGAAAAAGGAGAACCTTGCAGACTTCCTGAGCAGCGGCGGGTCCGTATTATCACTGAGACTGGGCCGAGTTGACGTGCGTTTCCACGAGCCTTGGAGCCTGCGAGGTTTCATCAACGAGCAGCTCACAAGGCTTAACCATCCTCCGAAATCTCTCAAGGTAGATATAGACCCCAGCATTCGCCAAAAGCTCCTCCGCATTCTCGGATATCGAGTCTTGGGCGACATCAACGACGTCTCCGTGGTGATGCCTACTGCCCTTATCGGAACCGTCCTGTTGACCTTGCGCGGCCGTGGCGTTGGCAAGACCGAGCTTGTACGGAGGGTAGAGTGGCTTATCGAGAGAGTTCGCGCTAAGGGTGGGCGTGTGGCGCACTTTGGCAATGCTCCGCTATCTGAGGTGATCGACCGAGGCCTCGAAGTGCTCGGCAAGGACCTGGTTGGCGTCGTCGATGGCCTTCCGGAACCGACCTACTACGCTGTCGATCGCTTCCAGCTGAGCTTTTACAGGAACATGACCATCCACTTGTTCATAACCGAGGCGTTAGTCTCGGCGGGCATGTACACTCGCGTCAAGCAGGGCGGTGGGCCAGCCATCCAAGACATTTCGTACAGGGACTTGCACGATCAAGTCCTATTCCTCAGTTCTCTTTTCAGGGGGGAGTTCATCTTCTCAGGCGAAGGACTGGCGGTCAATCTGAACAAGACGCTCGCTGGCCTTGAAGCTGACGGCGTCCTGACTCTAAAGCGGGACGAGCAGGGCCAGGTCACGACTGTGGGGCTGTCTGACCAGGAGAGAAGGGTTGGTCGGGAGAATTATGACTTTTACTGCTTCCTCATTTGGCCGTTTATAGAGGCCAGCTGGCTGGCCGCTGTGTCATTAATGGGGCTAACACCACCCCTGGGACAGCAGAATGAGGTGTGGATCGAGGTATCCAAGGCACAAAATAGTGCTCAAATTGTAAGTCATGGCCCCTAAGTTTCGCACATCAAGCTCTGAGACCTAACACCTCCCGTGCAGCTCGGCAAAACTCTCTACCACCAGGGCGACCTTTCTTACTTCGAAGCCGTGAACAAGGAAACCCTCAAGAACGCGTACACACGCTTCGAAGAGGAGGGCATTATCCAAGTCGTCAAGTCCAGAGACACAAAGATCCCGCCACGGCTGCGCCTAGCGCCCGAGTGGCAGCCGGCCCGCGACTCAGAGACCGGTGACCTCAGCGCCATAGGCTCTCGGCTATGGAACTTCACGGAGAAGATCGCCAGCAGCCGGCGCGAGGGCAAGAATAGGCGCGACGGTGCGACGGTAAGCACGAGAGTGGTTCGGCTGACGGACCTGCTTGGGCGCAAACTGTTCGAGGAGGCAGTGAGCGGTGCCGAGGGCAAGGGCAAGGGCAAGGGGAAGGGGAAGGAGAAGGCCAGCTATCCCACCCTGAGCAGCGAGGATGCGCTGGTTCTCAAGAGGACTGTCCGGGAGCAGCGCCGGCGGAGGAGCCTAGAGAAGAGGGCGCGGCTGTAGATACAAGGGAATGCCTTCTTGAGATATACATTCTGAAAAATTAAGCAGACCGCATTGACTTGGCAAAAATGAGCCCAAGAGATGAGCATAGAGCGGCTTGCTTGGTAACGCAGCTTTGGCTGCGGTCATGGGTATCGTCTTATCTATCCTAACTTTTTCTGCCCAAGGTTATGTCTGTCTCGGGCCTTGCCCAAGTCTAAGCTTTTGGCGGCAAGATGATGTTATCTATCAATCTCACTGGTGGCCCGTTATTGTGGCCTAAATCCTCGCCTTCCTGTGCCGCGTACACTGGCAGCATTTTGATCGCACCACTCAGAATCGCTCCTTTGGATGGGTCGATTCTGTCGATCTCTTCCATGGTGTCGGGGTCAGCCAGCGATATGTAGTCGAGCTGGAACAAGACACCCTCGTGGGGTGGCAGGTCCTTCTGCTCGTCCAGCGTGTCCAGGACCACCTTCAACGCCGCAGGGACGACCTCGCCCGCGTCGAGGGCCCCACTGACGTAGGCACGCTCCGCAGCACTCAGCGCGCGTATCAGCACAGGCGCAACCTTCCGCCTCCTCGTGCCCAGGTAGACATTGCGGCTGCTCAGCGCCAGCCCGTCGCCCTCGTCCCGGACGGTGGGCACGACGACGGCCTCGAGAGGCATGCAGAAGTCGCGAACCATCTTGCGGATGACAACGGTCTGCTGCACGTCTTTCTGGCCAAAGAAGACGCGCGACGGCTGGACGATGTTGAACAGCTTCATGCACACGGTGGCGACGCCGCGGAAGAAGGTGGGGCGCGTCTTGCCCTCGAGCAGCCCACCCACGGGGGTGATGGTAACGAAGCTCCCGTCCGAGTCTACCTCCTGTCCGGGAAAGCCGGAGGGGTACATCTCGGGGGTGGTGGGCGCGAAGACGGCCATCTCGAGCTGCGGCTGGGAGTTGGGACCCGGCCGCGCGGTAGCCGTGTACTCGGCGTTCAACTCCTCGTAGAGCGCCCTGAGCACGGCACAGTCGGCACCCCAGGTCTTGGGGTAGCTATCAAGGTCCTCGGTGACGCCGAACTGGGCGGGGTTGACGTAGATGCTCACGACGATCTTGTTGTGACCGCGGCGCACCGCCTCGCGGATCAGGCGCAGGTGGCCGTCGTGCAGGGCTCCCATGGTGGGCACAAGGGCAAGACCTTGGTCATCGTCGCTGTATGAGCGGGCGCAGGAGAGGGAGGCCCAGTCGCGGATGCCGGTGACGGTGCGGAGGACGGCGATTGGCGTGTCGGGGATGGCCTCGCCCAAGGGCTCGCGGGCAGCGGTTGGGTCGACGGGGACCTGGAGCTGGCGAGTCACGAAGTTTGGGCGAAGCTGTGGGCTCTTATCCAGCATCTGTGCCACACTAGAGCTCTTGGTGAAGCTTCGAAGGAGTGCTGGCAGGGTCGGCGCGTTGAAGCTCGCGGGTCGCGTGCGGCGGGCGGCGGTTGCGACGGCACGCGGCGCCGCATGAGCTTGCATCGCGCGGGCGAACATAGCTGAGGATAGGGGGTCAGTGGTCTGGAAAGATCACTGCTGGCGAAGATTAGGTCAAGAGAAGGTAAGAAATTGCTGTCGCCCCATTGCAGGGGCGTGGCCGCTGTTTTATGTGGACATCGTGATAGATTTCTACAGCGCAGTTTTGAGGACGTCTGATACTGATGTCGGTCGCTCTCCGTCGGGGTTGAACCCTCCTTGCCACGGGATGACCCTCCCTCCCCCTTTCACTGCCCTGCCCCTGTTTCTTGATGCGACTCCCTGCACTTCTGTACAAATGGTATCATTGGGAACCATTGCACACCAAAACACACACATACACATATCCACGCATGCACGGCGTTTTTTTATCAGGCAGGAAATTTGTACTCATACGGGAAAGGCCTCGACAGTGGCTATGTCTTCTTCACAAAGTAATTTGTGATGGGGTTTCCTGACTTGACCTCGCCCCCTTTCTTCGGCGTACTACCCTCAGGCTTCTTTCCAACCTGCATGATCTCCATCAACTCCTCGAACTCCTTTACCGCAACTATTCCCCCGCTAGCCTCTTTGTGCCCTCTCGCGAAAGACTCCCCCAGCCTGGCCCGCAGTGTCCCATCCGTAGCCTTGGCTGCGATCCCCTCCAGCACCTCGATGATGTTTACGGGCGGATCCCTTGCCCTGGCTGTCCGTGGAATCCGGCACGAGAAGTTGACCATACCCGGCAGATACCCCTCATTCGCACACATGACAACTTCCAGCTTGTTCGACTGTAAATGGCCGGCCCACCGCGTAGCGATCACCGGGTGGATCTGTGCCTCTGAGTTGATCCTGAACACTGCAATTTTGGCGTCTGAGCTGAGCTTGGGCGCAGTGTGCGTGCATCGCTCAACCTCGGCATTGACTTCTGCGCGGGCTGTGAGAAGCTCTCTGTTCTTGAGCAGGTCTGACGGTGCCTTGGCCTCGGTCAGGGCAGCCCAAGCCTTTGGCACGCTGAACGCTGCTGTTCGTCGAGGAGCGTTGACAAGCGAGACGGCGTCGTTTATAGCTTTCTTCGTATATAACTTGAAAGTATCCTTCATTTGAGGGAATGGTGGTTCCCATTTCAAAGTATTGCCCAAGTCGCCGTGTGTGCCCATTATACAGAGCCAGTCGCATTCTTTTTGGACATCCTCGTGGAGCTCGCGGCAGATGAGGTAAGTTAACAACGAGCTGGTTGCCACTGGCGGACTGTTACAAGCAGTAACATGCTGAGAGCCTTCCGGGAAATCGTCTTCAAGAGCGTGATGATGGTCAATGATCAAGGCTCTGTGCTGTTTGTCGATCACTGGAGGGGACTTTCTTGACCCTTGATCGAGTACGAAGATATAACTCGGGTCAAGGGCTTCCATTGCGGCTCGTTCAGCATTATCGTGAATACTGCTTCCTTTCTGGAGCAAATGTGCAGATATATTATCTGCATCTGACCCGAGAAGTAGAAGTGTCTTTTGCAATATTGCTCCGGAGCTGAGTCCGTCGGCATCCTTGTCCGGCACAATCAGAGTCTTCTTCCCCGATGAGGCACTGTTGATTCGTCAGTCTTGTGTAAATGCACGCTATCCGGATTTATCCACTCACCATTCAAGTATGAAATCTCTGGCCAACTCGATCTGCTCCTCTGGCGCAGGCCAGATCAGTTCTCCAGATTCTGTCCTAGCAGATGGCGTTGTGTGATATTCAGGTAATTCGACGCGTCTCCGCTTCATCTTTGATGTACTTGAACTAGAGACAGCACTTCTCTTCATAGTCGATATTGTGGATGGAAACTTTGTGCTCTTGACTTTTGTGCTTGAGAGCCTCCTCGGCAGCATCTGACTCGATTGAATGGCTCGAAGTGCAGATCCTAAGCACGATCGACAATTGTTGGGCAACAGGATCAGAGACATCCGTCCTCTGCGCCTATATTTGAGACTTTGTTGATACAGCAATACCGTCTGTGGGAATCAACAGTCTCGAATTCGCAAGTTCGAACCCAAGAGTCTTGGCTCACGGCCCAGTGGTGACGTCAGCCGTACTCAGGCTCCCAAAGCCTAAAGACCTTCAGACTAACTCAATCTCAGTCGGGCCTATTTCGTACAAAATGCCGTCGATCTCGTGGTTCATGAGGCCTGGGACCCAAGCAAAACAAACAAAGGTATATCCACACTCAGCCCTCCTGAGAACCATCGGATGTGTGTTAGAAGTCACCAGGCATAACACATCGTCGGGTTCCAGAAGCCTAGGGCTGTAACCGACAAAGCCATATGATGTACGAAACCATACCGGCTCAGGGTCTGATACGATCTTGGTGTAGTCAAGAATGCTCTTCCACCATAGACTGGTGAGAAAGGGGCTCTCGAGTCCCGTCGCAGAGTACCAGGTGTCGGCAAGTTGAAAACCAAGTCTCTCGGTATCGAGTAGCTGGTAATCAAAGACAGACGTGAGATTTGTCCAGTCAGGACTTAACAGGCCTGGTTCAATGGCAACAGGGCGATAGCCCTGCATCAGAGCCTGACGTGGATGCACGGGAGGCATCGATGAGAACAGACCTTGGAGGGACGAGCGATATTCTTCGAGGCCCAGGCAGGTCTCACAGCGTCGGCTTGCAACTGTCGTCTGGGCTACGCGATCCAGAATGAAGCCGGAGAGTCGAAGTCTAGAGCCATCCTCACTGAGTGACGGTGGTGGCGGCGGTTCGAAGAGATAATCATGCCATATTTCGCGACGTCTCATCTTCGACAATGTGCCTTTTGCTAACTCCAGCTGCGCATTGTCAACTTCGCAGCCTGAAAGCGTGAAGTCGATAGCCCACGATGGTATGTCTCCGTGCTGGGCTAAGCCCATGCAGGCGAGGTGCTTCTCGGACGAGATAAGCGCGAAAGTTGCTTTGCTATAGCACTGCGCGGGTGGTTCATCGTAGCTGGGGATGATTGCGTCGCTCTCTTCCTTCTTGATCAAGCCGTGGAGGCAATAAATCATGTCTCTGGGGTCTGCAGCTTCGCGCCGTGCTAGGCTTGGGAGGTAATGTATCAGACCGGCTGTGTCTTCTCGTTCTCGGACTCCTCCAGATGCAAATTGATTTCGTAACCTATCGAGTTCATATATTTGTTCCCGAAGCCTTCGAAGTTTCGCGATAGCGTCGCGCGGTAGTTTTCGCCGCGGCCACTGGGCGAGCTCGTCGACGAGAACATCCCAACTCCAGGAGCAAGATCCAAATTGAAATGTCGGAGGAACAGTTGCAAGGACTGCTGCCTGGATGGACCAAGCGCCTTCCGACCAGAGGGGCTCGTATAACGCATGTCCTAACGCCCTGCCGCTTTGTCTGAGCCAATTTTGTTGGTCCTTCTCCCTGTCCGCAGTCGGCTCGTAGTGCACATCGTAGTCTCCCAGCCAGATGAGAACTGTGTCGGCAGTCCTGAATATCTGGGCCGTGAGAGCGACTTGCCAGTTTCGTTCGGCATTGCGGTCCTGGTCAATGCACAAACCATCGACCCAGAGAATCCTCTTTGCATCTGCACGGCGTAGGCGAATCAGAGCGGCGTAGAGGTTATCCGTGACATTAAAATTCGTCTGGCCACAGAGAGTGATCGAACGGTTGCTGGTTGATTCTCCCCAGGTGTATGATAATGCCTCGTACCGTGAAGCGTGGGGCGTCGGGGTGCTTTTGGTGGAAGACCCCAGAGATATTACACGAAATTCGCAGCGTACCTCATCATGCGAAGTAGAAGCTGGCAGTAGCACAAGCAAGCGAATTTCTCGATGTGCCTCTCGGACGGGATGACCGGCATATATGACAGGCCGTTGGTCATTGTCAGGGAGGCTGATCTCCGCGGTGGTGATCTCTGTAATACTGCACTTCGATCGTCGGTGGTACACGGTGATAACCTCCCGCTCGGCTTCTTTCTCGTCACCACTGACCACAAAGGTGGTAGACATACTGACTTTGGCGGTAGAGTTTGCTGGCGTTGATCCAATGCATGCTGCTCGCAACGAAGCGCTACTTCCTGTGGCCAACGGGAGCTAGAAAAAGCCATTTAGATAGGGGTAAGCCCATGGTGAAAACAAGGCTATGTCCCATGATTTCCTGTTGTTGGCCTGATCCTACGGGGGGATTGGAGATGAAGCTAGAGGCTATAAATCAGGTTATTCCCTTACAATCCTGGGCAATGCAACCGCGGCAAGCATTGCATTGCCCCGGTAACTCCACATGAGCAGGCATTACCTAGGTAATGGGCCGGCCCCGTTCGTAAGCAGGCATGACGAGCTCCAAATTATTACAGAACTATTGACGACTGCGCAAAAATGCTATATGTGGTGACAGCTATAAAGGCCGGGGAATCTCCGACATCAAATGAAACTGATACCCAAAAAATGGGAGTTTCTTGGTTCTGGTGCCTTGGATGAACGGTGACCGATACCAAGATGTTGCAATGCATCCCTCCTCCAGGAGCGAATTTCAATGTTGAACGGATGACCTACCCTAGAGGGAGCAGGAAGCTGACCAATTGGAATTTGACAGGCTGCAGAGTGTCTGTAGGGAAAGTCAATGTGGTGCTCGAGACGGAAAGGGCGCCTGTGAAAAAGTGAATGATGGGAAGACTGCTGACCAGTTTGATGCTGGCGTCAACAAGGTTTCGCGTATCCGTGGATTTGCTAAATTTAGGTGGCCCGAAGGACCGGAACCTTTGGCACACGGACGATGAGAACTTGGCCTCGCAGGCCAAGTTCTAGGACCGGATGGTTCTGCCTGCATCACGTTAAATCCCGTCCTGTCGTCTTTGCATCAGCTCTTGCGACAGATCTCACAGTCATTGACGAAATCCGCTCGCGCCTCCAGAGTCCCGAAGTTCCTTGGTCAAAGGTTAAGGCGAAATGGGTCAAGTACTGTACCTTCTGTGTCTCACCGCACCCATATTGTTTGAATGCTCTACAGCTGAGAACCTCATGAGCGCCATGCCAATTCCATCCGGATCCCCACCCCGTGAGGTGGCAATTACTGTTAAGTAGCCTGTCAAATGATAAAGCCAACATGCGTCAACAATCCCATTTTGTGCAACTTCAAACCCATGCCGATATCAAGTGTCTCTAGCGGTCTGCTAGAGGTGTCATTTTAATGACCAAGTCCTGTTCTTTGTGGAAAAGGCGGCTCACTAATGGAACAGTATGATGGAAGCTTCAAGAGAGTGTATTAACGAGCTCTCAGGCGGTTGGCAAACGGATTTTCGAGCTCGCGCTGATCCAGTGCTTGAAGGAATGAGCGGCCGATATGCGTACTGCGATGTACAGGTAGTCAAATACGTCCACAGCATACTAGCATTTCGCGCCGAGTCAACAACAACTTTCGGAATCCACTAAGAGTCAGCCGCATGACTTCAGGAAACAAGTTTTGTATGATTGATAAATATGTTTTGGGCTTCTGTGGCTCCTGTACAGCCTTGTAAACGAACTGGGAACTATCAAAGTACGTAATTTTGTTTGAATTGAACTAGTGTTGCGGACCTAGTAATGCGACACCTACCTTCTATTCACATTGTTTTGAGACTGGGAACTCCAATTTTGCAGGGCAACCATCTTCTTCTGAAGCAATGATCAACTGGCTTTGCTAAAGCTAGCCTCACTGTCAAAATTATGCCAAAGTCATGTTATTTGCTACGTTGCATCCCGAACCATGGTCAATAGGGCTTGTTCCCTTTGAAGATATTTGTATATGGGCCTGATGGACGGTGAAAGGCTTTGTGCGCTCCATTCAAAGATAAAGAGTGATGTGTGAGCACTTGAACCGAATTTTGAACAAGACTCGAAATGGTTATAATTCCTGGTCCAAACCTTTAGCTAAGGCACCTGAGCGACAGGAATATCTAGAGTGAATCAGTCTGCTGTGGCTAGTTTAGTTGGCTTGGAGGATGTGAGAAATCAAGACAAACCTTAGATGAGTTGATTGTCTACCCTCTCCAGTTATGCAAAGGCTGGTCGAGGTAGCCACACTCCTGCAATAACTTATGGAGCCGATACGATCGTGAAAGTCACTTATTTTTGGATAACGTTGCCGATGAAAGTCGGCCCGAGAAATCACTCGCAACGTACCTGATCCAAGGGCGTGTGGATCTTGGGGAACTTGGGCCGCCAGCTGGCAACCCAACTGTGCGAAAGCGGGCAGTGCTAAATACAGCTGTGGCGTAGATGAGACAACCATTGGGGAGAGTTCCACAGACAATATTGCTAAACATTCGATCTGGTTTCGAACCCATGGTCCCAGCCACAGTCGTCACATTGGAGATGACCTCAACAGACTTGTTCGCATCGGCCCTTGCAGTGCTGCTCGAAGTTGGGCACCTGGCAAGGACTGTGCCTTGAAACCAATCATCGCACAACTCTTCCAGTGCATTACTCTGCATCCTGGATTCTGGAGGCTTTCAACACCTGAATGACGAGACATGGGTCAAAGTGTTGGACCTGGTTGAAGCAACTGGGCAGTTGAAGTGTTTTATGGATGGAATCTCATTGAAATTTAGACATTAAGCGAAGCTGCCAGTAGGCCTTACTCTCACGATGCCCTTCAGACTTTCTTTTCTTGAATGGCTAGTGCCCTGAGACGTGTTCTTGACCTCTGCTCTCGAACCGAACTCCTCTGCTTCCTTGAATGGGTTGACTTGCTGCGCCACATAAGGGTCTTCGTAGTAACCCCTACTACTCTGAGCCTGTAGCCCACTCTTGCTTCTCTGCAGCTCGATTCCGTCGTCATCAGGGTCGTTTTCTGTGCCACCTGTGCTGAGGCGGCGGTGCTCAAGGGTCACTTTGACTTCGCGTGTCACCAGGATCTGAGACATGTCTATTTGTGAGAGTACGGGCCAAAACACCGGTAGTGCAGCACATATCGTCGCAACGTCGACTTCGAGAGCGGCGAGGACGATCGGTGTTGGGCCATACCAAGTGGGATCAAACGTTGGCGAGGTGGCTGCTCGTGTCTCGACAATCGAGGCAAGACGCCAAATGGAGAAAATACTGGCCCTGGGAAATATTAGCGGGGACGGAACATATCCGGCATATATAAACTTACATGCTGCCGACGCTGAAGAGACCAACCAAAGCCCATCGTGACTTCCTGCTGCTAGTCTTGTTGTATAGTAGCAAGGGTGCAGGAATAGCAAGAATCATCATGTCCAAGATCATATTGGTTGCGGTCAAGCTCGTGTAAGTTGCAACAAAAGTGTCTACCGATAGTGATCCGAACGCGTATCGTGTTGCAGGAATTGCTAGATTCCAATAGGCTTCGACGGGAACGGTAGGCACCCAGGCAAGGAATCCGTATGCTATACACCACTGTCAGAAGCATGCGATTAGTATGCGTTGAAACACGGAGATTTGGGTTGTTGGGGAGGTGGGGGGTGATTAAGTTAGTGGTGCATGTGCTTAACGAGGAGCACTGGGATGTTTTAGGCTCAGACGGCCGACAACACGTAGGGTTACATACTCCAGAGACAATTATGATGGTCCCTACGGTAATATACCATAGACGTGTTCCTCTCTCATAGAGTCTGAGGTACTGAAAAAGCAATGCCAATTTGATAAAGCCCGCCGAGCTTGGATATGTGGCGTTGGCGATGTAGAAGATCTAGAGCCGGAGCTAAATTCAGCTTCACATCTCGGTGCAGGTGGAAGTGAGAGGTATGCTAACCCTTAGATATTCAGCCATCTTTGCTTCTCCGAGGAGCACAAAATGCTGTCCAAAGCCAGCAGCTGTTGAAAGACATATTGATATAGAACCAGCAGATGTCGTAGCCTGTGGCACATGGTTAGTTCTGACAAGCTCTGCGATCACCTGACCGTATGCCAAAACACGTACAACTGCTAGCACCATAAAGAAGTCATCCCACCAGGGCGACTTCACAATGAAAAGTCGAGTGTAAAGTCGCAGCAGGGCACAAATCCATGTCAACACCTGTTCACGGCAACAAATTTCTGTCAGAGAAACCCTTCGAGGAGACGGCAATCCGAGCGAATTTAAGGCGGTCGATCCATCATCCGATTGCGCATACCATGAAGCTTATAACGACTCCGAGGATGTTGTGAGTGTGGTTTAGGAACATAGGCTCCTCATCCAAATTATCGTGTGCACCGATCAAGTCGGTTAACAGTGCCATGATCGTATCATCGCCTGAAATGTCGACAACTTGATATTCTTCTCCGCTGGGAAAGTTGTGTGCAGTCGGCCGTGGGTCGTTGAACGTAGATCGTAGATCGTCAGCGAGAGTTGACCTGTCAATTAGGGCCGGCGGGTGATCGATATAGATTCGGGCTCATCTACATTGCCAAGGCGTAAATGCCGTTGATGGCTCCGGGGAGCGTGCCTTTTTGTGATCCTGCCCGCCTGCATGATAGGCTTCCGGGTCGGGTAGTGGGTTGGTGGATCACGTCCACACGGGCCCCTGATGATCACAGGAAAAACTGGGCATGGGCACCCCTCAGCTCCGCCGCACACGTTGATGAGTGGAGTGTTCCGCTGCAAGTCATTGGGAGGCACAAGAGACCTGACTTGAAGAACGCCCTCGGAGTTGAATTGCCATTTTGGGACATTTTAAGGAAACGGAACAGAGGGGTGGGAGTCAATGTCACAAGATGGCATCTCGAAACCTAGAATCTTCGGATATGGGATGGCAGATGCATATTTTCGAGGCGGTCAAAGCTCGCAGGCCGCCAAACCTGGGCATGTTCTTGACCCTGCAAAACGAGATGTGTGACGAGTCCCGGCAAATATCGTGGCCAATGATTACAGCATCGAGTCAAGAATCAAGACGTGCTTTGGCCCTGTTAAGCGGGACCTGCCATAGCAGCGGGTATTATAAGTGAGGTGCAGACGCGAAGGGTTCCCCCTTTCCGGAGAATCACCTGATTAGGCAGGGATCTGTACCTGAAGGTGTGGATATCTTGACTTTGATCTCGCAAGGCACGACAGATCTAGGTCCCGTCGCCGTGGCCACCCATCTCATACATGACTTGACTTGAATGAATGAAAATCAGCAACTGACTTTTCGGACCTCACTCTGAATCCCCAATCTTAGGCATTGGGATTCAAATGTGACCTCAACAAGCCGCCAAGTCTCCTATCGTCGACAACCGCCCCATACCCATCGTCTGGGCTGTGCTGGTGGGCACTCCGGTGAGATTTGGATCCAGAGTGAAGGTAAAGCATGTGTTGTGCACACGATAAAGTGAAGTTCAGAGAACCCGTGACTCGTCTGCCGAACGGTAACGTGCTTAATTCGCAAAGTAAGTCCTATCTGTGTCCCAGCATCGGTTTCACGTAGTGAAGGAGTCGACCGCTCTCTCCACCTGGCATCTCCCCGACTCTACAATCTGCAGGATATCAAAGCGATAGTCACAAGCCACACCGAAGCTATTTGCGCTGATCCCCACACGAGATCGCACGCGCCCCTCTTCGAACAGGGTTTGAGCGGGTACGCATGGGTTGTCGTTTGAGGCTAGTACGGATGATCAGCAAGGCCAGTTGGCGTGATGAGCTCGGCGTTTTCATGAAGATTTGAACCAGCCTCCGTCGTGAAGCAGCTCGTCCACCACTCCGGTGACGAGCCAGCTCCTACTTTAAATCATTGACTTTCCCTTGACCAAAGTGGCCGCAAGTGAAGAGTCAACCGATGAACTATGGCCCACGGCTTGCATCTAGTCCAGCAGATACAGCTAGATTCCGAAAATGCTGGTAAGATCCCACGATTGCCAATACAGCAACAGCTAGGGTTCGGGACAAGCGAAGAAATGACATCTCGTTTCCCGCCATTCATGCACGTCAGGAGGCTGGCTGTCAATTAAATGAACGAAGCGTGAACGCAAAGATGCAAATTAAATCAGTGGACTATAGCCACTGACTGCACAAGACCAATACTCTGCCTTTCGTCCGGATTCGATTCCAATCCTCTTCTCTTGTGGCGCCTCAGGCATATCAGTATTTATTACGCTTACCAGAGACACGGTGTAAGGTTCCTGCTTGGGACCCCTTGCCACCCTGGTGTATAATGCAGATCCCGATCAGTTCCAAGACTTCCGTGCAGTTGAACCGCTTATAAGCACCCTGAGTACTATGTGGGACAGACATACCACATCTATTGTGACATAACCAGCCTGCTCCGTTTTCGGACAATCAGCATCGAAAAACCAGTCAAAACCGCCATATCTGGCAAGGCTCGCCTGCCTAATGTTCGAAGTTAGACTGCCTACGATAAGGAGACGAAAGACTTGTTTCGATTTGCGCGTGGAATCATCGACACAGACACAAAATCTTCGACACAGACATAGCTACTTACGTCCACACAGGTCTAGAAATACCCCAGTGGCACGTGAAGAAGCGCAGGTCTCTGAGAACTTCCCATTAGACATCTCAGGTAGCCTACGGAGACCGGGCCCATGTCTGCGACTCGATTTCCTTGTCATTTGGGGCAAATTGAAGCAGATCTACCTTGGCCATGTTACAGTAATCTTGGCGACTACCGTACCGCGCAGTATGGGTCTCGTGAAGACGGCCCCTAGACCATCCCTTGGGCGATAAAACGGTCCCTTTCTGGCGTCCGTCGGGCGACAATTATTGCCCCAAACGATATTCTTTTCAAAACCATTTATTTTTGAAGACTATCTGCATCAAAGAGACCTTCCCCCTTTTCAACAGGCCCCCTCTTACCTATCTAAAGTGCTCCTTCCTCAATATTCTTGGGGGAGAAATTGAGAAGATCATCAATTTATTTCAATAGTTCAATCAAAGAGTTACAATCAGAAGCTCATCTTTGAAGAGAATATTACTAGAGAAATGAGAGAGAAAATCTTTGCTGGCTAGTTTTTGTGCCTAAGCGTAATCTTGAGATCTGAAATCTGAAGATCAGTATTCCTTCAAAACCGAGATTCTTCGAGACTGCCTTCGAAAAAGGGATGGACCTGTCGTTCTTATTCGTCGCCCGACCGGCTTGACAAATCCACCGTTTTTACAGGCCCCATGCTGTGCGGTACGGTAGTTAGCACAATGAAAGCAATATCTCAAGTGCTATACATCGAATACTGAACTCTTCAACTGAAAGGCTAGGATGCTGACCTGTGAGGTAGCAGCGTGCCTAGATCAGATTTTGTCATAACTCTGCTATTCCAGCGTAAGCACAACCCTGTGTTCAGAGCCACTAAAGACAAGAGTCAAGCAACGAAGCTAAGCCTGGCCAGAGAATGATGTGGTATAATGATGTGGTCTGCATCTTATAAGGGATGCCAACTCAAATTCTGATGACACATCTAGCGGTGTGGGATTTGATACGAGCGATCCCTCCCCCCCCCCCCCCGCCCCACCATACTTGAGGTCGAAGGCTGGATACATTGGCCGGGGGATCAGCTGATCAAAGTTGATTGAGCTCAGAGGAGATCTTAGCTGTCACAGTTACTGAAATGAAGTTTGACCCTCAGACTATTTGTCAATTGCTTGTCGAAGTCTTCAAAGGCGGGTAAAAGGACATGGACCAGTCCGCATTTGGGGGGAAGGGATAAAATGTGAAAACATAACATTTTTACAACATCAATTTCTTTTATAATTTAAAAACCGCGTGCTATACCACATGAAGAAAAAAACGTATATAGAAGACTCAAAAGGTATATGTTTCAAACATGCGATGTCACGAACAAGTGGCGATCCAACTTGCACGTTGACTATGCACTTGGAGGGCCTCTGTCATGGCTCGTCTTTGTCTTCGACCGCCCACTCATAATCAGGGAGCCCTGTTTTATCATCCCCAAATGCGCTGGCAAACATCCCACCGACCCATGCAAACATACCGCTGAAAGCCATGCCCCAGCAAAGGACGACAAGAACTGTATTTCGTAGCCAAATACCCCAAGCCGTCTGTGGAGCAAGTATCCAAGGGACACCAGGTGGGATCTTTTGAAGCTCCTCAATTATAGGGCTCATACGCTCTTCGTATCCGCGGAGGCCAGCTGCAAGGTCGCCCCTATACCTGCTGATCTCACCTGCCAACACGTAAGCGCCTGCCATAGCGAGACTTGTCCCAGTGCCAGTAGGACCAGCTGCATAACCAGCGTCACCGACCAGGACGAAACGCCCCTTGTGGAGACTCGGCACCTTGACTTGTACCATTTCCGACGCGTAGAAGTCAGTCGATTGCATCATTCCTTGAAGTATATCGTCTGTCTTCCAGCCGGCCCCGGAGAACTGCTTAGCGACGTAGGTCTTTAAAGCATTAGTCCCTTGCTTCGATGCCTCTCTGAAGGGCAGCGTCGCATCCCGACTTCCCGGATGGATAAATTGTGTAACAACCCGACTTATGCCAGTGGGATCTGGGCCAACCGCAAGGAACCGACCCCCTGTGGTAGTCCACGCCTGTCCTATCTTGCTACCATCAAGGAGATCCTTTTCCAAAGAGAAATATGCAGTCCAGCAATTCAGCGACCTTATATGGTCTCGAACACCGCAGCTGAGTCCCATGGCCCGAGTTCGTGAAGTGGCGCCGTCGCAGGCCACGACGAGGTCGTATTGCATTGTTGGATGACCGTTTGCGAACTCGACTGTGATGAGCTCAGCCTCCTCGGCTTGCTGCATGGAAGAGATCTGCTCGCCAAAGACGTAGTTGATCCTCTCGTTATCCTTGGTCATGTCGAACAAGATCTGTGCCAAATCGCCGCGAAAGATCTCGTACTCGGATACTAGCGACTGCTGGTTCGGGTCGCCGGTAGCTTTCATGGTCGCAAATGGCCGGCCGTCCCCGTTGACGAAACTGATGCCCTCTATACCAGTCGTCTTAGCCCTTACGGCTGCTTCCATCCCTGGCATCTTCCTCATCACTGATACACCGGCGGAGCGGATGTCGACATTCTGTCCACCAATTCGCAGCTCTGGGAAGCGTTCGACGACAGTGACTTTGGCGCCGGCTTTAGCCAGCCAGTAGGCTGCTGTTGGCCCTGCGATGGACGCGCCCACCACAAGCACTTTCAGGTTAGACATTGTGACCTATCTTATATCCGTAAAGAGAGCATTGGGGAAAGTATTGATACCTGCAAGTCGTGTGATATGTGGTACTTGCATCAGGTATATATGCAAGGCGCCATCGGACCAATTCGGCCTTCCATTCAAACCTCGGACGTTATCTTTCAGCATCGCCGGGCTTCAACGGCCAGAGAGAGCAAGCACTAAATTAGACCCGGGTCTACAGCAGCGCTAGTTTGCCCCTAATAACTTGACGACTTCAGTTGGCTCGTTTCTGACCTGTTCCCAAGTCGGAGTTTCGCATAGCTACATGCAGTTAGGCTGGGGCTGGCGGCGCAATTTCCCGGCTCGCATAAAGCGTATCCGAGCACCGAGATCCATTGATACTAGTATTGTCACGAGAGGAACTGAGGCTCACTGAATCACACCTCGATAGACACGACGTAACCATGTAAACACAATTCCATAACAACGACCCAGAGATCGGGAGTGTTACAGTGATCGTATTCAAAGTGATCAACTTCTCCACTCATCATGCCAACATCCTGTCTTCTAATAAGATCATTCAGATCTATGTCCAAAGATGGTTCAGATCCAGATTACATAAGCATCAAGGCCTGACATAACATTGGAGCCTAGGCAGCAAGCAGCGTTTGCCTTTCATCGCTGCCTCAACACCGGATCTCCATGCACTTCCGTTGAGCTCCCTGGCCCCTGGCTCAACCTGATCAATCCAGAGAAAGAGCTACATGCATTCAATGCTTGCCAGTGACTCACCTCGATAAGATAGATGCTCAGGTGTGATGTAACGTGTATCACAGCCTGCCCCACTCTGCCCTCGATTCTGTTGTTGGTATGAAGGCAGCACTGCACAGCCCCACGCAGTTAGTCAAAAGGTGCATTCAGCCATCTCAGACACTGCTCTCGAGATCAAGCAACACTCCACGACTTTTCTGGTCCAGCAGCACCTCATCTGAAGCAAGGCCCGCCATGGCTGCACGTACGTCAATCGAGGATTTTCAGGACCTTATCAAGTCCAGCAACCGCATCCTCGCCCTCTGCGGAGCTGGTCTGTCAGCAGCCTCCGGCCTGCCTACGTTCCGAGGGGCAGGCGGATTATGGAGAAACCACGAGCCTACTTCCCTAGCCACGCCCGAGGCTTTCGAAGAGGATCCCTCACTGGTCTGGCTCTTCTACGCTTGGAGGCGACATATGTGTCTTAAGGCACAGCCCAACGAGGGTCACTACGCCCTTGCAGAGTTGGCAAGAAAAAAGGAGAATTTCGTTTGCCTGACGCAGAACGTCGACGGTAAGAACGAGCTGCACCCCGCATGGGATAGAAACTGACCATTGCTTGAGGCCTATCAAATCGAGCCGGTCACCCCACAGACCGCCTACACCTCCTCCACGGGAGCATACTGGATCTGAAGTGCTTCGATGGCTGCACATATATCGAGAAAGACAACCTCTCCGACCCCCTCTGTCCCGCCTTAGAGGCAGCATCCGCGGTGAACACGGCACCAGACAAGTCCGGCAAATTGCCCCTGCTTGACCCCAAGGTGCCAGTGCCCAAGATCGACGTCAAGGACTTGCCTCACTGCCCGAAGTGCAAAGATAAGTATTTACGCCCGGGCGTCGTCTGGTTTGGCGAGTCACTAGATGAGAAGATGCTGGACCAAACAGATGAATGGATCGACTCGGCTCCTGTTGACCTGATGTTGGTTATTGGTACTGCAGCTGTGGTGTACCCGGCAGCAGGCTACACCCAGAAGGCCAAGAGGAAGGGTGCTGTTGTGGCGGTGATCAATCCTGATCCAGGTGCTTGCGCGGGACTGGGATCCAAGGACTTCTTCTTCCAGGGTGATGCGGCCGAGATTCTTCCCAAGCTGTTTGCCAAGGTTATTTGATACGCAAAGTTCTGACTCTGGCACCTGAGACTCGACTAAATGGGCAGCAAGCATGTTCAGAGCCTTTCTTGAGTGATGGAAAGAAAAGAAAGCCATCGTTGTCTAATTATCTAAGCGGGTATCATCGCGTGGTATTATCTTTTTACAAATTAACAGCAAGTTTGGCTCCCACCTCGGTCGAGTTGTTTAGCCCCTTAATTAGCTCCCCTGCCCTCTCACCAGCAACCATCACACCAAACTGCGGATTGACCGTCAGCGGCGCGACGATGCTCGCGTCAACCACGTGCAGGTTCTCCATCCCGATCACCCTCGTCTGGGCATCCACGCACTTGCCAATTCGACAGCTCGAGCTCCAGTGGTTGACCATACCCACTGCGTAGTCAGACGGCGTCGTGATGTAAGTCTTGATCTCCTCCTTGGTCGCGCCCTTGGCGATATTGAGCGGCACTAGCCCGGAGTCACTCTTGTCCAGCGCCGAGAACAGGTCCCAGATGAACTGGGCGATATCGTCGGCGTCGCGTCCTGCTGGGTCGGAGTAAAAGTTACCGCTACCACCGCTGGGAATGAACTTGCCCGTCTCTGAGTCTTGGACAAGGGAAACCTGGCCTGTAGAAAGGAGACCGGAGGTACCATAGATATTAAGCGTTATCGTGCTATCGTTGGTGAATTCGGAGTATCCGGCTGTGCCGATTGTGCCTTGAAGACCGGTTGGCGCGGAGCCATCGGTATGATTGATATAGGTCCAGAAAGCAGAAGTCTGACCTGCGTAAGAGTAGGCCCCGGAGCGGCTGTTCAAATACAGCTCCCGGTCAGCCTCGATGGGAGACTTGTAGGAGTAGGTGTACGAGTCCAGAGTTGGGGCGGTCAGCTCAATGAATGTGTTGGGGTTGTCAAACAGTCCGGCACCAACGTCGCTGTTGTTGAGCCACGTCTCGGGTGTCATAGCCGGGTCCAGGGCGCCAGCTTGATGCAAGGTGGTGAGAACGTTTGCAGGTCCAATTCCTGATTGCATCAGGAGTGCTGGGCTGGCAACTGCGCCACCGCTGAAGATGATGCGGCCAGTGGAGCTGAGGTTGATGGTGGTCTCAACGCCTTCGACTATGGCCTTTACTCCCGTAGCTTTGGAGCCCGTACGCACAGCTCGGGAGACTGTAACATTGCTCTGAAGCGAGAAATTTGGTCGCTGCAGGGCGGTTTGCAGGTAAGTAGTGACGGGGCCGCCGCGCTGCCCGTTGCTGTAGTCGTAAGAGGTGTGTCCGAAGACAGCCTGCTTCTGATCTGGCACATCGTTGAAGACAACCTCCGAGTATCCTGCTCCATCGACAAGCCACTTCCTGGCTGCCTCATAGCTGGTCTGTACATTGGATGGAGACGTAACCTCGACGGAAGGTTGTCTCGCGTACAGCCTCTGAGTTGCCGCTTTCACATCAGTGCTCTTCCAACCATCCGGGTGGAAATCATCCCAGTCCGATGCGGGAGGCTCGAAGAACAAGCCCGCATTGATGGCGCTTGAGCCGCCAATGGTGCAGCCACCGTAGGCTTTTATTCTATCGCCACATGTGAGGGTCTCAGATCCTGTGAAGATGGTGTTGTCTATGCCAAATGGACGTGTTAGTTCGCAAGCGCTTTAGATGTTCCTGAGCCACGGAAGGCGTGGGTCTGGACTTACACAATCCAGGGACGTCAACACGGCTTAAGTTGCTGCCGGCGAGCCAGTCGGGTCTCTCTGTGCCACCTGTGATTCCATATGATGGTCCTCCTTGTTCCAAGAGCAGCGTCTTCAGGCCCGTCTCACTCAACCTGTCCGCGACGATTATACCCGCAGGTCCAGCGCCTACCACAATGAAATCGTAGGAATCAGCCGTCCAGTCCTCGGCCCTCCCAGTCACAGGAGCCGCTGTCGCATGCTGCAGCAGCAGGGCCAATGCCGAGATTTTGAGTGATCCTCTCATTGTCGCTACCAGTATTGATCAACCGGCTGCTCGAGGGGGTCGGTACGGTGTTTTGGTGACGGGTGAGGTGAGGCCAAGACGTTTACCACGTTGGGGGGTAAATGTATGCTTTTAACCTTTGATTTAAGCTTCAAAATCAACTCGGTGAATGTCAGCTCGCATGCGGGTCGCGGCAGATTAGAGACTTGATCGGAATCCTCATGTCAAAGTATCAAAATAGCATCGTAAAATGAGATGCGGGTCTTGGCCGAAAGGGGCAGTGGGAATCTTAGAGACATCAGCTGCATTCCAGTCACGCAAAGCCATGACTTGCCCTGTGCTGCTGCAACTCTACTTGCTATGACATAGCCGTTGCCCCTTGTCTGCGCCTCTGTCGTAATAACGTTATTATTATCGCTCGGGTTTGCTAGCTTGGCCCTATCCAAATATGCCGTTGCGTCTATACTTTTCAGAGGTCTAGTATGCACCGCAGATCTCTTGGCGAGTCGTGTTGGCGACTAGCTGCATCGTTAAGGCTGTCAGCTTAGATCCATCCCGTCCCGCGCAATACGAGGCCAATGAAAACTCCACTCAACGGGAACCCCGATGCAGTCTGTTGCCGTTCGGAGAGGACGCTGACCTGAATTGCCACCATGTGTGCCTCAAATAGATTTGTCGTGGAACAGACTGCGGACCTGGTAGCATAGACGCTGAGACGATGAATATTTGTACAACTAGCTGATGCTGCGCCTAGCTCAAAATTCCTGAATACGGAATGCCACCGAGGAACTCGGGCACCCGCTGCCAACGACCTCAGAGTATCTTCGCTAATCGTTGGCTGAACGCGCATCCACCTCGAGCTCGACCAGAATGCCTAAGGCCGCCGAATACCTCGTATCAATAAGCCTGAACTCCTGAACCCCATACTTCTAACGCCCCTTTTCCCAAGGAACCAGACGGAAAAACGACCACATGTACTCGGAAAGATTCCGCAAGACATCCAAAACAAAGTTGTCCACCTTCCTTGAGCCAGACACTTCTTCAATGTACACCATAGACCACAACCACTTCTCGTGCCGATCTTGCCACTGCAATCTCTCATACCTGAGCGGGAGAAGGGTTAAAGGCCATGGGCGGCCGTTGTGGCATCTCATGACTCCCCCTCCCATAACTCTGGCCCTGCACACCATGCTGCGCGTATTGACTTTCAGCATAGTAAGAAGCTGCCGCGCCCTGGCCGCCGTGATCCACGCCACGGTATCCGCTCGTGCTAGTCCTGCCATACTCGCCCTGATAGCCGGTAGGGTCCATTGACTGCTTCTCTTGTGCACCCTCCTCGTTGAATTGTTGCCCGTTCCTCCCAGCGAAATAACCAGGCGTCCCGCCATACAACCCACCGCTGTTATCTGCGCTATATCCAGGAACCGTGCTATTGTGCTTATTGGCCTTGCTTTTGGCCTTTCGTCTTCTCTGAACGAGGATGGACGCGATTATGGCGATAATGAGTATTACTGCGACGACAACGACAATGGCTATAGCCGCTGGTTTGGAGAGTTTGCTACCTGTTGAGTGGGAGGTAGTGTGGCTGATCTTTGACTTCCTTCTCAAGGGTAGTATAAAGGTTGATACAGGATCCACTATGAAGGGCGCCATGTTGAACGGTTCGGGTTGTGTTACTTTAATCCCAAGGAGCAGGATCCTGTCAGCGATGAGCGCGGATGCAATTGTTCGTTCGCGACGGCATCAAGTGCGTGTAAAAGAGTTTGACGGAAAAGATTTAGACGCAAGCGGGATTGAGAACGGATCATGTCGTTATTATGTATGTGCCGTTTCCCGACAAGTCTGTTCCTTGGCCTGGTGTGACCTGAAATCGAAACTTGGAGCCCTCAATATGGCCAAGTGGTCTGGATTTCATGAAAATCAACCCGGATGCTTGCAGGTACCGAAATCTTTCAAGTTGAAGCAGGTCGACAAAATAAGCCTGGCCGCGGTCGAAACTCACATCAAATGTCGATCAGAATCGTTTCATGGGATGCAGCCCTCATTGGCTGGCTGTGTCGGGCGGCTGAAAATTGGGGGCCGCGCTGCAGACCTCCGAAGGAATGATTGGGTTTTGGCATCTCGATGCTGAGGCGGGTCGAATTTGTGGCCGACTTCAGGTACGATGTAGCACCCACTAACACCAACAAAAACGTGTGAAGACGGGCCGGGCTTAGGGCCCGAGGTCGACCTTCAATCATCACAATAGTGATTTGCACCAGACTCGACGAATGCCACAAATGCCATTCATTGACATGGTCAGTGGTCCGGTGCGGGAAGGAAATTTTGGGAAACAAAATTAGAAACTTTATGGCCGTGTCCATCGTTAAGTTGGATGGTCTCTGGGTCCCAGGGCGAGGCGAGCATTTTTGTGACCGGTGACAGCGGTGCTGGGCAGGGAAGGGACGTTTAGTGATTGATATTGAGGACTACATGAATCTGAACAACGGAAAGTAAAAGGCCTGACCGCGAATATCACATCATCTATCTACTCCACCATCCATAGCCCGTATCATAGGGCGGTCTCGTCATGCTGCTTGGTTTGTATAATGTCGTTCTCCGAGCTCCCCTTCTTAAAATCCTGATGTGCGATGGTTTCCAAAGACAAGCCCTTGGTCTCCTTGAGAAAGAAGAAAGCGAGAATTGCAATGACAACGTCGAAGACGCCCCACAGCAGGAAAGTACCCCAACCCATATTCGTTATCATGTAAGGGGTGGTCAGAGAGAAGACAAAGTTGAACAACCACTGTGACCCGACCCCGATGGAGACACCTGGTTCACGGATACGAGCTGGGAAGATCTCAGACACGTACGGCCACGGCATTGGGCCCCAGCTGAAGTTATACGCGATGACGAACAGGTAGATCAGAGCAACCGTGGCGATGCCCGCGCTGGTGACCTTGCCTTCTTCCGGTGGCGGGATCGCCTTGACGACGGCACCTGTGGTAATCTGGCAAGCGGCCATGAATGCTGCTCCTCCAATCAGCACATTTCGCCGGCCGACCCGCTCCGAGACCAACAAAACAAAGAGTCCGCAGGCCACGACCTTGATAGCCCCAAAGATCGCAGTAAGCAGCAGGTCCTTATTGCCCGACCCGACGAGGATCTTGAAGTACTGTGGTCCAAAGTAGGCAAAGGCTGTGGCGCCAGTGGCTTGCTGTGCTGCAAATATGGCGAACCCAGTGAAGACTCGCTTGAAGTTATCACCCTGAAGAAGCTCCGTGACATGGAAGCCTTCGGTCGCGCGAGCTTCCATCTCGACTCCAAGCCTAATGTCTTCCATCTCATCGATCACGGCTTGTGAGTCGTCTGCCCGGATCCACTTCAGGCTCTCAAATGCCTCTTCATGACGGCCTTTCTTGGTAAGCCATCGAGTGCTCTCCTTGAGCGTCAACATCCCCAGACCAAGGAGGGCCCCAGGGACCAGCTGTAGACCGACGGGGATCTGCCACTGCCGCGCGTTGCTCGGACCCAGAGCCACGCCATAATCGACCCAGTAACTGGTAAAGATACCGAAGGTAAAGAACCACTGGAAGAAGCTCCCTATTTGTCCTCTGATCTCCTTGGGAGCCATTTCTGAGCTGAACATAGGCACAACCACCGTCGCCGTGCCCAGTCCCAGCCCGGCTATAACCCTCGCGACATAAAAGGCCGCCAGCGAGTGTGTATTCACAGTTTGTATGAGTGCACCGATACAGAAGACCAGGCTGGAGATCATCAACGCCTTCTTGCGCCCGAGGAAGTCGGTCAAGGGCCAGGCGAGGAAACATGCGACGAAGGCCCCGAGCTGCTGGAGTCCGACAGACAGCGAATTGGTCCGTGTTGCTTCTGCATTGGTGTAGCCATAGTCGCGCTGGAAGGACTTGAGAGTCAAGACGCCGCCAACAATACCAGAATCATAGCCAAAGAGGAACCCTCCTATGCAGATCACACTGGCTAGATAAAAAGCGCGGATTCGACCTAGCCGGGTGCCTTGCATATTTAAGTGGGACGATCCCAGTCTTGTCAGGGAGAGTACGACGTTGGCTGTCTATGCAAAGGTATGAGAAGCGCGCTGAAAAGATTGTCAATCAAGGGTGATTCGAGGGCAAGACGAATCTCTCTCAACGGGGAACTAGACTGTGGCCTAGCAGCGCTCCGTCAGATTCGAGGGTAGGGACAGGTGTCGAACAGACGTCTTTTGATCGAGCACTGTCCAGCCTTTTAACGTTCGGCGAGCTGACGCACTCCTCAGTTCTATGCTTCCCCAAACCAGCCAAGATCCTTGTGTCTCGCTTCTCCATCGGCCACCAAGCTTACCGTTCGTTGGCAGGCTCAGGGTGGCTGGCCACTTGCAAATGAAATCTGCCGTTCCCAACGAGCTAGATCCTCTGACATGCATGAGCGACATTGCTGGTTACCAGAGTTGGTGAATGTCCTTCAATGTCAGGAATCGTCGTGATAGATCCTGGCAATCATGTCATCCAGCTCAGCCAGTTAGAAAAGAAAACAGGTGGGTTGAGACCCAGCAAAGCATGGCCAACTTTGGAGCGACCAGCCGACATCCTACCCCCGCATTCCGGATGCAAGTCGTCACAGGTCCCAAATCTGCAATGTGACCGACTTCCAGGGATCGCCGATGTTAAGTGTCGGTGTCTGTCACGGTACATGCACACAGCTGGTGAATTAGTGAGCAGTTGCGGGCCCACCACGTACCGGAGACCACAAAGCCGACATGAGGGAAGAGACCAATCGTTTTACACTGGAGTCGTAATCTGGCCCGACTTCCCCTCTCGATCCCCAGTGTGATCAGCTGGAGATTGCTCTTGTCTGAAGCCGCCTGGCTGATGAGTAGACGTTATTTATTTGCCAGCTCATGCTGCGTCTCAGTAAGGCTTGCGTCGATAGCCAGTATAAGTGTTGCGGAGAGCAGAAGGATTTCGCTTTCCTCGACCACACTATCTTGCTTCACATCCTTATTATTATAGTTCCCGGACTAGTTGAGTCCAGCCCACGGAACGCCCAATTTGTTTTCGGAGTCAAATACAACTTCCACCAACATCATTCGTCTGTGACTCCAACTTCGAGATACCACAATGGCTCCCGGAAAGCGCCCAAACTTCCTCGTAATCGTCGCAGATGACCTGGGCTTCAGCGATATAGCGTCCTTTGGCGGTGAAATTAACACACCACATCTGGACAAGCTTGCCCAAAATGGCCTGCGTTTCACAGACTTCCACGCCGCAGCAGCTTGCTCCCCATCACGCGCAATGATCTTGACTGGGACCGACCACCACATCGCCGGTCTCGGCAATCTCATCGAATGGACCAACATAAGTGGACAGAACGATCCCAAGGGCGGCATGTCTACGGCCCCTCAACGAGGAATGCCTGGTTACGAAGGCTACCTCAACGAGCGCGTCGCCACGCTGCCAGAGATCTTGCGAGACGCCGGCTACCTTACTTTGATGTCGGGCAAGTGGCATCTTGGCCTCACCCCGGAGCGATCACCCAAGGTGCGCGGCTTCGAGAAGTCCTTTGCGCATCTCCCAGCCTGTAGCAACCATTACGGCTACGAGCCGCAGCTCGAGGGCGCGGACCAGATCCCTGAATTTATGACAATGTCCTTCATCGCATTGCACAGCGAGGACGGTGAATATGTCAGGAAGTTACCCGAGGGATGGTATTCTAGTGACGGGTACGGGGATAAGATGCTATCGTACCTCAAGGAGTGGAAGCAAGAGAGCGAGGGCAAGGCGGAGGAAGACAAGAGACCGTTCTTTGCCTATCTTCCATTCACCGCGCCGCATTGGCCATTGCAAGCGCCACAAGACTACATCAAGAATTACAGAGGCGTTTATGACGACGGCCCAGATGCGCTGAGGCAGAAGCGCCTGCAGCGTCTCAAGGAGCTGGGCATGGTGGACAAGGCTGTCGAGCCACATCCCGTTGTGGCCGACGAGGTAAAGGAGTGGGCCGATATGAGCGACGAGGAAAAGGCAAACAGCTGCCGTGCCATGGAGGTGTTCGCAGGCATGGTGGAGTGTATAGATGCAAATGTCGGCAAGATTGTCGACTACCTTGAGTCTGTGGGCGAGCTGGAAGACACATTTGTGTGCTTTCTTTCCGACAATGGCGCTGAGGGGGCGGCATATGAGGCGTATCCTATTGTGCAGGGGAGTATGATCCAGCATCTAAAGAAGTACTACAACAACCACATCGACAACCTCGGCAACGGTAACTCCTTCATCTGGTACGGCCCTCGCTGGGCTCAGGCCGCAACTGCTCCATCGAGGTTGTACAAGGCTTACACTACGGAAGGGGGCGTCCGCGTGCCATTCATGATGAAGGTGCCGAAGGAGTGGGAGGGAAGCATTGAGAAAGGCGGCATCACGCACCAATTTAGTACCGTTATGGATCTTGCGCCGACGATACTAGACATGGCTGGCGTTAGGCATCCTGCGCCTGTTTATCAGGAAAGGGAAGTTGTCAGCATGCGAGGGAAAAGCATGATGCCTTACCTCAAAGAAGAAGTCGGGAGAATCCATGAAAAGGATTTTGTGAATGGGTGGGAGACGTGTGGGCGGGCAGCGGTGCGCAAAGGCGACTGGAAGATCGTGTTTATCCCAAAGCCTAAAGGCCCAGAGAAATGGCAGCTATACAATCTGGCCAGAGATCCGGGAGAAATCCATGATCTGGCGGATCAAGAGCCACAGAGGCTGAAGGAGCTTATCAAACTATGGGACCAGTATGTGCTGGAGACTGGAGTGGTTCCGCTATCAAAGGACCTGGGCAACTGGATGGCGGCGATGGAAGAGCAGATGCCTGAAAACGCATGGATCGAATATGAATACTGGAAGGACGGAGCCAGGGAAGACCCGGCCAAGTTCACCAAGAAAGTACCAAGATTTGTGCGACAGGTCAAGGCCTTGTAACTGAGTTGCAGATAGGCAAAATGTCCACCTCCTCCAAGGGGAAAAGGAAGACTTGCTGACCACCAGTCAATTGCCGCCTTCTGTTTTATCTATTGAAATTTCGAGAGAGTCTGTTCCTCACATACATCGTTGCTATCGTACTTCATAGGCGTAACATCAGCCGGCTTCAAATCCGCAATATAGACCCTGGCCACCTGCGTCGATGCGTGAGGGGTTCCCCGGCGTGCGTAACATTGAAGAATACATATCGTAGAGCCAAACCGGTATAGATCAGTCGTCGCATTTGTATTTTCAATTGGGGTTGCCGACTGCGACGACATGGAACAGTGTCCAAATGGTGGTTCACACGAAAGCTGATACCTTCCTGTGGACAAGACGGATGGATCGTTCTATGGACTCACTGACGAAGTGAGTTCCAAGGGGTTCCAACAGCCTGGAGTTGAAACAAGCTGAAGCAAGGGTGCATGCTAGAGATATTTTGTACGGGAGAGACCCAGAGGCCATTCTGTGTTTACCAATCGAAGGAGGACCAAGACGGATGGGCGACCGTACTTCCGTGTAGCTAGTTCGACTTGAAGTTCATGCTATATCCCCCCGTCTTTGGGTCCTGCACCATCTGAAACTGGTCTGTCGATAGCCCGAACGGCTTCAATATCCCATTTCCTAGCTGCGGCATGAGGCAAGGTCAATCAGGGGAAAACGTGGTCATCGTTGATGAGAAGGAGTATAAGCCTAACTCTCACTCACGTCTTTCAGCTTGCCCCACATCTCAGCGGTCTCCTTCTCCTTGGCCTCATTGACGCGTGCCGGCAGTGATTTTAGTTGCTGCTGTACAAGCTTTCTATCAACGGGTGTGATGTTGTCCATCTTGGCAAGGATCTTGTAGTCTTCCTCGGCGCCGGCGAGATTTGTCCATCCACCCTCCTCACTCCGGGCACGGGCGCGCCTGATCAGAGCCTTGTACCGTATGCGCTTGATGTCCTCCCTCTTCTTGTCCCGCGCCACCTGAGCTGGATCCTCCTTCTCGTCTGCTGGGATTGCGGGGCCCGCCTTCTCGGCACCAGCGCTGATGATCTCATCCTCGACCTCCTCCTCCTCTTGCTTCTTGGCCTCAGCAGCGGCCTTCTCCTCCTCTGCGAGTCGGGACTCGAGTTTGTCGAGCTTTCCTAGGGCAGCGGTGGCAGCAGTGTTGGCGTCTTTCCACTCCTGCAGCTTGAGGTAGCAGGCGGAGACGTTTGATTTCAGGACGGCGAGCTCAAAGTCGAGGTAGTTGGGACAAACGGCGACGGCCTCGTCGTACTTGGAGATGGCGGCGTCGTACTTGCCCGAGCTGAAGAGGGTGTTTGCCTCAGTCTTGTGGGTGTTTGATTCGTCGAGGAGCTCCTTAAGAAGGTTGGTATTGTCAGAAAGATGGTAAAGAGCAGACATGTGGACAGAGGTCGTATTCTTAGCTATACTTACTGCCTCCTCTTCTGGTGAGAATCTCACCGGTTCAGGCTCCTCGTCAGAAGCCTCCCCATTCTTTGCAGCGCTTTCGGACTGGGGTTTCTTGATATACTCGGCAGGGTCCGCGGCAGAAGCTTTGCCAGACATCGTGATGGACCTCTTCCTAGTAGAAGAGCTATGTCTGGTTGTGGGAGAAATTAAGACAAGGATTCAGATGCTACGGAAATCAAATGTGGTAGGTGAAGCCAAATCGGAAAAAGATATAACAGCAAAGGCTATGACGATGTCCGTCCTTCCCTTCCATTTGAACCCCACACCCACAGGCTGAGAACCCCTGTCTCAACCCCACCAGTTTGAGCTTGGGACCCCTGAACTTCCAAGATGCCCCTCCATAACGCGCCAGAGTGGGAGTCATCGGTGACCTCGACAGCGATTTATCCATTGCGGCAATGATGTAGATCTGCCGCATCCCCAAACATCACACCACCACAAGGAGAGATCCTGTCCAGAACCTACAATATTGCAATTCGGGTTTCTTCCCTCCTTCCTGTCACTCTTTATTCCCAAGATGGCCCCCAGAACAGAGTCAGTTACTCCCTGGTTTCCCACACCCATCTGCCCTGCCAGACTCCAGACTGACAGACTGACCGTGCCTCCAGCTTCCCGCCCATACGGGCCTGCCTCTTCGACATGGACGGCCTCCTCCTCGACACCGAAGACATCTACACCGAATGCATTAATATCCTCCTTTCCAAGTACGGCCGACCACCCTTGCCATGGTCCATCAAGGCCAGGCTCCAGGGCCGCCCCGGCCCCCAGGCCAACGAGCTCTTCCACAACTGGGCTCAGCTGCCCATCTCCAATGAAGAGTACATGGCCGAGTACTCTGCCCTGCAGCGCGAGCACTTCCCCAGGGCCAAGGCCCTCCCCGGCGTCGAGCAGCTCCTCCAGGACCTGGGCCGGACGAGGTACTGGGATGTCGCCAGCGGCAATGACACGACGGGGGAGAAGAAGGAGGGAAAGAGAGTCCATATAGCCCTCGCTACATCAAGCCACAGCGCCAACTTTGCCCTCAAGACGGCACACCTGACAGACCTGTTCTCCGTCTTCCAGTCGCCGCACCGCGTCCTGGGCGACGACAAGCGCATACAACCCGGCCGGGGCAAGCCGCTGGGGGACATCTACCTGCTTGCGCTCGAGACCGTCAACTCCACGCTGCCTCCGGGCGAGGCACCCATCAAGCCGGAGGAGTGCCTGGTATTCGAGGACAGTGTGCCCGGCGTCGAGGCCGGGAGGAGGGCCGGGATGCGCGTGGTCTGGTGTCCGCACCCGGGGCTGAAGGAGCAATACGCAGGGCGCGATGCCGAGGTGCTGGCCGGCAGGACGGGCGAGGCCGGCGTGGGTGTCGATGAGCACCAGCTTGGGGAGATTGACGACGGCTGGGCTCAGTACCTCCCGGACCTGGTCGACTTCCCATATCATACCTATGGCATCGTCGTCCCCCCGAAAGATGTCGAGTCAGATCCCAGGATGAAGGAGACGGCCAACACGGATGTAGTAGCGGTCCAGGAAGGCCCGAAGGTTTGATGCTAGACTGTGGCTGACCGAAGAGATGCTCAGAAGCTATCAATAGTTCGTTGTCGTCTGAGTGTATCTATTGGTGCATAGGCTGTGGGACGCTCTGAAGCCAGTACATAACAGGTTCTTAGACGCTGAATAGTTCACGGATAAGAGGGCCATAGAACTTACATACCACTAGACAGACCGGCAGACAGACTTAATGATGAAATGATAAACCTCAGCTGAAGCCAATGCTCTGTGCTCCCCACCACCTGTCATGCACCCGTCTCTTGAGTGGCACGGAGGTGGCCAAGGACTCGGAATTTTCCTCTGAGAGCAGGAATGAACGTGATCAAACGCAGTCGGCTACACGCAAAACAGCTGCTTGGGGGACAGAGGTATAGAGACCACAATCAACGGCAGGCGATTCAACATTTAACAAACTCATAATGAACCGAGCACATGGCAAAACAATGGAGCTCCCCACCCGTTCGTATATTCATCCGGGAAAACCTGCTTCTAGATTTGTTTCGCTATACCTGTTGATAAGAATGGGTATCATGCACAACCTATCTGTCCCTCTCACCAGCGAGGGGGCCGCTACTTGACCCGTTTCCTTTTGAGCCTAAACAGCACCCCGCTGAAATACCATTGCTCACGCCATGACCATGCAAACCACCTATCAATTTCCAGAAAACGCCAGCTTGATATATATACCCATACCCAAGCAGGGAGAACCAAAGACTCGCTCAAAGGCCTCTTCTAGACAGCGTCCAGGCGGAAAGAACGCAATAACAATAATCGACCGGAAGGATCTGGTCTTCACCCTCGGTCCATGCCACGATACACCGACAGCCAATGAGCTTCCTATCCTAGTAAGGCCAAAGCCCTCCTCCACCTGACCCAAATGAGTGGTGTGAAGCGCTTCCCTTCTCTGGCGGCTTGTACCACTCGCGATATGGGTGGTTCGGCTGGTTGAAGTCCGCCTGCGCCAGCAGCGGGTTCACCATCGGCCGCGAGGGCGGTGTCGGCGCGTTCGCCGCCGTGCTGGACACCGACATCGAGGCGGGTGTGTGGGCCGTACCGGCTGGGCTGGGGTGACTGCTGCTTGCGATGCTACCGTGTCTGGCAACTCCCGTTGCCGTGTTGGAGCTTGCTGAGAACATGGAGTACGACGGGAGTAGCGGCGGCGGGTTGCTGGTTAGGGAAGCGTGGCGGTGGCGTTCGGCTGCTGCTGCTGCCGCCGCCGCCGCCGCGGAGGGTATGACCGGTGGCAATGGCGGCTGCGAGGTACGCCGCGTGTCCTCCTGTTGCTGCTGTTGTAGCATTGTGGAATGCCCCGAGGGGTCGCGTGGCCCAAAGAGCTGGTTGATCACCGCTGCGGCACCCAGCGTCCCACCTTGTGCAGCAGGGGCGATGACAGGCGCAGACGCGGCGTGTGGAGGCAGGGACGGAGCTGTCGAAGTTGCCGTACTTGGTGGTACATCTGGTGGATCCCACCCCCATGCTCTTCTCAGTTCCCCGATGACTCCCTTAAGATTCCACCCAGTCAATCGGTAAATCCGGTTCACCATGGCCAGGACCTCATTCTGTTCCCTGGGGTCCCTCAGCACGGCTCCCGCAATTGCGAGTGACCGTATTGCAACAGATGAGACACCGGCATCCTTGGTGTGCGCAATAATGCCACAAACTTGGTGAGCGTGATGCTGCTGCTGTATTCGTGACTCCTCGTCATCGTGGTGGGGAGGTTTCAATGGGTTGATTTGAGCGAGCAGGCACATGGCGGTATGGTAGAAGAGGCGGCCTACAATGGCGACGCGTTTGATGAGCCTGTGTCTAGAGGTCAGCACGTCTGCTTTCTCTGTTAAATGGGCATCCGGAAACCCATGCGCAGCTCCTGAAGCGGAAAGATCGGAGTGAATTACGTACCACACATTTGGGAATGCTGATTTGGTTGAGGCGGCAAAGAGATAGCCATACGGCCTCAACGACCTTGGACAATTAGCATTCCATGTGTCGCACCAATGCTTCAATTGCTGCCACTCCTGGAACCGGCTCTGCAGTTTGACCTGTTCATCATGCGGACTTGGTTCCTGGAACTGCGGTATGCTCGCTCTGAAGTTGGCCACCTTGGCCACGATGTATAGGATCCTGTGAACCCAGACTTCCTCGTCACCAACTCCAGCAATGCTGCTCAAAAGCAATGGCGAATCCTCGGTTACTGGTGCAGTCGTATGGTGACCGGTTTCGCTCGCATTCGGCGTTTTTCCCTCGCGACCTGGCGAGTCGGGTGTCATGTTCATTAATTCGTTTGGGTCCACGCCCCAATGATCCGGATCCCACGCTATTGCCCAGTTGAACGCCAGGCAACTGAGAATCTCCATTCCAACATTAAGCCAAAAGCATGCTGCTCCGATTCCAGTGCTTTTAGCGTTCCATTTGCATTCGCGGATCAAGGCTCTTGCACCAGCAATGTGGTTCATTCTAGCAGCGGGCCTCTCACTCATGATTTCGTACACATTCAATACCACTGCAGTGGTAGCGCACTCCTCTGTATCGCGCTCCGGATTTTGTAGACTTCGAAGAAGTTGTGTTGTCGCTGTATCGTAGTAATACAAGGCTTTATCGTCCTTGTAACTGCCGCCGTCCACCAGAGTCAGGTGTTTTACGCCGCAGGCAAAAAAGGCATTGAGCAGCATGGGCGATTTCAGCGCTAAATATGGGATGATGCGGCCGAAATGCTTTTGGTTGTCCAGGCTGTCCATCCACACCGCCACATCTTCGATAAAGACCTGCATGTAATGAATCTCCTCTGGGGTGTTTAAGTAGTCCCGCTCTCCAGTCTTCTCAGATTGCGGTGTCATGAGTCCGTCATGAGGATCGGGCGCGCCGGATCCCGTGGCATGTCTGTAAGATCCTGAAGAGGACGCAGCAACACCCTGGGGAACGAGCGAAGATGCTACGCTGGAACCGTCGCCGGACCTATATCCATAACCTGTCTGGTAAGCCTCCTCCCGCATGCTGTATGGATCGTGCAGCGGGCCCAGGCTGAATGACGGTGCTCTTCCCCCGCCTCCAGAATGGGATGATCCAGGCGTGGGTCCAGAGCTCAAAGCGAGGAACGCATCACTGCTCTTTCGTGAGTGTGTGTGTGACAATTGCTCTTCGTAGCCCGTGAAAGTCTGCTCTTGGACGGTGCGGTGTAATGTCCCAGGATAGTATACCGCATGCGCGGATGCAAATGGGGCAGCCCTGTTGGTTTCCACGACACGGCTAGAGCCTGGGCCGATGGGATTGCTCGGACGTTGTGGTCGTGACTCGGCGCCTGGTGTCTCCCGTGAGGGCGTAACAGGTCCCGAAGTCAGTTTGGCATATCTGGCTGCGCCTCCAACATACTCTGAAGCAATCTGTCGAGACTCATCTTGAAATTTAACTGTAAACTTTCGTTAGCGTAATGCTCGAAGTTGTGGACTCGGTGCACTTCTCCAGGCGTTCGACGCGCCCTCATTTGGTCTCACCTTTCCAATCTACGGGTGGTAGCAAAACGGGCGGCTGCTCCACCTTAAGATCTATAAAGTTAAGCCTAATACCACGCTCGCACTTGCGATTGCTTTTCTGGCAGTTCAAACAGGTTGGCAAGGCCTCGTCACACTTCAGGTGCCGATTTCTGCACGTCAGACATCCCGTTCGCACACGCTTCGGCTTGGCCACCGTTGGCGACACTTCGGATGGCACTGTTTCCCTGGGCTCGCTTTCCCGCCCACTTGCGGTCTTCTCACGTCCGGTAGAGGTCTCGTTGCCCCTGGGAAAGGGCGGTGGAGTCGGCCCATCCACCGCGTGCAACTTTCTCGGGCTGGCAGTGCCCGAATGGGCAGTCGTTTGGCTGGGCCTCCGTGAAATACCTGCGTCAGACACCCTTTGGCGCTTAGCAGCCGGCATTTCGAAGTGGCCATGCGGTGCCGGGCTTGTGGTGTAGTTGCCCCCACCGCTGCTGGCACTTGTCGTGTACGTTGGCGAGGCATTGTCGATTCCATAGGGAGAGTAGGGATTCGGCTGCGAGCCTGCAAGGTGGTGATGAGCCGAATATGGGGACGGGGGGATCGAAGGATGGTGCTGGCCACGAGAACGAGACTGATGTCGCTGCCGTGCAGCCACCACTGCGCCTGCGTCAGGGCCGTAGCCCGACGAGACAGCACCAGGAGGTGCCCCGTAAGCCGCCACGGCTACTGATATCCCGGGTTGAAAGGGAAAAGGGCTGCGGCACAGGGGCCGTGCCGTGCCGTACCGGCCTGGAATGGACCGATGGCACGAGGGGGACGATGCGGTAACAGAAAGGAGAACAGGGACGAAAAGAGTGGTTGGCCGAGGCTTAGAGCACTCGCAGTACTCTCAAAATACCCCCGACAATGGCCGACGTGACTTAAGTAGGATGATGGTGGCCGGAATCGAGGGTGGAGACGAGGATGTTGTGCCGGCGCCGATGAGTTGGAGAGCATGGACAGTGATTCGACAGCTGTCCTGCTCATTCAGGGTTTTGCAAGGCGCCCGCAGTTCGCTCCCTCGGGTCCGGAACTTGACGGCCTTGGTGGAGTAGTTATCCAACCTAGTGTACTGTTGGCGCGGCAGGTTTGATATTTTTGAGTATGCGAAAGTCGTGTGCTGCGATCGTAGGCCGAAGCATTCGCGACCGGGCAATCGGCATCAACCTGCTCAAGGTCCCAGGGACGTATAGAGAGTATGGAACGGAGCCGGGAAGTCGCAAGACCTTGTACAGGAAAGCAGGGTGGGTGCGCCCCCCATGTGACCACAACTTTACTCTCACCGCAGTGTGTCGAACTGGGCACGCAAACGAGGTTGTGACTGCTTGTGGCGTCTATGATTGTTTCCCTCGGAGTCCTTGGCGGTGCTGCGCTCGAAGTCGAAGGGAGAATCACTGCTGGGGACCTCCGGGCAAGCCGTCGACATCTACTGAGCATCCATAGTGAGGGAGGAAACAGCCGTGATAAGACGTCGTGCTCTGGACAATCCAGTCCGGGGGCGCAGTCTAGACGCCTGAGGGTGTTCAGAATCGCTCTCGAGGTGATATGGCCTGGTGGCCCAGCTGAGAGTCCGTCGCACACGAGTTCGCGCAATTTGAAATGCTCAAGCAGTATGAGAGACAATTGGGCGTTCGAGATGGTGCCGAAGCGTCAGTCCTGCACGGTGGTACAGACTGTGTTCCGGGAAATGAGGAGCTCTGCTTGGGAAGACAGTCACCGAAAGAGCTTCAGAGACACAGCAAGGCTTGATCGTGGACCTCGAAGTCGAGACCTGGGAAAATCTAGGCTTCGGGATTTCTTCCCGAAAGATGGAGGTCGCTTGAGCGGCAGTAGCTCTGCATTTAGACCAGTCAAGAGCCAACCAGCACAGGCCCTTTCTAGGAGCTCTCCCTGCTGGTAGCTAGTGTCCGCTGCCCGGGGTGGGGTTGCATACGTTTCTCTGGAGAACAGGGCCCTGTTGGTCGGTCCTTTGAAGATCAATCCCCAGGTTTGGAGCTTCAGAAACCAGCCCCGACTGGCAAGGCCAGGGCGCCTGTCGCATCGATAAATACAAGTTGCGGCGCCTAGCCAGGGCAGAAGCTTAAGATCTAAGGAGGACTGTCGTCGGCTCTCAGAGGCCATTACTCTGCCTGTCGAGTCTTTCGTGTGAGAAAGACGCTTGCGGGCGTGCCGTGCAGCGAGACATGCCGAGGCGGCGGCGGTGTGCGCTTGGGCTGCCCAGCTTGATCTTGCAGCATTCGCGAGACTGATCACGCACCTGCCATGACCATGCACAGCGCTGGCAGGCGAAGAGGCCAGAAGACTCAGGTGCTTGCGACCTCAGGTCTTGTTTGGCATGTCCGTGCAGGGATCCCAGCCCGTTTGAAGGCGCGGAACGTTGTGGACGAAACATTCTTCGCAATGTTGTCAATGTTTGATCGTCCATTTCCACTCGGCCAGTCAGTAGGAGCATTTGTGGGCCTACCGTAGCGGCTTTCGTGTTGGGTCCCGGAGAAGCAAAGCTTGCACGCATCATTACGACACCTTGCTGAAGGAGCCCTGAGCTTGGAACACGAGCCCCTCATGACATCCATTCACGTGGGAAAATGCAGGGCAGAGCTGTCTCTCGTGCGTGGTCATTCTACTATATCTCGCCGCCGGCCGCTCTCACGGCGAAGGGGGCAGCAGGTCGAATCGCATGGTGTGGCTCTGAAATCGGCAGTAGATCGTCCCGAAAGTGCATAGTGGAGACAGGCCGGAGCCGTCGTGCTGTATCGGCCGATGTTTTGCAGTTGGCCAGATGAGACGGAGGGAAAGAGTATCCGAGCAACCATGATACACAGTACATTCTTGGCAGAGCTTCGCCGGAGTGCTTGGCCTGGTGGCTTCCAAATAAGAAGAAGGCCGAAGCTTCACGGGAAGTCATGGTGAAGCAGGGCAGGCGGGTGAGTTTTTGTTTCTGAGCCGAGGCCCTTGCTGCGGGTTGGTGTAGAGAAAGAGACTCGAGGTGGGCGCGCGATCCTGCTGTGGCACGTCGCCGCATGGCTCGCCTATCTCTGCCAATAGGTGGGTGGGTAGGCAAGCGTTCATTCAGATTGACTAGGAGCGTGGGGGAATGCCACCATTGTTGACGGATGACAGGTACGATGTGTGCCTACATGCCCAAGGTCGAAGTCATGGTGGTTCGGATTGCGAGGCGGTAGAGGGGTGAGGGTATCAATGGTAGGCTAGACGCGATACCGAGGTGGACGTGACTCTGGTCATTTTCTCGGGGACCCTGCTGCTCTCGATGAACGAACGCCCTGGCCCCAGGGGCTTCGCGATGTCATGATGCGCAGATTCAAGCCACGATGGCTGCCCTCGAGGTGTGGGTGGTGGAACAGGCAATAATAGAATAAGGTTCCATTCTCCGGTTCGGGCTCACCCGCTCAGCCCGCTGTGGAGACCCCTGGGCTGACTGACAGACAGTAGTGTGAGTAGTGTGAATGCACACCCTCCCTTCGTTCAGGGCTGAGAGCCAGCCACCACCTGATACACTGTATGGCATGTACTAGGTAGTCTCGTTGGCTCTGTTCTTGCGGTGGGCAGGGGATGAGTGCCGGGCGCCGTCTCCCGCTGCCAAAATTCCCCGAGGTGTTGTGCATGGCCAGGGTTCCCAAGGTTCCCAACTTTAGAAGGTTGTGAAGGCGTAGCATCGCTCTCTGCGGCCACAACTACCAACCGTCAAGGCTTGCTGTTGCACGCACGCACGCACGCACGCGGGTGGTGGAGCGGAGATGGCCGCGCCCTCCAGAGTGCCTGCGCAGCGGCCTGAGGTCCTGGAATCCTGGAATCCTTCTTGTCCAACCTCAGGGCTGGGTCCCCCGTTGAAGCCAAAGCGACAGGCGCGGAATGACTGCACTGCACTACGCTGCGCTGCGCTGCACTGCACACGAGGCGCAGAAGAAGGGGCCATGGCGACAAGAAGGAAAATGGAGTCGCATGAATGGAGCTGCCAAGGAATGGCATTTCGTTTCACGATGCCAGCCTGCAGAGGCGGGTCCGTATTGGGCAGCTGGGGGGTGGTCGAGGGGAGCTGGAGGGAGGTCGGGGGAGGTCGGCAAGTGGGAGAAGCCAGTCGTCGGAAGGGAAGAAGCAAAGTCGAAAGAAGAAAAAAAAGCCACAAAGAATTGGCGGCAGCACCCAACAAAAAGCACGGCTTTACCCAGGCGCCAGGCAATGACAATACCTACCTAGGTAATCAATATCGAGATGATTCAACCTTGTTCTTCAACGTCTGCATTGTGATGAGATGTCGATATCTTCAGTATTTGTTTGCACATACAGTACGTTGCCAATCTCGCAAGTGTGTACTTGGCAATTGCAGCCAAGGGTACCGAGGTCCTTGGTCCCTTCTGTGGGGTAACCAGTGGGGCAATAGGCAGAAAAGCATTACTACACAGCAGTCTAGTAGTGCTTGGTTGGCCCAGGAGGCAAACAAAAAAGGCAGCAGCGACGTTGGCGACTTTACTCACCAATCTCGTTGCCCACAAGCCACGGCTCTGGAGAGAGACAGGGAACTTCCATCTCATCTTGTCTTCACTCAACAGAACTCAATACAACACAACACACTCAACACCACCCTCCAGGCCCTCCGCACCTCGTTCTGCCTGCACCGTGCCCTACTCCAGCTGTATGGTACACCAATTTATCGAGAAACTGCGTCTGCATCTGCATCTTGCGTCTGCGCCTGCGTCTGCACCCTCCCGAAACATGGCAATCTCCTTCTGATTGATCCCTTTGCCAGCAGCAGCCCTTTACTAGCGACGCCATGCCATGGGCCAAACGCCTTGAGTCGACATCCTGACCTTTATCAGCCATGTCCAACCAAGACCAAGGCCTGGATCCTGATCTCCCTCCCCAGCCCAAAGCCATCCTCCGCGGCCACAAAGCTCAGGTCCACGCTGCAGCCTTCATCAGGTCCAACCAGCGCCTCCTCACCGGAGATGCCGATGGCTATGTCGTGGCCTGGGACCTGGCCATCATGAGGCCAACAGCCGTGTGGCAGGCTCATGGAAATGCCATCCTGGGCATATCGGAGTGGCGGCCCGACAAGGTCATCACTCATGGGAGGGACAACAAGCTCATTGTCTGGAGGCTGACCTTGGACGACGAGCCCGCTCTGGCTTCCACCTTGCCCTTGGACACGGCGTCTGGGCCTAGACCCAAGCCATGGATGCTGCACCTTCTCGAGGTCAATACCATGAACTTTTGCTCCTTTGCCTCTTCCGCCGTCTCACCTGCCACGCCGTCCGCACCAGACTTTGTTTCTGAGCAGCCATCAACCTCCGTTTCAGAGCTACTGATTGCGGTGCCTAATACATTGGCCTCTGAGGCTGTCGATATCTACCATCTCCCGTCTCAGACGCGCATCCATACTGTCAGGCTGGGCCAAGACAACGGCATGGCCATGGCTCTTGCGCTCGCTTGGCTGGATGGCGTGCTCACACTCGTTGTTGGCTACGAGAATGGATTGGCAGTTGTTGCACAACTCGATGGCGATGGCAGTGGCGATGACGATGGCTTCTGGACCGTCATATACCGCAACCAAAGCCACAGCCAACCCATTCTTTCACTCGACGTTGCACCGAACCGAGAGTATTTTCTGACCACTGGCGCTGACGCCGTCATTGCAAAGCATCCTCTCCTTCCGCAATTGCCTCGAGTCGCTGGCCTTATCCGAGATGTGCCCGAGACAGAGATCGGTTCCAAGATCATGGACTCGGAAGGCGACGGGGACGCAGATCCAGGAACAGGGCAGGGAAACCCATCCTCCGCCCTCTCAACAGCGCTAGGTAACCATGATTCAGCCGCGCGGCCAAAGGCTAGGAAGAGAATTGAGATCCAGACGCAGCCCATCAAATCCGTCGATACCAAGCACTCTGGCCAACAGGGCCTCAGGATTCGGTCTGATGGGCGTATCTTTGCCACTGCAGGCTGGGATTCAAAAACGCGAGTCTACTCGACCAAGTCAATGCGCGAAGTCGCCGTCCTTAAATGGCACACGGTCGGTTGTTTCTCTGTAGCATTTGCAGATGTCACACTTCCCCAGTCCGATAACCACGGGCCCACACAACATCAGTCAAATGACGAGGAGGCTCCTTCGGCGACAAAAGTCGTTTCGCGGATGCTCAAAATGACAGTCAAGGAGAGACGAATCAACCAAGCCATGAATGCACATTGGCTGGCAGCTGGGAGCAAAGATGGCAAGGTGAGCTTGTGGGACATGTTCTAACGTCCTCGAGTTGCCTCCCTGATGATACCTCCCCAGATGAAGTCACTGTTACTACGCCCACGATTTTGGACTGCGATTCAATCTGAGCCACAACCCTTCCTGTATCCTCCTCAAACGTCCCAATGGACATATTCCGTGTACTTGATTGCGGCACAATGCCTTGTTAGACTGCAAGGAAGATATGACAGTGGAGGCGACGGCCTTCCCTCGGGGTTCTTGCGCCCAGGAATTTCTTCCGGGGTGCTTCACCACGGCTGTCGGCACTGGCAGTTAAATGCCGATAAGGCCAGCCAAGCATTGCTGCATATGCCAGATCATTCAGATCTGTATAGTGTTCACGTCATCTCTATTGCTTTGGAGTAATGCCTATATAAGATTGCACTCGAGGCGGTGCGGCGATAGGGGTGGGATTTCTGCCACACATATGCGGACCATTTACCTCCATATGCATAAAACTGGACTGAAAACAGCCGAAATGAGCTGGCCCTGTCCCTGTCTCAGATAGCACGCTGGGCAACGGTCATGCCATCGCACCCCCGGACACCAGGCTCACAGGCCGATTGGACCCCTGGAAAGCTCCCCCACAGTGGCTTGCAATGGGCGGTTGATCTCATCAAGCTCGAACGTTAATTTAGCACAACCAGCCAGCTCTTTCAGGCTGTTTGCTAGGTCGTTTCAGACCGGGTCTTTTCCTTATGGGGACTTCCACAAATCCGAACTTCGCTCCGGAGAGCCAGCTTTTGTTGGAGAGCTCGGAGACCACAGCTTGTTTAGCCCCTACTACCCCGTGTCCAGAACGCGGTTCGGCCCACCTGAGCCAGAGCAACTCTTCCACGACACCCCTGGGGGGCATTTTGCCACGGAGCTTTTTGGGCGCCCTCATTAATTTGCAACTGTCGTCGGCAGACGGCATGCTGCCAAATGGAGAAAAAAGAGAGGCTCAGCGGGGTAGCGGAATGCAACCTAAGCCCATCTGCCGGCGCGTGACTGGAGCTTGTCTCTTTAGCATCTCAGGCCCCTTTCCATATTCATGACGACTCGCACACAACAGGAGCTGATTCACTGCGTATAAAGTGCTTCTCACCTCGCAGGTGACCTCAATGATCTGCGCCATCTCAAACATCTCGACCAAACACACCATCTTTCCACACACTGTCCATTCAGTTTCACTCGTTACTCCAATCCATATTCGCTACCATGAAGGCCAACACCCTCGTCCTCGCTGCCACTCAGGCCCTCCTCGCTGCCGGTAACCCGGTGCCGGAGGTCCAAGAGCGCCAGTCCTGCCCGGGCGTCCACGTATTCGGTGCCCGCGAGACAACTGTGTCCCCGGGTTTTGGCTCATCTGGTACCGTTGTGAACCTGATCACACAAACCTACTCCGGCTCCACCTCTGAAGCCATCAGCTACCCTGCCTGTGGCGGCCAGGCCTCTTGTGGAAGCGTCAGCTATGCGGACTCGGTCAAGCAGGGTGTTTCTGCCGTCGTTAGCGCAGTGAATGCTTTCAACACGAAGTGCCCCAACACCAATCTCGTATTGGTTGGTTACTCCCAAGGCGGCCAGATCTTTGATGACGCCCTGTGCGGAGGAGGCGATACCGCCGAGGGCATCACCAGCACTGCCGTTCCCTTGTCTTCGGCGGCTGTTGCGAAGATCAAGGCTGCGATCTTCATGGGTGACCCTCGCTTCGTCGCCGGTCTCTCCTACGAGGTTGGCACTTGCAAGGCCGGAGGGGTAAGTTCATTTTTTCATGCTGTGTGCCTCTGTATTTGCTAATTCTCTTGTTCTCATAGTTCGATGCCCGCGCCTCGGGCTTCTCGTGCCCAAGTGCCGCTAAGATCCAGTCGTACTGCGACGCAGCTGATCCTTACTGCTGCAACGGCAGCAACGCTGCCACGCACCAAGGTTACGGGAGTGAATACGGGCAGCAGGCTCTCACTTTTGTGAAGAGCAAGATCGCTGCTTAAATTGGCACCTGCATTTCCGCATGTTGGTACAAAATTGAGCATGGCAGCAACGACGCGTTGCTTTGGCTGACTTCGCGTCGCCTTTTCTACTGTACATATGATGAATCTACTTGTAACTACATACCCCAAGAATGATACATGCTGTGATTGCTGTACCCGAAATAGGCATTGATGTGTTCGCAAAGCAGGAGCTCACGCCTGTCTCTGGCTATCGACTGTGATGTACTTCATAACACATGGAATTCCAGGAAAATCCGCGTCTGTCGTCCTTCGCCATTGATCTCGGCTAGCACGAGCTAGATGAGGGTTATATGTGATGGAACAGCGTCGATGTGACCTTATTCGCAATTCCATCGCCCATTTCCAAAAAAAGGAGCCACCACATCTCTGTTCATCCCCGCCATCACCACCCATACGAGTTGTTCATGGTCTCACTAACCCGGGAACGTCCACAACACCTTGCCAATTCCATTGGAATGGATTCGTTGTGTTCGTCTGATACTCGTGAATCAATCCATCTGCCTTTCCGATAGCAAACATTTTCATTGTTTGCGTCGCCGCGATGGCTGAGAATCCGTCGTCGGTTACATTTTCCGGGCTGCCGTCTAGGGAGGGCGTTTGTACGGCCCAGTCGGATCCGCGATAGACGGAGGACTGCAGTGCGCCAGTGGTCTGGTCGAGCGTTAGGACAATGTTGTTGGTCCACCCGTTGTTGCCGAAGGTGAGGGAGGCGATCTCCGGCGAAGGGTTAACAGCGAGGTCTGAGGTGATTTGGTTTCCTATGGAGGTCAGTCATGGCTGTTCATGAGCCAATCAGGATACGATTCAAGGCTTACCAAAGTTCCCCGTCTCCAGCCGGAAGTCGGTCAGAGGCCCTTTCAGCTTCTCTATCAGGTCGCCTCCGTCTGCATAGTACATGCGCACGGCGTTCAGGTCTGTCCCAGTCGATCCGTTGCCGTTGAAGTCGGTGAAAGCCGAGACACCGAGGCCCGTGCCGGGCGCTGCGCTGGTGCTGACGACGTCTCCCATGGCCCAAACCAGCTTCGTCATATTGGCCATCTGAACATGGCCCGTCCCCGCGTCCTGGTACAGAACCAGGAGGCTGTCGGTGCAGTTGTCGCAACTCTGCCACATGGCCGCGAGGCCGCTACCCGGGGCAACCTCCGGGTTCCCCAGGCTGGAGCCCATCTCGCCCTGCAGCCAGCCCGAAGACGACGTGGGGTTGGTCGAGTACAGCTCGGCGACCTGCCGCGCCGGAGTGAGGTAGTACACGTTCCAGAGGCCGTTGTTGCTCGCGGCCGCGATGGGCGTGCCGTCCAGGACGTCCAGCCCCGCAGCGTTGGCCGACGCGCTCATGTTGATCGACATCCACACGTCAGCCGTGGAGGCCCTGACGGCGGCCATGAGCGCGCTGCCGGTGGTGTTCGAGCTCTGGTAGAAGACGCCCGTGTACGTCGTGCCCGTGGCGTCGGTCCAGTTCATCGCGGCCAGCCTCGAGTCGGGCATGGTGATCCCCGCCGACTCGGATGACACGGGAGGGCTGTCTGAGGACACGGCAGTATGTTTCGTCCATGGCGCCGTGACTGCGAGTACGGTCACCAGCAGGCCGATGATCAGAAAAGCGATGCCGGCCGACAGCGCGATGAAAGTGCTCCTTCGCAAACCGAATAGTGTCTTTCGCTCTCCAACACCACTGCCGCCGCCAAAAATCCCTGCTCCGCCTATCCCTCCAAGAGAACCAGGTGTGGGCAATGGGTCTTTTACATCATTGGTAGGCGCAGCGTATAGTGCCTGTGCTTGACCCTTTGAGTCGACCAGATAATATGCGGGAGGGCCTACTTGCGGGCTGTCCACCGGAGACAGGCCGGCGGCCTTGTCATCTGAGAATGGGTTGGCGTTGTTGTTCGCACTGCTGCCATCCGATATGGCGAACTTCTCGTTCCAGTACGATTTGCGGCCGGAAGGTGCGAAAGTGGTTGAGCTTGGGCTGGGCACAGCAGCGGTCTCATTGGGGATAATGATGGCTTCGAGGTCCGAGTAGGACTTCTTCCTTTCCCGGGTGTCCATTCTCGAAGTGGGTGTGAGGGTGAGGTGGTGATGATGGGCGGATATTAAGCAATTATCAGATTGAATGATTGACTTGTGTCCAGGTTACCGTGCCCAGTGAGCTCGGCAAGATACACAGGACGGTGGTACAAAATTACACAGTACTAGAGCGAGTAAGGAGCGACAGACAGGAAAAAGAGTGACGACGAACAGATCACGACCAGCGTATGAGAGGGGTTGTTACAACAATAGAAAAGGCCAAGGGACAGTGGGAGAGAACCAAGAGGGCGGGACGCTAGACGAGGGGCAGTGGGACCAGGGCTAATCTATAATTCAGACTTCACCAGGTCACAATTAGATGACGGAGCCTTGGAAAGTCTCAACTCCGAGAGACAGATCCCTTGCCATCATAGGGCTACGGCCACAATCGGACCCAGGTTGCCGGATCCTCGGATCAAACGAGAGCTGGGGGAGGGAAGGGGCTGTCGAGGGGCTCAGCCTTGGACGAGGGGAAGCATGAGGCATTCACGAGTCAAGCGCGCGCGGTACATCAGGTTTGTTGATGTATCAGATGTATCATATCAGTGTGGCGAGGCGAGGCGAGGTGCGAAAGTTTGGGCGGGTTAGAAAGATTGGTTTGGTTCTTGATGTGCAGATATGGTTACAGATGCAACTTAGGTCGCAATCTATGAGTCCCCGGGCATAGAGAGAAAGGTTCAATAGGCCCTTAGCTCTACGGGAAGTCGGTGCCCAGTGAAGACCTCTGCAGTGTAAGCTGAGTGATTGAGCGAGATCATTTGTGACAGGCATCGATCTCGGTACGGTGGCCCGCCCTTCCTGCCTCAGAATGACAGCGGGCCCCTGATCTCCACATCGGTGTTTCGGTAGCCTCACCGAGACAGATTGGCACATGCGTAAAGCTTAAGTCTTGGCCCACCACGCAGAATGCCCTGACTCGCTCTGGCGAAGCCACATTTCTCTGCCGTTGAAGGACGAGGAGCTTTCGCTCAAGTCCGCATTGTTAAGATCCGCAAGGCAAATAAGATCGGCAGCCGTCATGATGTTGCCACGAGTTGGGATGATGGGAGGAACCTGTGCATTTGTCAGCTCACCTTCATACATGCGTGCGCTGACTGTGAACTTAAGCATTGCTTTTCCAAGAAATTCTTCCCTTGTCTTCCGCGTAGCCATTACCATTCTTTTCTGTCTCTAGCGCTGGTGGAAGGAGGTTGGAACGTTGCGCTTTCTATTTCAAGCCTTCGACGTGCCCATTGGAATAAGGCTCTTTGTTCAGCTCAGGAAAAGTCCCCTTCATTTCTATCATTTGACAATACTGCAGCACATAGTCAGGGCAAGAATTTCGGAGTTTATTAACAGTTTCGAGATAGGTTGCACAGAAATGCACTAGCAACACGAGAGAAATTTGTGCTCGGGTCTACAATAATTCATTCCTTGAACGAGCTGGCTCATATCCACCTGTCTGAGCAATCAGATTTCGTGGCGTTGTGATGTATACGATATCAATACTGTCTGGTAAGGTGTTCCATCTCCAGATTTCAATACATGCTGTTGTACACGACGCCCGAAATCTTCCTGTCGGGATACCATGTTTACAGGGGTGCAGGTATTGTGGCTTAAAGTGAATCATCGTTCCTAGTTTCTACCTATTGAGGCTTATCTATAGAAGCCAACTGGAGACAAGTGTCAGTAATCGTTTCCACTGGCCGCTCTTGAACAGACAATGAGATGCAAGCTTGTCGACGAAAGCTTGACCAAAACGAGCATTTGGAGAGACTTCCATCACGAGCACCCGGAGACCGGACCAGATCTGGCGTTGGAATAGAGTTGTATTTGCACCAGTTTCGAGGACCTCCGCACCTGTGTCAGGATGGAGTCCGGAGACTCTCGGCGCAAGTTTCTGAAGCGATGATACATCACTTACTCGTCATCCAAATGTGTAGCATCATATTGACGGTTCTTTTCACAAACATCTACAGGCGTTGGAGATATCCACCAAGTCCAACGCTAGATGAAGAGCAAGTAGGCGAGTCAGCCTTCCAGATCTTCAGACACGTTTTCCAGGATTTCCAAGATAAGGTGAAGCACGTGGATCCCCAGAGTATCTCGGTTGTCTCATCTGACCGTGAGGGAGATTCCGAGGTTATTGAAGTAGGTATGATAGGTAAACAGCCATGAATTAAACATTCATCAGGCTTTTCTCTAGTGAGGGTGTCTGCAGCACATGCGCAAGCAACACACCACAAATGACATCGAACGTTTCGGTCAATTCTTAGTCCTCCCTGTGGGTGGACCCGGTTCTGCAGGACAGACGTATTGGCAGACTCTGTGTCATCACCTGTGTCGAGCCCTTAGAGAGTCGGTGTCACAAAGGCAGCCGCAGCCCAGACAGGAGCATGTCAAACAAAAGCCGAGAAAGCCAGGCAGCAAAGGAGAAGTGAGACACTAAAAGAAGGCAACCAATTGTATTGGCCTTGGAGACGGTATCTGTGAGTCCTGTTCGGCAGGACAAGCGTCCAGCACGGAAAAAGCACCCGCTCTCGTCAGCGGCTTACATTTCACATCAAACTTGGTTGCTCAGTCAGGCGGAATAAGTTACGCCCAATAACGTCAACGTCTTAATATGGGCAAAGTTGAACTCGTACCCTACTAGATTCCATGTTGGCATTCTCAGCCTCTTTCATCCCTCTGAGAGCCCATTACGAGCTTTCAGATGCCTGTGAGGTTGAGCAGAGGCGACAATTCCTCCTCGCGCCAAGATCCTTTGGTGAGATGCTGCACACTCGCCCGAAGCATATCTCGCCTGGATGAAGGTATCCCAGCATTTTCTGAGAGTTACCGATTGATTGTCTTACCTCTTAGGTGTCAAAAACCGAAAATACTTCCAAGTTCCTAAAGACCATATATTGGTCGTTGGGGACAACAGAGGGATTAGTCTGGACAGTAGGCACTTTGGTCCCATACCTTTACACTCTGTCCGCGGCCGCATAGTAGCCTCGACCGTGAAACCAAAACCAAAATGGTGGTGGGACTGGGAAAAGATACCAAAGATGGAGACCACTGCATTCAGAGTGACAGACCCTGTCGAGTTGAAAGCAAATCGCCACGAATGGGAGACAAAAAATGGCGAAAATGAGCCTTGGAAGGGAAGACCACCGATTACTGAGACACCATATAAAGTCCAGCAAAAACACCCAAAGGTCTCCGGAAAAGGCGGTAAACAAGGCACGCATTGGGTTGCAGTCCGAGTGAACAGGTCGTTTTTGTCCGTCTGATTATTCGGTTCAGGTTTGATTGTTTTTGAATACTATGATGCTTCACATGACTGTTCAGATTGGAGTCCTCACATGCTCTCAATCTATCGCGACTTTGCTCCTCTGCTAGTACCTTGCGATATCTCTTCCGCCAAACCACACAAAAAGCCAACTGATCGAAATCATCAATTTTCTTCGCCAACTCCTCGTCCAACCCAAGGAACCTGAACGCCATGCGACCCAAGCGGCCTTCCCAGTCCAGTCCTCCTTCCCTGCGATGATACCGTCCTGTTGTCCGAGATACGCTAAAAGAGCGCGTTGTTTGTACTCAAAAGGAGGCGGGCCTACGGAGTCTCCGCTGCTGTGCTTGTTAAAGACTTCTGTGAGGTATTCGCCCTTCTGCAACGCCACTTCAGCTAAAGTAGGAAGTGATTCTCCTTTGATATCCGCCGCGTCGCCTAAAGCGTAAACTCCGTCCATAGAGCTTCCGTCTGAACGCAGGACGCGCAGATATTTGTCCGTCAGAATTCTCGGCAGCCCTTTCTCAGGAAGTTGGATGCGATCCGATATTGTGTCCACGAGCTTGTTGACCTTGTTACCAGTCGCCCAAATAAGAACTCCATACGGCAGTCGGCCATCTTCTTTGGTGTAGATCGCGCCAGCATCGACCTTCTCGATATGCGAGCTTGTTTTGATTTGGATGATATGTTGCTTGCCTCTGGTTAATGATTCGGTGGCATATTCGGCCAGCGAACGGTCGAATGTCGTCAGAATAGATGGCGCCACGTCGTGGATCGTAATAGTGAGCTTTCCATCGAGATGTGGGAAAAGAAACCGCATGTCTTCGTTCCACAGATCGACAAGCTCAGCAGCAGCCTCGATGCCGATGGCGCCACCACCAACTATCCGGATATTCAGGATATCACGCTGTCTTTGGGGGTCGCTGAGAAGGGTGGGAAGAGAAGCCTGGTCCATCATTTCGAGAAGACGTTGCTGGAGAAGCCGACTGTCGTTCGTTGTCCTCAGGAAGAGAGCATGTTCTTTGGCCCCCGGCGTGCCGAAATCCTGGATATCGCACCCAGGTGCGATGCAGAGCTTGTCATATTCGACTTCGAAGTCTTTCGGGTCCTCCCCATCTACCTCGGCTGCTGTCTTGCATCGGACGATGCGTTTCTCGAAGTCGATGTTGTGTGCAATTGCCTTGTAGTATTCAACTTCGGTACGTTGTTTCCTCCTGACCGGCTCTTCTGCTAGACGGAAATTGAACAGACCACAAGCTGCACTGGCCAGCAGAGGTGTGTACTGAATCGTGCGGATTGGCGAGATAATCTTCAAATGGTATTGCTCCATAGATACCTTCTGGGACAGAATGAAACCGCCCCATCCGGATCCAATAACAGCGAGAACGGGTTTCTTCATCTTGGCAAAGCTTGTGTCGTCTATTTTTGGCAGGAAGATTTCAAGATCCTGCAGAATTAATGTCAAAACTCCTTTGGATCAATTTCCCATACTTATCTAGAACTTTTCCCAGTACCGCAATCCAGTGATTCTCACCAATCCTGAAATGTAATGCGTCAGAGCTTCAGCATCATGACTTCTCATTCTGGGGTACAGATAACGTCATAGGGGCGATCAACAATTCTCCTTCCAACCCATATGGCTCGGAGCGCTCGGCTTTCGGTATCATTTCGCTATATGTGCAAGTTCTGACTTCACCAAACCTAGCATTAATAATCACCCATGCACATCTTCAACAGTCTGGACGATTTTGTTTGATGCAACCTAATGGCCATATTTGGTTGTAGTGGCTTGTGGTGATGGACTTGCAGCGAGGGGTCTGGACCAGTCTAGTCGGTATCAGAAGTCAGGGCTGCAAACCTGCATCCCCTCTCAAATTAAGCGCACCCGACAATTGAACGTCACCGCGCCTTGCATGTAGCCTCCACATTACAACGAGGCCTGGAGGTGGCAAATGATTTTGGTTGATAGTAGTCAACACACCGACGGGCCAAGGGCTACGGTAGCTTTTGTGCGACACTGAGGTAAGGCGTTACTCATTTCCAATACATGTTCGTCCGGATGCGGATCTATGATGCCGGTCACAGAACGGTCCCTGAAATACAATTACCTAGCATCTGAATGCTCTCCACCGTGTCTGAGACATATGTGCGTGTTGTTGAGAGGCCCACGGCCACATAGTATATTATCACTGCATGAGCCCAGCCCTGCCAAATGTCCCGGAGAGCTTGATCATCTTGCTTGGGCGCCCAAGCGCAGGACCTAAGGAGGTCACATGGGCCAGCTTCATCGAAAGCTACTACTAGCTAAGCAGATATAAACCCATTTTCCCACTGATCTGAATTAATTTGTAGCACTGGAACGGGAGACTCATGTCAAGTTTCTAACGGCGGTCCAATAGAGCGCCTAAGCAACTCATTCGGTAGACAAGCGGTCCAGTATTAGACCCGGTAAATCAATGGAGTAGGTAATCCAGCGTTTGGGGCCTTCATTAGGTAGAGGTCGGAGAAGACTGGGAAGGGACCAGGTGGACTCTTGCTGTAATCAATTTTTGTCTGGTAAAGGGAAAAGGCGCACTACTTATATAATCTTTTCGGAGTGGGTTATCCCGTTTTCCTCAAATATAGAGGAAATGAAACGCCTGCCATTGACAGCACAGAGCCTTTTTTTTTGTATCGCCTTGATGGCGAACCTATAATGCTTAGCGAAGCATCTAAGCAACAGCTAAGTTTTGGGCCAAAGCTACAAGGGCTTTCACTTGCCGGCAGCCGCGCATTTATCACCTGCAACATGGTGTATTCGCCAAGCATGACTAGTCGGCTCGAGCGTGCGGCGTAAACTATTTGTTTCTGTCTGTTCCTGTCCAAGAAGTTTCCCCAGAAATATGCTCCATACCTCTTTTCTCAAGCTGTTTTGATATACAGTTCGCGAGGAAGATGCTAGCCAAAAAGCTTTTGCCCCTGCTTGTGTCCAATAACAGCGAGGTAATGCCAATTCCAAGCTGGGACCTGGCTCCTCAATCTCTTTTATCCGATGTAAGTACTTTTTAACCTCTATTATCTGTATAACCTGCTGCAAAAGCGCCGCACTCCAAAGCTTATTGAGAGCAGCTACCCTCGCCGAAGCCTAATTTCTCTCCTTACAATATCTCCCAAGACTGTTAGATATTACCGACTGTTCTCTGTTTCTAAGGGCAGCAGGAGACGTTTATACCACCGGTGACCTGTGAGGTCTTTGGTCTTTTACTCGTCGTAAGAGACAATAGTATCTAGAACAAAGACAATCTCAAGAAGCCATTCTGTTGCCTAACGATACCCTCCGTCATGTTATGGTTTTCCACGCGCATCATTCCTCTCATTTGCAATACGCAGCGGAGTTTTATTTTTCGCTTCCTAATTACTGTATAATTATTTCCCTGAAATGATATTGACTCAAGTGTGCTTAGCATGCTTCCAATATTTCGATGCCTGGCAACGGGAAACTGGCCTACTGGCATCATGTCCCAGTTTCGAGATGCACTCTCATCGGTTGCTTGCAGGCCGCAGGCGTGAGTCCTTGGAATGACCTTGCTCATATTTTCACTGGAGACAATATGGAAGCCTACAGAGCAAACAAGAGTTGGAAAGAACCGTGGCTTTATCGTCAAGAATTCTTCCTAGATCCAGACCACAGGAAGCACTACCTACTCGAAACAAACGGCATCACTTCAAAAGCCGACATATTTTTTAATGGATGGCAGATCGCAAACAAGGAATTCCAGTCAGGCTCCTATGGTGGCCATGCATACGACATCACACCAATGGCGTCAGATATCAATGCGCTACTAATCAGAGTTCACCCCACCGACTATAATCACGATTTGGCCCAGGGATTTAATGACTGGAACCCTGCTCCACCAGATCATGGCTCTGGTGTTTGGAGAGATGTTAATGTCAAACAGACAGGGCCGGCGGCATTGGGACCTCTCAGCGTCACGACAGAGTTCAAGACATCTGGTACTTTAGCCCGAGTGTCTGTCCGAGCACTTGCCCGCAATCTTGAGAAACACACAATAGAGGTCCTCCCAATGGCCAGTGTTTTCAGGTCTGGATCTGAATCCAGCACGACCGAAGGCATCTCTCAGGTCGGTACCTCGTCGATACATGTCGATCAAGAGCGACCCTCGAGAAACACTACGACAGGAGAAAAGAATGGTCCGAGTGCAAGAGAAACTTCTTCTCGGACCATATCTTTGGCCCCATTTGCTTCGAAAGAGCTAAAAATAGATCTTGATATACCATTTACGGAAGCAGACATTTGGTGGCCCAGGCAATGGGGAGCTCAGCCACTTTTCGCGGCTCATCTGAGCGTGTCAGTTGAGAACATAACCTCTGATCGGCGCAACAGCACATTCGGATTTCGCAAGGTCACCTCGCGCCTCAACAATTACAACGACAGAGTGTTTGAGGTAAACGGCTTTCCCTTTCAAGTGATTGGCGCAGGGTATGCACCTGATATTTTTCTTCGGTGGGACTCCTCGCGCTTCACAAGTATTGCCGAGTATATTCTTGATATTGGGTTGAATACTATTCGTCTTGAAGGGAATATGGAGCATCCTGAGCTGTATGATATATGCGATCGCCTGGGAATTATGATTCTTCCAGGCTGGGAATGCTGTGACAAATGGGAAGCATGGAGCTATACCGAGGAGGAAGGACTATCAGATTCTCTCTGGGGCCCGAATGACTATATCACAGCGAACGCCAGCATGAGACATGAGGCAGAGATGATGCAGACTCACCCAGCTGTGCTTGGATTCCTGATTGGAAGCGACTTATGGCCCAACAAAAGAGCCACGTCCATCTACTTGGACGCGTTGTATGACTGCCATTGGGAAACCCCCATCCTCGCTGCCGCTTCAAAGCGGGGACACCCAAGGGGCCTCGATCCCTCAGGTCTCAAAATGGAGGGCCCCTATAGTTGGGTCCCTCCAAATTACTGGTACGAAAATCGGTTGGGCGCAGCATTTGGCTTCGGCTCCGAACTGGGTTCAGGAGTTGGCACACCAGAACTTCAAAGTTTATCGCAATTTCTCGACTGGCCTGGAATCAATGACCTCTGGCGGAGACCCAGCAAGGATCTTTACCACATGTCGCCTGCAGATTCGTTCTCAAGCAGAAAAATCTACAACAAGGCCCTTTGGCGTCGATTTGGCGCACCGAGAGGATTGTCAGAGTACCTCCTCAGCGCTCAGATGATGGATTATGAGGCAACGAGGGCTCAGTTCGAGGCCTACTCTTCGAACTGGTCTGCGAAACGACCTGCAACGGGGTTGATCTACTGGCTCCTAAACAGTGCTTGGCCCAGTCTTCACTGGGAGCTGTTCGATTATTACTTACACCCAGCCGGATCGTACTTTGGCGCAAAGACAGGGAACCGCTTCGAGCATGTAGCATATGACTATGTGCACAAGGAAGTGTCCATAATCAACCGTTCTGCGAACAAGCAAGGGTCCAGAATTCTTGAGCTAGATGTTATTGATCTGCACGGCAACCGCGTCTTGAAAAGGACGGTACAGCTTTTCACGACACCCAATTCCAGCAGAAGACTCTTCAAGATCAAGGAGTTAAAACATATACGGGATATGGTGCTCCTCCGTCTGGTTCTTAAAAATGGCAGCGACAACAAACTGCTAAGTCGGAACGTGTATTGGTTGTCAAATAAATCTGATAAACTGATTTGGCACAGATCAAACTGGTAGGTCATATCCAACAAGACCCCCCCCCCCCATAAAAAAAGAAGAAAACCCTCAACCTCATGGCTCTCGTACTTTATTGTATGTTGACTGGAAGGTCTTTCGTCTCTCCCCTTACCGATCACAGTAATTTCCATGTCTGCGTCTGATGTTGACGCATCGCTGTTTCCACTCTACATTATCGTGGTTGGCAAATTTGTCTGACAAAAGCTGAACAGGTACTACACGCCGGTCGAGAAATACGCCGACTACACTGCCTTAAATGGAATTCTCCCAGCTAATGTGTCAATCTCAGCGGCAATGGACAGAACCAACATGCGCTGAGTCACTGTCACTTTGGAGAATCTCTCGCCCTTCCCTGCAGTCTTTATCCGATTAAGTTTGGTGCAGCAGAGCAAAAATGAGATACCGGGCCAGCTTGAATGGGCACATGTCACTCCTTTGAAATGGTCGGATAACTACGTCACTCTGTGGCCTCATGAGAAAATGGTTCTCTATGCGGACGTTATGAAGGAATTACAAGATGCAAATGCCGTGTTTGTCCATGGGAAGAATGTTCACGAAATCGAGATTCCTATCGGATAGGGTCTGGCTGGCTTTCTTAAGGTTAATTGCGGCGAGTCGCATTGTGTACTTAGGTATATGATGCGTCTGCTCGGATTCCCAGGAGTAGAGGTCCTATCGACTCACGCTAGGAAATAGAAATTCATTAGAGCAGAACTCTTTGCCATTTTTGAAGAAAAGAAAAGGGAAGCACCGAGAAAAGACATTGGTCTGTCTGTCCAATTGTTTGTCTTTACTTTCGGCTTTACATTTGTTCTGGTTTAGTCTTTTGCAGCATCAGAGCCGAATTTGACTTCTTACTCAGTGAGATCGCCGGATATTTCGAATGTCTGCGTTCTCAAACAAGATCACTTGGTCAGGGATCAAGTGCAGTTGTACTGCCCGTTGGTGCGGCTCGGAGATGAAGGTCTTACCCCTTCTGAGGACGCATATCATCAGCAAAACTTTGCAGAAAGTTAATCCCTTTGTCCATCCACGGCCATCTCAAAAACGAAACGGTGAAGTCCCATCCTCGACCCAATGTAAGGGTGTTTTATCAGTTCCTTAGGTAGAGGCAACCCGTTATCGGAAAGTCTTGGGCACTACCACTGGTGTTTACGTCGATGCAGAAAAGGGGGAACCATGGCAAACGCCTGCAAAAGCCTCATGTAACGAAGTAACGAAATAAACTACTGCTTAGCCAGCGGGGGAAGGTTCCGAGTCTCGCGCTACGGTCTAGTTGCAGCCGTTGAAAGGCCAGCTCAGGACGATGAAACCATATTCTTGGCCTGAGAGATTGTTAGAATCAGAGTAGAACAAATGAATGAATGAATGTTGACCGTTGACACACAGTCCAGTGTCCGACTCTTCAGACTCCCTGATGTGGTGTGCTTCATGCTTTTGCTCGATTTGACAGGGCACACGAACCCAGGCCAACCATTCTGGACGGACGACACGTCGTAGCGAATATTGACCTCTTAAGGCTAAATACGAGTTCCAGAGGAAAAGTATGGGCCAACCTAAAATTCGTCACGCTATGCAGGGAGAAAACCTGGCCGTGGAAGGGTGTGTATAAGCGGAGATCCTGCGGAGAAGTTCCTAGATTGGCGTCAGATGCGAATAGATTGCAACTTGCACAGTCCCACATGCCTGCGTGAAGTTCCCGGTGCGCCGCATTGACTCTCACAATCTTACAGTTCGTCACCACTTTTTGAAATGGCCGTCCTGATGAACCCCTGACCCAGCAGAAGCCCGCCAAGGAAGACCCCTTCAGAGAATATTGAGGGACGAACGCCTCTCCCGTAGCGCCCTAGCCGATCTCACTGATCCTTTCTCAACAACCTCCTTGATCCGGAATAAGCATCCGCTAGATCTGAGCCCTAGTAATGACCGAAATGGACGAATCGGCTTGGCCTACCAGAGACATCGGAACTGTATTATTGAATTCAGTGTGACGGAAAGACGAGGGCGATAAAGTCTGCAATGTCAGGGTCCAGCCACATACGTCCAGATAATGTTTCTACAGTCTAGTACGCTGGGTTTGCGTCTTCGTCATCCTGATTGGGTGCAACCGTGATCTGTGTTTTGTGAGCGCTCTGTTCTCGCGCTGGACTTCAGGATTGACTTAACATCACTGAATGTTTCATTTCTAATCTCAGACCTCCGTCCCCACGTGTCAGTCTTGTTTGTCTCCAGTATGATCTTTGTCAAATTGTGGCTGCTTGCCACCTCGGCTGAGTTTGTGCAAGCAAAGCTCCTTGGCTCCTCGTTCGGGGTACCAGGCCTCAATGCGACATTCGACTACGTTGTTGTTGGTGGCGGAACCGCAGGTCTCACCATTGCAACTAGACTTGTCGAGCAGGACGCAGGAAGCGTGGCAGTGGTTGAAGCAGGCACTTTTTATGAGATTTCCAACGGAAATGGGTCTCAAGTGCCAGGTCCGGGTGTTAATTATGCTGGAAAGTCTGCTCTAGACTGGCAGCCGTTGATCGATTGGGGATACATGACGACACCTCAAGCAGTAAGTCCCAGCCTTCCGATACCTGCCAAATCTATGCTGATGGCGCTCAGGGTGCGAACAACGCGTCCTTACACTATGCGCGAGGCAAAACACTCGGTGGCAGCTCGGCGAGGAATGCAATGATCTACCAACGGGGCACCACTGCATCTTACCAGAAATGGGCAGACCAAGTTGGGGACCAGAACTACACTTTTGAGAACCTACTACCGTATTTCGAGAAAAGTATCAATTTCAGTGCGCCAGATATGAGTGTTCGATTTGCAAACTCAACGCCTCAATACGACGAGACCGTGATGGGAGACGGTACGGGTCCTCTATCTGTAGGGTTTCCAAACTCACCCTCAGCGTACGGGACTTTCGCAGTCGAAGGCATGAAGCAGATGAACCTATCGGGCATCGATGGTTTCCAGAGTGGAAGTTTACTTGGTTATGCATACAGCATGTTCACCATTGACAGCGGCACAATGCTCAGATCGTCCTCGGAGACTGCATTCATGCGGCAGGCATTGCAATACAATGCTTATCAAGTCTATCACCTAACTATGACCAAGAAGATCTTATTTGATTCTAACAAGAAAGCTACCGGAGTTTTGGTTGACACACAAGGCTTTCAATACACTTTGACAGCGAAAAAGGAAGTGATCGTTTCCACGGGTGCCTTTGCGTCTCCGCAGATTCTAATGGCATCTGGTGTCGGCCCTGCTGATACTTTGACCTCATTGGGCATAGAGGTCATTGCTGACCGACCCGGGGTGGGCAAGGGAATGCAAGACCACGTCTGGGTCACGTTAGCATACCCTATCAACGCTCAAACCAGTTCTTCTTTACGCTACCCCTCGTTTCTCTACGGCCAACAAGCTCTTTTCAACAGCTATCCAGCCACTGGAATCTACTCGAGCCCCAATTGCGATGTCCTAGGCTGGGAGAAAGTACCACAAGACTTGAGAGCCAGTTGGAGTAACGCGACCAATGGCGTCCTCAAAGCGTACCCAGATGATTGGCCGGAACTCGAATATATGACAGTTAATTCGTACGTCAATGAGCAGGAGGTCTACAAGCTTATGGATCCTTTTGATGGCACAAATTATGCGTCCATCGGTGTCATCCTCGCCTCTCCCATCTCGCGAGGAAGTGTCACCATAACCTCCGCCGACACAAGTGTACACCCGTCGATAAATCCCGAGTGGCTGACGAATCAAGCCGACATGGATATGATGATAGCGGGCGTCAAACGGGCCCGAGAATTCTGGGGAACGGCCGCTCTGCAGGGCCTCGTCATTGGCGAGGAAGTATTTCCCGGTTCCGAAATTTCTACCGACGCGGAGATTGAGAGCTTCATTCGTAACTCGTTCAACACTATTTGGCATGCTGCCTGTACTTGTGCAATGGGAAAGATCGATGATCCTAATTCCGTCGTGGATTCCGAAGCAAAAGTGATCGGAGTGCAGGGTCTTCGCGTTGTCGATGCGTCGACTTTTCCATTATTGCCACCGGGGCATCCTCAGTCAACCATCTGTAAGTCTTTATTCTCCAACATGCCTTCTGTATCCTAGTCACGGTATGACACTAACACGGAATTGATAAGACGCTCTCGCTGAGAAGATAGCCTGCAATATTTCTGGAGGCTGTATTTTGTAAATCAGTACGCCGATTTTGCACACCAAAGTACATAATATAATATTACATATTCACTGGTTGTCAAACTGCCGAAGACTACCTGACCTTCTCTAGTCGGGGTTGTCCGAGATCTCACCTTCGAACACGGGTCCTCAGGCAGATAGAGCCGCGGGCCGTTAGGCGAGGACTCGAGCACAAGCTTCAGCGGCACTGCTGCTTGTGATTGGCCTCAAAGGAGTTCGACTCAGTTGAGGGTGTGTGACGGTCAGCCAGTCTTCGACAGCGCAAATTTGATACACGGGTTATTGGACATTGCTATCGATATTACATCGAGAGCACCTGAGGCTGAGTAACCATTAGACGTGGTGTGTTTGGTGCACAATTTGGGCACATTTCACACATCGAAAGCCTGTTGACTCCTGGTTTGAGGCATTGTTGAGGACACGCACGATTGGTGACAAGGTCTGATTCTATGTGTGTTTATATGAAGCCTTTTCGCAATACCTTCATATTGGCCTCGATATATTTGCCAAATATATACAGCCGAAGTGCAATCCGTCGACACGGCCCCACCGTCTCTCTGAAATCTCAGGCGTAGCTACTTAGCACGATATGCCCTCAGGAACATTCTGGCAGTTGGTAGCATTCTTGCCGCCCGTTATCTTAACATCCGTCCAGGTCCAGTCGGAGCAGCTGCCATCGCCACACTCAATATAGACATTGAGTGCATTCTTGTTGACTGAGCCTGTGACGTTCTGGAGGATAAAATTCTTGATCGGCACGCCATTAGTGGGGTTGCCCTTAACGCCGTTGTATGACTGCGTCACAATGATTCCATAGTCCGCATTGTCAGACTCGCTATCGATGACGATGTTGCGATAGGTGATGTTCGAGACCTCTCCTGTAGCATTGGAAATGGTTTTCTGCAATTACAATTAGCTGAATCATCAACCACGGGTGGAATATTCGACCTACAATTCTGACGGACTGCTGAGATTTCTCGAACAAGATATTCTCAAAAGTGATGTTATTGACGATGTTGTTTGTGCGGCCGCCAACAGAGCCGATGGAACCTCCATGCCCACCGCTGCATAATGCGTCCTTGAACAGGACATTCTGGCCCGAGTTCACCGCGACACAGTCATCCTGATTCCATACCCTCGCATTCTGGATCACTACGCCGTCGGCATTATTAATGTCGAATGCATCGGTATTGTGCCCCAAAGTATCTCCATCGGCGTTGAGCTCATCGCCGGCAGTATTGTTGCAAACGACATCCGTGACCAGCAGGTTGTTCACGTAGTTGATACTGAAGAAGTTCTTGGGCGCATTAAGGATATTAATGCTGTCAAGGACGGAGTCATTTAGGTTGTTCGCCTTGAAGAATTTTGGTTTCACAACGCCGCCGTTGCCCCCCAGGCTATCCCACCAGAGGGCACCCTGCCCGTCGAGAACAGATCCGGGTGCGCCCTTAACGGTGATATTGTTGCCCGAGACAGAGAATAAGCTTCCTTCCCACTCGGCGTAAGCCCAAGTAGTCCGGCCCTCGAAGGTGACCTGAGCCAGTTGTTAGTATAGAGCTCGCCATTACAACCAGGACGGTGCTCACGGTTGTGCCGTCGTTGAGCTTCTCGAGATTCAAAGTCACACCGCCAGGAATCTGGAGGCTGTCAAGGACAATGTTGGAGCAAGAGTTCTTGGCCTGGCTGATTTGTAGATAGCCGTCTGGGCCACTGAACGTGCAGTCGAAGGTGGTGTTGTCAGCAGCCAAGGCGCCTGAGGCGAGCCCCAGCAAGGCGGCTGCGGCGACGAGAGATCTTGGCATCTTGGCGACCTAACGGGTCAGATTTGACGGATGGTTAAGATGGTTAAGAAGATCATCTATGGATCAATAAGGGCGCACGGATTGCAGAAGACGTCCTCTTTAAAAAGCCACACACTCCTCCATGGCCTTGAATCGGGTGATGCGAATTTGCTCGACTTGGACCCCTGGAGAGCGCACCCAGTTGTGAAAGGGGCATGATGCGTTGTGGTGGAGAAGCGACCCCTACCAAATTTCATTATCCCGGATTCGTGGAATTTTTGTTGTTTCTTCGGAAGCAACTCCGGTCAACAAGCTTTGGCGACCAAAAGCGAAGACGAGCCGCAGATAACAACGCCAACCTCAGATGCGGACAGGCTAGAGCCACTCATCGAATCAAGTTGTTTCTGACAGTATCGATTCAGAGGATCTGAAATTGAATATCTGGACGTGGGGGAAAGCTCCAGGTTCATAATGAAGCAGGGGAAATACTGGTTTAGCCTGCATCCGTTTCCCGACGCGAGGGGGAGGCCATTAAACCCAAGCGGGTGCATCTGCTTTGATCCAGGGGCAATTTTCGAGGATTCGACACTAATTGTGGAGACGGTCAGTCGAAGCTCCATGGCTGCGACTTGCATTCTCACCATAACCCAGTCTACGTGTTTCGGTGACCATCTCTTTTTTTTATTACTTTGATTGCCCCCAGCAAATTCTCAACCATACTACATTTATACACTTTTTTAACATTGTATGTTATGTACAGGCGTTTTCGACATTAGCGTTGTTGGGCCTGTACGCGGTAGCATTACTGCACAAACAATTCATATTCACAATCAACTCGTCCAGAACAAATGCACCCAGGAAGACACTTGGTGAGCCCCGGCAGTCCTCATGGTGATGAGATCTACATGGAATCAGAAAAGATCAACGATAAAAATGATATGAATTATAGAAAGTACAGGTACGAGCTGACTTGGTAGATGTCTCAATTTTGATTCATATTCAACAGGACAGGCAGTTGATCAGGACTAAACGGCATGTCTGCACGTACGCACCAACACATATTCCTTTGCTTCTGATCGTTCTTCCTGCAAGCCCGAACACACCGAGACCTCCAAAATTGGAAGCTCTGTCACATGTTTCTATTCTCAGACAGGCAGACAGATGTGTTGGCTTCCACAATGAGGCATACTGCATTGCAGCCAGTCGGTGAAAGTTTCCCCGAAGTGTAACACAACAGCTGGCCTGAGTGACTGGCCTCTAAGGTGATTTGGGACTCATTGTGATAAATCAATTTGTCTTTTTCGCACTTTAGCTTGGCATTGCAACGAATGACCGTACGTTTCAGCGCGTGATTTACAATATCGTTCGTAGCGTGACCCGATGATTGTTCCAGGTTCTTGTTATTCCCCAGGCGCTGTTGTCGACATCAACTGCCGTTCCATTTATAGAATGAACAGACAGTTCAATATACTCAGGCAGATCTGCTATGTTTCTCATGGCACCCTAGATGTGCTGGGCAAGGCCATCTGATGTTTTTCCCGTGCTTTCGCCGAGAAGGTGCAAGGAAGACAAGCCTCCCGACCTATGATGTTTCGAAGAAGCCGTTGGGGTGGTTTAACCCAGAACCCGCCCTATAAGCAATTAAACATCAGCGAGAGTTTCATCTGATCTACGCCGTTAAGCGGCGCACCCGAGAAGTGCCAACGCGAATTGACTTCAGAGATTGGCTTTGATCTCAAAAAGCCGTTAGAACTTCATTACATTCTGGACGATATGTATGACAGCCAGCAACCAGCGTCGCAAGTAAGCTTCATTCTTCCCTCAATGAATCAACCAGCTGTACATGCTCTTTCACATTTCATTTAATATTCAGAGGTTTTCTTTTTTCCCCCTCCGTTTTTCTTCTTTCCTGCGCAGCTATGGCACCCCGACCGTTTCGTTTGGTCGTCGGAATTCCTCGCGATGACACAATCGAGCTCTTGACGCCAACAACCGCGCAGCCGCAATCTGTTGCGCCAATGACGGCCCGATACCAACCTGAACGAATTCAAGGCGATTCTCTGCCAGAGAGCTGTGCCTATCATGGCAGATCCGACGTTGAAGTACTCATGTCCCGCAAACTCCGGAGAAGCCGCGAGACAAACACATCCCAGGAAGGAATCTGGGACTGCTTGTCCGATTTCTGGGAAAGCTGGTGCTTCTTCGACCGATGCTGCGATAGATTCTGTGACCGGCTCTGCGACCGGTGCTGCGACCGGTGTTGTGACAGGTGCTGCGACAGGTGCTGCGATCGATGCTGCGATCGATGCTGTGATCGGTGTTGTGATCGGTGCTGCGACCGATGTTGTGATCGATGCTGTGACAGATGGGCTACGTAAGTTTATTCAATAGTGGGAAAAAGTTCCTGGCATGGCTGACTGTTGTTACCCAGAGTATGTATCGAAGTATGTGGGAGGAGGACGTAATCAGCTCTATCTATGTTGGCTGGCTGTCTAGCACTCCAAGGTTGCCAGCGTCGCATTTTGTCCATGAATGGCGTACTGGTTCTGGCCTCTCATGCTGTGCCAGACATTGTGTCACAGTAAGTTGACTGGAGTCAGACAGCTTTTCTCATTTTCGTCTTAGATACTGTACATTTCCCATGTAATCGAACCAGCATGCATGAGTTACTTGGAAGCATTAGCAATTTCGTGTACGGAGTATTAGGAGACTGGACGCTCATCGTCAAGACCGCATATCTGAAAGATATCTTTTGAGCAGTGACAATGAGATCGGGTATACTTTGTCAGACTCTACTAGCCCTATTTTCCGCCTTCTGATTCATACGAAAATGTCAGTTAGCACGCGTGATCAGGGTGATGTGTTGCGGATTGCTAAGAACGAAACGACAGGGCTTGGTGCAGATTTGACGCTTGGTACTAAGCCACCGGAGCAGGCAAATGACGGGCTTGGGAATCTAGAAGGATTGAAAGTCTCCTTTGAAGAAGGCTATTTAGTCCAGATGTTCAAGTTGACATTTCGATTTTGGTTGCTGAGTCAACTGGCCCGCAGAGTCGAGTCCCACAATGTGAAGTGAGCAGCGCCAAATCGCCACCAGAGCTGCAGGTGGAGACCCAGGACTGGGAAAAGTCTTATCGGCTCCAGTGCATGCTTATCAATCCAAACTTGGTGGGGCGCCCGTGGAATTTTTGGAGGGGACTGCAGCGCATTCCACCCATTATTCCTATTTCCCTTTCGGCGCCACCCAGAAACTTTGACAAGAGATCACATCACCTTTCACACACACCACCATCTTTCCACGAGCCAAGCGACCATGGACGTGGATATGGAAGGTGCCATCTCCATTGCAGCCCCCACGGGGACTGCAATGAACGGCGCAACCATCCTCTGCTGCAACTGCGGCGCACCCATCGACGGAACCACAGCCGCCGGCGCCCTCTGTTATGACTGCGTCAAGCTGACCAACGACATATCACAAGGCATCCAGCGGGAGGCCGTCCTCAACTTCTGCAGAGACTGCGATCGTTGGCTCCTGCCCCCCAACAGTTGGCTAGTCGCCGCGCCAGAATCGAGAGAACTGCTTGCTTTGTGTCTGAAGAAGCTGCGGGGCCTCGGGAAGACTCGAATAATCGACGCCAGCTTCATCTGGACCGAGCCACACTCCCGAAGAATAAAAGTTAAGCTCACAGTGCAAGATGCTGTGTCGGACGGCGTCCTGCTGCAGCAGAGTTTCGAAATCGTCTACGTCGTCGCTTACCAGCAGTGTCCCGACTGCGCAAAGTCATACACAGCCAACGTCTGGAGAGCGTGCGTACAGGTGCGGCAAAAGGTCTTGCACAAGAGAACCTTCCTGTTCTTGGAGCAACTGATCCTGAAACACGGCGCCCATCGCGACACGATCAACATCAAGGAAACAAAGGACGGTATCGATTTCTTCTTCTCCCAACGAAATCAGGCCGAGAAGTTCGTCGATTTCTTGAAGTCGGTGGTGCCAATCAACGTTGTCAAGAGTCAAGAGCTTATTTCCGAAGATATTCACACCTCGAAAAAGAGCTACAAGTTTGCCTTCTCCGTCGAATTGGTGCCAATCTGCAAAGACGACCTCGTCGCGCTTCCAATCACTATGGCAAAGCAGCTTGGCAACATCTCGCCACTGGTCCTGTGCCACAAGATTGGTACCTCTGTCAACTTCCTCGACCCAAACACCCTCCAAACAGCCGAGCTACGTCCCGACATCTACTGGCGTGTGCCATTCTTCTCCCTCTCCGACGCACCCGACCTCGTCGAGTTCATGGTACTAAATATCGAACCCACGGGCCCCCAGAAGGGTAAATGGCTTGTTGCGGACGTCGAGGTGACGAGGGTAGATAATATGGAGACGACCTACAACGTACGGACGCACCTGGGTCACTTCCTCAACCCTGGCGACTCAGTCATGGGCTACATGCTCACGGGTACCAACTTCAACAACCCCCAGTTCGAGGCGATCGAGAACTCCCACACTTACGGCTCAAGAATACCAGACGTCGTACTGGTGAAGAAGCACTTCCCGCGTAAGCGCAAGCACCGCAACAGAAAGTGGCGCCTCAAGCGTATGGAGAAGGACGAGGGCGAGTTGCTACCCAAGAAGGCAGACCAGGAACGCCTGGATAACGAATACGAGGCGTTCCTGCGTGATGTTGAAGAGGATGAGGAGCTGCGCGCAGCGTTGGCGTTGTACAAGAACACCAACAAGAATAAGAAGAAGCAGGAGGGTGAAATGGACGTGGACGGCCAGAGTGTTGCGGATACGGAGGCAACTGGCGCCAGTGACGATGACGAAGTGCCGAAGGTGAACATGGACGAATTGTTGGATGAATTTGAGGAGATGACGATGCAGGATCAAGAGTAGAGAGACTTCCTCGCATTGGCGAACTGCTTCAAAGAGACCGTTCTAGCACGGTGGGATTTGGCTGTCACAGGGCACACAACTGCGTCAATGGGCGCGTTAGATGAATATGATACATGACTACATCACCGGGCTTCTGACTCCTCATTGTGTGACTCCACCTCCACGTGGTGCTCATAGAGTTTCTCGAATGAATCTTTGACCAGAGCGTCGGCGTCTAGAGTAACACAATACGACCTCGTGATTGTCTCAATAACTCAAGAACCCATCCTCATAGTCTTTACTACCAATTCGACCGCAGAGAGCACCAGGAGGCCCCGATTCGCTTAGCTATTACGCATAAAATCCCGCCATCCGTTTGTGTTTATTCTGGAGATTAGTGAACACTGCCACAACGAGTCCTCATATCTCTGCTTTACTCATCCCTGAGCCGGCCGCTTCCCTGCCTTGCTGTAAGAGCTGTCCACCATCATCCATCCCATGCTGTAACTCTCAGTACTGAACGGCGAGGCTCAACGTTCGAGGTTACCGTAACGCTGGATCTAAGTCGCCCCTTGTTCACGGAACACATGGTTCCTGTACACAACCTGGTGCAGACGACCATGTCCGTGGCATTTTGTAGCTGCCCTTCGGTGAAATCCACAGCTCGCACAGGGGAGAAAGCCAGAGGGATGCGCTGAGCGGTCTTGACTTGAGATCCGTGGAGACGACACATACCGGAGCCACAGCGGTGTCTCGCAAGGGCATATATATATACATATGCGACGAAGCAGCCTTGTGGCATCGGGCGCCGTGCTTTACTGACCAGGTTGCGGTTGTTCTAGGCCACTTGATGCACATCAACACAAGTGGGTGTCTTTCTTCCTGCGGACAGGTTTAGAAAACCTTGCTGAGCGCTTTGCTCGCTTTCTGAGGTTGAGTTGATTCCGCCGCTTTCTTCTGTGCCAACGAGGTCTGCTTGAACTTTCTGGGCTTCTCAGTGGCAGTCGCTTCGGCTGCGGGCGTGAGCGCATCTGCTTCCGCCCCCCCGTCGTTCGAGCCTTTCTTCTGGACCTTCTTGCTCTGTATACCATCCAGCATCTTTGCTCTCTCCACCCTCTGCACAAAGTCCTTGTTTCCTTTCTTCTCCCTCGTGAGCTCTGCCATCATCCTGCTGCTCCTCTCTGCATTCTCCGCAGCGATCTGTTCCGTCAGATGATGCCACTTGAACCCATTCAAGTATTTCAATGTCCATATGTCGTCCCTGTAGTAACTCCCCTTCTTGCCGCCGATTGTCTGCGCGTTCAACATTTCACACACAGCCTTAGCGTCCTTCTTGCTCACAAACTCCACCCAGCCCTCGGTGTACATCTTCTTCTTGTTTCCACCGTTACGTACCCGCCGCTGGTGTGCCATAGGGTCTTCGGGGGCGAGAAAAATTCGGTTGATCGTGCCGTAGTTTCCGAGGAGGGAGCGCAGCTTGTGGGGCTTCATGAAGGGTGGGATGCGCGAGATGTATACAACGCCAGACTTTTTGATGGCGGCTTCTGTGGCAACTGGGTTCTTCTTCAATAAGGGTTTGACAAGGCGGATGTCATCAGGCTGTGTGTTGCTGTCCTCTTCTCTCGACCCTGACTCTTCACGTCTCTTTTTGCCAGTATCTGGCTTTTGTGGCTTATTGCTCTCGCCATCTTCAGGTTCACTGTCACTGCCCTCGGCGTCTGGGCCGGCGTCGTCGCTGAACTCCTCGTCGTCCAAGTCGCTATCATCTTCTACTCTGCGCCTCTTTGCCGAGCGTCCACCCTTTTGCAGTTCGTCTTCAGAGTTGTCCTGGACGGCATCATCGTCGCTGTCCTCGGCATCGAGGAACTGGTTCCGCTTCTCGGGCGCCATGGTGTGATTTGCACGCAGGTGAGTGTCGGAAGCGGCTGACTGAATGAATCAGGGCGCTATGGATCGTAGATATGGATTGTGTGGTGGCGATTCGGCCTGTCAAATGAATTGGAAATCTTCTTACAGCTTTCGAGGATGTTGCCTCAAAATTTCAGTGGGGCCCCTGCAGCTGCCCGCCAAAATTCCAAGTTTCCGCCTGCATGCCCCACTAATCCTTATCTTATCGAGGGTGGCCGAGATCGGCTCCGTGGGGCGACCTCAACGGGACGGGCGTCATTCAGAGCAAAGTCATGGAGGGGTCGGGCCAGGCGATGGATAACAAGCACGAGCGATCCAAGCATTCGACACCAGGAACTAGAAAATCTATTTGTATATGATTCAGCCAGGACCCCTGGGACACACAACACGCCTTCTTCCGCCTTTGACCCAGCTCATTAATAACCATACACTTGCTCTCGCCGCTTGTTACTAGTATCCAAAATGTCTGTCGAAGTCATAAAGACCATCTCCCCCAACACCAACGAAGCCATCATCACCCGCAATGGCCCCTCTGCCGAGGAGATAGAGAACTTGCCCAAGACTTCCGCCGATGCTTTCAAGACGTGGAGCAAGACATCTCTGGCGGAAAGACAGACCATCATCAAGAAGGCGCTCAAACTGCTTGGCGACAGCACAGATGAGCTGGCCCTCGAGTTGACTACCCAGATGGGTAGACCTATTGCTTATACAGCAAAGGAAGTTGCCACAGCCATCAGCCGGTCCGAATATCTCGTCAAGATAAGTGATGAGGTGCTCAAGGACACCGATGGAGAGGCCGAGAAGGGTTTCAAGAGGTTCATTCGCAAGGTCCCTGTCGGGCCAGTGCTTGTCCTCTTCGCGTGGAACGTGAGTTATGTGCCAACGGCTCCCTTGATTGCCTGACCCCCTGGCGAGGTCCACCAAAGCGTCCGAAAGGCGAGATTCACAAAGACTGACTGATCAGTATCCGTATCTCATCCTCGTCAACTCCCTCATCCCTGCTCTCCTGTCTGGCAACACAGTCATCCTGAAGCCTTCACCGCAAACGCCCACAATTGTAGAGCAGGTATCCAAAGCCTTCACCCAGGCGGGCCTACCCTCTGGAGTCCTTCAGTATTTCCACAGCGGCTCACCCACTACGATTGAGTCCCTTGTCCGGAACCCTCTGGTGTCTCTGGTCTGCTTCACCGGCTCAGTTGCTGGCGGTCTTGCCGTGCAAAAAGCAGCTTCAGACCGCATTGTGGGTGTTGGCCTGGAACTCGGTGGCAAGGACCCTGCCTATGTAAGAAGTGACGTGGATATAGCTTGGGCGGCAGAGGAAATTGTCGACGGAGCTGTGTTCAACTCCGGCCAGAGCTGCTGCTCCATCGAACGGGTCTATGTCGATGAGAAGATTCACGACCAATTCGTCGAGGCTGTGCAGAACGTCCTCAAGGGTTACAAGCTTGGCGATCCATTTGACAAGAGCACAAACGTTGGCCCCGTCATCTCAACGAGGTCAAAGGCAGCTATTGAGGCGCATATCAAAGACGCACTGGACAAGGGCGCGAAGGATGCCACGCCTGAGAACGAATCGTTCAGCAACCCTCCTCCGAAGGGCAACTTCGTGAAGCCGACATTACTGACCGGTGTCACACACGAGATGGCAGTCATGACGGAGGAGACGTTCGGTCCCGTCGTTCCTGTGATGAAGGTCAAGAACGACGAAGAGGCTGTCAAGCTCATGAATGACAGCGAGTTTGGTTTGACAGCCAGCATCTGGACCAAGGACACTGCCAAGGCCTATGAGCTGAGTGAAGAGGTCGAGGCGGGTACCGTATTTGTCAATCGTTGTGACTTCCCTAGTCGCGTAAGTTGTTGCTGAGACCCGATGATGAAATACCGCCCCCACTGACGATGACACCTGCAGGATCTGGCGTGGACTGGTTGGAAGAACTCAGGCAAGGGACAGACATTGAGCCGATTTGGTTTCGACCAGTTTGTTAAGCTGAAGAGCTTCCACCTGAAGGACTACCCCAAATAAGGTGAGATGGTGGTGAGAAATCGGCCGAGGCAAGGGATGCCTTTACGAACAGCCTAGATCAAATCGCACCACATGCACGGCACTGTTCATCTCAATCACACTCACTTGCTCCCTCGTGATTCAATTCTGGCGCGAGCGAAACCAATTAAACACACGCGTCTGCCTCGCGTTCTTCCTCTTAACGCGTGCGCATTCCATCAGGTGGCCGTGAGCTTGCCAAACATCAAACCAAACATTCCAACACATCTTGCTGAGAAGGGCGACTCATCCACCACCCCTTCGCAGATGTTGTTTGCAGCAGTGGATTATCCCTCGAGCGAGCCACACCTGGACCGTCCAGAGCTTTCTTCTTTGACGGTAAGGTGTCAAACCTCTGTAAGACCTGCGCGGCCGTCCTCGAGTCTCTTCCTTTGTATTCCTCTAGATCAAGGCAATCACTTCTTAATTTGGACATTCGAGCCTCGTGAACCCCTCTCCTCGGGATGTATCACATTTTACTGGTCGATCTAGGCCACTCCTTTGTTCACTATCATCGCGCTCATTTGCTCACGACCACTTTGGCGTCCGAGTCTTGATCGCTTGTACATTCCGCTGCTTTAACTTCTGCTGCAAGCTATCAGCTCTACTTGGTCCCTATATTCTCGACCGACTTGGCATCCAAAATCTTCTGTACCTGTCAATCGTTTGCCCTATCTAGCTGCCTGGTCAGCCTTCTGAGCAACGCCATCTCCCAGCTCGACCTTCCCTTCGACCAACCACCCAAGTCGCAGAGGGAAAGCTTCCCTTTCTTCGATTCTCCCACAAGGGTATCGTCGCCTTCTTTTACTGACGAGTCGTCCCTCCTTTCGAATTGGCATCTCGTCCCAAGCCAACTTTGTCACACTCTCTTCGAACTCTCAATTGTCACTCCCTCAAGACCTAAGCAACAAAATATTGATTACGACTCGCCTTTTTCTTTTCCCGCCATTCCTTAGACTTTCCTCCAAAGCAAGATCATCGACGCCATCCAAAATGCAGGTTTGCAACTCCTTCAAGCTGCGTCTCGCGCGTGTCCAGAGTGTGGTGAAGAACGTAGTCAACCGTCGCCTACGCAAGGAGAAGAAGAGGCGCTCAATCCAGATTGTGAGACATCATCCGCTTCCTGGTGTCCTCTTCTCACGATACTGACAGTACCGCAGTCCGAGCCGTTTGCCTTCAGACATGTCACCACAAACATCAAAGGCCTTAGTGAGGATGAGTAAGTCTTCTGTTGAAATGCCGTCCAAGCTGTAAAGAGTCGCTGCACCGGCGAGCCTTCCCCCTCCCCGCCCTCCCCCCTTAAAACGGAAAACCATGGAAACTTAATTTGGCACAATGCTGACACCAGCTTGTAGGCTCCAGGTCCTCCGTGAGAAAGCTATAGCCAGCCGTTTTTCCACCATCGACGCCCAGCTTGCACAACAGCAGCAACATGACCTCCACCAGAAGCCAGCCCGGCCAAACAAGACCCGCGCTGGCTACCGCGGCCTCACATCGTCCCCGCTGAGCGCCTCGAGGCCTTCAATCACGCAGTCTTTTGCGGCGGAGGACAGTGCTTCCCAGCTGAGCCACACGACAGCGTCCTCGAGCGGTGGAAGCGACCACGGCTGCGATCTAGCGAAGGAGACACTCATCTAGAGCCTGATCCCTCTCTCATGACCCATCCTGAACTAGACGAACTGAAGCTTACCACCACCACCATGAATACCACAGCAACAAGGTGAAGGAGCCTGAGTTGGTTCTTTTGTCTAATTGGTATTACGATTACTGGCCTTGCAAATTCCAACGGCAAGAAACTCCAGATAGCCCAGTATAATGCTATTGTACGATCATGAATTACCCGAGACTAGAAGGAATAATGTTGCGGAATGATTACGACCTCGCCTGGAACCGGAAAGAAATGACAGAAGATTGAGAAGACGGACCAAGTCACCCGGATGACGACTCAGAAACCATACACTTGTTATCAACATCATTTTGAGGCCTTGTTCAAGCAAAACAGGGAACAGTGTGATCTGGGTCGTGGGTCTGGGTCGCCAAGAGACAAGGGAGTGCAGGAAACTGACTATTCTGTTCTTTCACTCATTTTTGGAATCGGCACCCTGATCCGGCTGTCAGATAGAGAAACTTTTGGAGAAGATACATTTTCTTGGGCGGGGGATGTCCAGCCATGAGAAACGATCTTTTGAGACGAATTACTGTAGCATTACTCACATATCATATCCGCTGGGGACCCAACCTCCATAATTCAAGCACGCGAAGCTAGAAATTAAGCAGCTTCGATTCAATAACAAGCGTCAACATTGGTCTTGAACACAATTGCTTTTCCTGTTCGCCCTACTGGCTTCGTGGTATATTAGGACATGTTGGACTCGGACCTCCCCTTTTTGGGCGCAAGCGAAACAGTTTTATGAGAAGGGCAGAAGGGCCGCGCGATTTGCATGCCAGAAAGCAACGTCAAGAAAGCCACCCATCGAATTCCCGCAGTTTCTCAACCCTGACTCCCTCTAGCTCGCCCTTGACCCCGAGCAGCTTGACCTTGCTGTCCTTTTTCTTCCCAGACCACTCCTCCAGGAAGCGCTCCAGCCGCGCAACCGTCTCCTCGTCGTCCCTGACCAACAAAGACACGGCATCGAACCCGCCCGCGCCGGGCACCACACCGCCGTACACGCCGTCGAGTGCTGACAGGGCGTCGATGAGCTCCGTCTGGGCCTCGGGCTCGATTGGCACGCCGGACTTTGCCCCCATGCTGCGGACCAGCTCCCTGCTTGCGGCGAGGGCGGCGGGCAGGTCGTCCAGCCTCCCCTCGGCCAAGACGCGCGCCAGGGTCTCGTTCCTGCCCTGCAGCTCGTCCCACAGCGCCTTGGAGCCCTGCGGGTCGGTCGCGCGCCACGCGTTGACGGCCTTGACCATGCCGACGGTCTGCGAGCCGCACTCGACGTCGACCATCCGCATGGCGACGCCGCGCGGCAGGCTGACCTTGTCCTTGTGGATCTCAGTGTCCCACCGCCTGCCGTTGATGGCTTCCTCCAGCTTGGTGCCGAAGTGCGGTTGGCCCGGTTGCGGGACCGCGTCCAGGACGGAGGGTGAGAAGCGCCGGTAAAGGCAGCTTCCGTGGACGGCGGCGGCAACGTCGAAGCCGGAGCCGATCTTGCCCTGAGCGCGGCAGTGAGCCGCCTGGGCGAGGTTGTGCAGCACGGTACGGCCCTTGTCGGTGCCCAGGTCGAAGTGGATGGGGTCCAGGTAGTGGGACAGCAGAGCGGCCGTCAGGCTCGTGACGAGCGCGGCCGAGGAGCCGAGGCCGGTCTTTTTGGCGTCTTTCAGAGACGTGCCGAAGGGAATGAACCTGTTGCTGGATGGGCCAGCAGCGGTGGATGATGATGAGGCGGAGTAGTAGTCCGTGTCGGCGAGGATGGTGAGCCTGGCGGATTTGATGCTGTGGGCCGGCCGTTGGTGGGCTACGCGCGATATATATGTGAGCGCGTAGGTGAGAGTTGTCTCGATGAAAGGGTTGGCTTGGTATGTCGAGCCGCTTTTATGGAGGTTAGTTGCGATGAAAGTCCAGGTTGACGAGTTGATCTAGAATTGGCGTGCTCCATGGCCAGCCGGGGTTTGGCTGGGGACATATCTCATTCATACAACACGACAGCGAATGCACATGAATGTGAGTATCTGAAGCAGTGAGGCAGTGAAGCAGTGAAGCAGTGATTCTGGGGGAGGAGGTGGAGGGGCCAGAAAGATCAGAACAAGGTTTTGAGGCTGAAGCATATAGGCAGCTTATTCTCAGACGAGACGTCACTTACACCTGCAGCTGAGTGACAGTTATGCCGCCGTCCTCAGGGGCAAGATGATAGCCATAGCGCCAGATTCCGCCGATGAATTGGGGACTCTCGACGACAATCTCGGTCAGCTGGACGCCCTGGGAGGTGGGGATGCCTCGCGCGACGACATTGATGCGGGCGTTGAGGCCGAAGACAAGGCCGGTGTAGTCTCTGTCGGTGACGAGGTAGCCACCGGCGAGCAGCACCTTGCCAGGGGCGGACACGGCGGTCGTGGGGTTCTCGGACTGGACGGTCATGGTGCGGTGTGTGTGTGATAAGTGTGGTATTTGATGACGAGACGGATGCTGCGGGTGTCTGTCCCTGAAGGTTGAGCACTCAGGTATGCTGTTATATGGGATGCGGGAATCGGGATGCAGTCAGTCTGGTGGGACTCTTGTGTAGGTACAGGGCTCCTTGGCGGTACAATGGATACAATACAGTCTCAGTCGAGGTCAGCTTGGGAGGACCCCGAGGGACGTGAAATGAGCAAGCGAGATCGGCGGGGCCCCGCCAGATGCAGGCGTCAACTTGCCCTGTGTGAGTGACACGATGCCCTCAATGACGACAGCGGCGATCCTCAAAGTTTAATCGCAGAGGTGGTGCACACATATGACATGGGATCTTCAGGCACACATGGAAATGGTGATCTCGGGCAACGCTGGATGGAGGGGGAGCTTCAATTGGGGTTGAGAAGCTCCTAGTCCATGCATACATAAGGCACCCAAAGTGCTGTGGGGGGCTGCGGGGCAAGTCCTGCATGCACATGCGATCAGTGAGAGTCTGGCCCCTTTTCAGACAGGCTTGCACCCCTTTTCCTTCGATTCCCCCACCGTCATTGCCACATGTGGTAACCCTATCGAACAGCCCAGAGAGCTCAGACACCCAGGAAGCGAAGCTCAGCTCGTCTCATCGTGAGCAGCTACTGTGGTACATCCAGGTGCCGTTGCTAGCCAGCCAGCTAGTGGCAGCCGTTGAACTCAAATATGCCTTCTTAGTATGCACCCAGGCCACTACAACCAGTGAAGTCACCATGACGGATTGATTGCCAAGCTTGGGCTCTTTGTCTGTACAGCTCGTGGTACAAATAGTAAAACGGGCAGCCCAGTACAAATGCAATCTCATGCAGCATGCTCGAATAGGTCGTCATCGTAGGAACAACTTACACGGGAAGAGCCTCATACCGGCCCCATTGGGCAAGCAGCCACGGCCAGTGATCGACCAGGGACGGAATACACTTCCAGGACAGCATCTTCGCTCTCCTCGTCCTCAACTCTGACCGACTCTGTCCGTGCCCAGCGGGACAAGGCTATATGGTCGACATGAAGCATCGGGGTCAGATAGCAATACTACCCTAACCCTACTGACCTACAACCCATGTGAATGAAATAACGACTTCGAGGCTCTTTGAGTCGTGACAGAATGACTAACGTCGACGTCGGCGCTTGTCATGCTTTGATACCGTCTCTGCATAAGGCCGTCACATTGTCTCCGAAGACAGGTTTCGGTTGCTTCTTCTTCCACTTCCAGTCTTAATCTGCGCTGGTGTTCAGTGTGTACGATCTGGCCTGCATTCAACATTCTGAAGAGCCCACTTCTTCCGCGCGAACACGGAGGCAAGTTGTATATTATATGGGTTGGACTTTGCCTGATCAGTAGATGATCCTGAACTGAAGTTCGGTTCAGGATGGACCTCGACTATCTATAGATGGACCGCAGGGCCGGCGGCCTGGGCCTGCCTACTGAAGTCAAGTTTTGAGTGGCATAGGGACACACATGAAGACTCACCTCTTTGCGTTACAATTCATACGGATGCCATCATAGAAAGGCCCCAATGGATACGTTACTAAACCAAATGTCGTCCTCAATTGCCGTGTCGCCTACATATGGAAGTGGCCACCCGTCAAAGCTCTGGTGTGCTGCTACCCAGTCACCGTTGAGGCGAAGAAGCTCACGTACCTTTTTGACGTCATGATGCGCAACACCACCATCCAGGTGCGAGGTAACACTCGTCCATCTAGCAGAGGCCATCTATCATGAGTTCGCAAATGCTTCTTACCCCCGCATGATATTCATCAATGAATTCGACCTAGAAACCAAGATTTCGACAAACAACATGCCAGCATACGAAGATCCTCCTCCACCGTACGAGGCCAGCTCCTCCACTTCCTCACAGCCTCAACCGGCCCATACCACAGAGATTCCTCCACAAAACACAAACAACCTCACTGTACCCCTCAGATCCCGTAATGGAATTCCACCTGAAGAGAGGCGTAGCATGGAGGATTCTGCCCGAGCCCTCCCCAACGGCTGGGTGAGGCAATACGATACAGAGACGCACCATCAATTCTTCGTCGACACTACGGCCACCCCTCCGCGCTCCATCTGGCACCATCCCTATGACGACGAACAGTACCTAGCCTCATTACCTGAAAGCGAGAGGGATCGCATCAAGAGCATGCAGCGCGTACACAGCCTATCCGACATCGAAGCCGAGAGCAGCGACGACGACGCCGCCCACGGGCACGGGCACGGCCAACCCGCAGGAGGGGCAGCCGGGGCACAGCAGCCCGGCCTCCTGGACACGGGCCCGGAGAAGCTCTCCAAGCCCGAGAAGTTCGGCCGCAAGCTCAAGGACAAGCTCACCAGCTCGACCCACCAGGAGCGCGCGGCCAAGCGCCAGAGGCGCGCCGAGGCCGAGCGGGAGGCGTACTACCAGCATCAGCACATCCGGCGACAGATCGGGCGCGCCGTCGAGACCGGGGAACCGCAGCTGCTGGGCCGGGACAGCGAGGGCAAGGAGGTGTGGATCGAGCCACCGCGTGGCGCGCCTCTCAGGCGTGACAACGCGTATTCTGTCAATCCGTGGAACAGGGGAGGGTACTTTGGGGGCCCTCCAGGTATGATGGCAGGCCCTGGTAATATGTATACGAGGCCGGTCGGCCCTTATAACAGGCCTTATGGTCGTGGAGGCTATGGTTACGGTTACGGTGGTGGTCTAGGTATGGCTCCTCTGTTGGGACTGGGCGTTGGGTTGGGCGTGGGTAGTCTGTTGTTTTGAGCATAATGTGTGGGATAATCAGATGGTTGAGGCGTAATCATGCCCTAAAGAAACGTAATCATACCCTAAAGAAAAGTAATCACATAATTATTCTGGACCTATGAATTGTTTGGATAAAAATTGTGTGAGGACTATATCATGGTTCTGATGAAAGGCTGGTAATGTTGGCATGGACTCGCCCAAATGAGCGCTCCTGTCGCGTCGAATTCGATACCAGTTAAGTCCCACTGGAGACCTAGACTGATGATCGTATTCTCGCCCGACACAGCTACAAGAATCATCCTTCGGAGTAATTTGTTGAGCCCGAGAGAGGCCTGGGATAACACCAAGACTTCTTTTGCTGTTCTCCATTTGCCCTCGGCCTTGCGGCATCGACCAAGGTCTGGTGCAGATGCCTGCCCACAGTTTGCAGTTGAATTGTGTGCTACATGGAAGTATCACGCAGATAACAGTTTGCATTGCTGGAGACACGTGATAACGGATCGCGATGTAATGAAAGCCCACTCTGACTGCCACTTGTGGATTTAGCATTGACATCTCTCTCATACTTACTTTTGCTTAACATTCGCAGCGTTCTTGGCCTCGACGGCGACATGGCCGCGGCATCCGACACAAGGACCGCCGACTCGGTATATCCGAGCCAAGTACTGTTGTTGCAAAGTAAGAAAGAAGGTGAAAACTGATCTCGATGGTCGAGAAAGTGACATAACTCTACGCGGACGCTTGTCCACAGTGAGGCGGGAGACCAATCGTTGAACAACTACGCTCTAACGCGTAATGGCACGAGGTCAAAAGAGTTGACGTTGGAAGAGATCAATCTGATAAGATCCGTAGGAACCAGAAATCATACGATACCTCGGAAGCGAAACGTGCTCGCTCGGCCCCAAGATCTGGGGAGTGAGATCATAGCCGTTGGCAGATGGATGGAACCCCGATTTCCCCGCAAAACAGCGAACAGTCCAAGCTCGGTGGACCGAGTCGGGCTCGGGAGCGGGCTTCGCGAACGCCGCTGGAGCCGGGTCAGACGGACAGATCAGACAAGCCGGTCCGTGAGGCTAGCAGGAGGATCTGTGCTGTCAGGCCCACGGGCTGTATGTGATTGAGATCGGCGGGGAATTCTCGATGCAGGTCCAGGTGACCGACGGTATCTTGGTGATCGCCGTTGATGCTGCAGGTTTGGTGCTGGAATTATCGATGTGGGATTCTTCCTGCGACCAACCCAAAAGGCAAACCCTGCTTGAGACATCATCTCGTTTGGCTGTCAGAAGCAAAGAGCTTCTGTTAGCTTCTGCTACGGCTGTCGAAGTACCTGTTCGTGCTGGTGTGCCAGCATGGGGGTAGCGAGGGCGACTCTCACAAGACGGGTTCCCTCTACCAGAAATGGAGCACACCTTCATTCCCAAGCGGCTGGGCTCGTGCCGTGCAGCCCTCCGGCTTCTTCCTGGGGGCAGACACCGGCCTGCCAATTGGAAGGCAGCCGGAGGTCTGTCAGCCACCGCCTGCAGCACCGGTATGCTGGGAGACCCCACGCACAGAGGACAGGCCTGACAGGCCTGACAGGAAAGCCCCTGCAGCGTGTGAGATTTGATGCCGGCTTCTTTTCTTCGCTAGAAGACGCAGGAAACGCGCTAGGGCGGGATTGCGACTGGCAGCGGCGCAGCGCGTCCGAGGGTTCCGTCTGCCGCAGACTTCAGGCCAAGATGAAAGTCTTGACGACTTGACTGACTGGGCGATGATGGTCGTCATCATCGACAATTGTGGCAGCCTGACAGCCCGGGACCAGGTGCCTGGTAGCCGGTGAGGACAGATTGCATGCCCGTATGTGCACATGCAAACGCAGGTATCGTTGGCTCCGGCCTGAAGGAGGGCTTCCCATGGTACCTTGTACTACCCAGGTATCGGTAGACCAGACCTACTAGGTAGAGTCTGCGGTGGGTGAGTGATGACACTCGACAGTCCCTCTCGTTCTCGTGCTCGTTCAAGCCCCGTCCTGCATGTCGTGGGGCCGAGAGAATTTCAAATACCGAATCCACACTCTTGTCAACAGCAGCCAATGGAGGGGACAGTATTATGTGCTCTGTCTTGAAGTGGGAAATTGGAGCTGACAGTCTTCTTTTGTGTTCCTCATGCTTCTTGGTGGAGGAGATTGTACAATAGACTAGACTACGTGGTGTACGTAGATACTTTGCCCAAGTGTCCAGGTATCCAGGCCAGGTACAGGACCTGGGATGGCAGCAGGTTGCAGGCCTCAGGGCCAACTTGTGCCAAAGTCCGTAAAGTCCAGGGCACAATGTCTCGGCTACAGGGCTTGCCTGGCCTCGGGCTCTGCCAGGTCTGCCCCCCAGGTTCCGAGTCCTCCCTGCAAGGACTCCCGGGATGTTTTCATGCGGCCAATCATGAGCCTTGGAAATTCGCTCCTCCCCCCTGTCTAGGCGGTCCACCACCCACCACCAGGACCCCACAACAAGGTTTTGGGGGAGGAGCAGCTACTGCACTGCTCTGTCGCGCAGACTGGCGGGTTAGCAGTGTGTGACTCGTCGCCTCCGAATTCCAAGTCGCAGGGCGTATGCGATTTCATATTACCCTCCAGATTTCTCGCCCTCCTTCACTTTTCCTGTGTCTGTTCCCCCCCTTCACTCCCTCTTACACTTCTTCACATAACCCTTTTCAAAAGGTCAATACACCCTATCTGAATAGCGCGTTTGTTTGATGTCTTCGTTGGCATCAAATGAACCTGCAGTTGCGCTTTCACCTCTTCTCCCGAGTAAGTCGAGCCAACCCACTCTTCGTTTGTTTCGGTTCCACCCGAGTCCATGACGTTCTGTACGTGTACTGCGTCTGCCTGCGGAATGTTTTTGTCGCCCGCCAGGACCCAAAGTTTGGTGCTGCAGATCTGAAATTCAGCATCGTCGAGGTTGCACAACCACCCACTTTCGCGCAGGCAATTCTTCACGACAGGACCCCCAATTCTTGTTCAATACAAAGAGAAATTCAACAGCCCGTCCAATGCACATGTTACTGACAAGAGTTTCTCGCGTTTATAGTCCCCCCACTCTAAAGGCTTCACCTAAATGCCTGGATCTATCTACAACAACTTATACACGAACTTTATCCGTTCTGGGTTCACCAAATCCTTCACCCACGGCTACGCACAGTCTGTCGTAGCTGCCACCCATCCCCATGTTCTAAACTCTCAGAACCGGCCGTCCTTTGCGGCCCGGAAACGACAGACCACAAACCGCCTCAGTCGCCTCCAGCAGCTTCAGAGCGCCTTCCACACCAGCGCCCACCAGTCCTCCAGCCTCCCAACCGAGCATCGGCACGAGAAGCTCGCCAATAACCATGGAGGGCTAGACGCCTACTTTGAGCACCTGCAGAAGAAGGAGGGTATCGAAGACTCGGAGGAGAATGAGTGGGTCCAGTTCCGTTTCCAGGACAAGATCGAGTGGAAGCCCACGCCGGCTTCTATTCTTCTCGGCTCTGAGGCACCAGCACTCGAGACCAAGGAGGCTGATGAGGATGGGTTCAGCGAGTCTGCTTTCTCGGAAGAGGAGCAGGCCGCCCTGGCCCATATCGATGCCGCCCTTGCCAAGGAGATTGAGACCCGCCAGCATGTAGCTAGTGAGGATGTCTCGGCGTTGAGGGCATCAACACCTGCCCCAGGAAAGGTCGCCGAGCCCATCTCGCCTTCGCGAGCCCGATCACCGGCAAGCGTCGCCCGTTCCGTTACACCACCGGTCGACTCTCAGTCTCAGAGCTATGCGGACCATCTCACTAAGCTCTCCGAGTCTGGACGTTATGCCGAGATCCCAGCTGTCTTCGAGGCCATGTTGGTGGCCAGTATCCAGCCCTTGGCTACGTCTTACAATGCTCTTCTCATGGCCGCCATTCATCTTCCGGCCGAGAAGATCGAGATTGTGTCCAAGGCCCTGGATGTCTACACCGACATGATGCGCCGAAAGGTCGCCCCAGACAGCGATACGTACAACATCCTCGTCGGTCTGTTGGCCGCCCGATCACTCGAGGTCTCGTCTCTCAAGAAGAGACTCGAGGACAAGCGCGCCCGGTACGGTGGTATGGATGAGCCCGGCAAGTTCATGTTGGCATCTTCCGAGCTTGAGCACGCGATACTCTCCGAGGACGACCGCCTCGACCTGGCCATCAAGCTTTTCAAAACCTCTGTTGCGTGCCAGCGTGATGTGTTCTCGCCCGAGACTTATCACCAGCTCATCTCGGCATGCGCTCAATCTGGTCGCGTCTCGGACATGCTCCACCTCTACGAGCACATGGAGACCAACAAGGCTACACCTTTCGCTGCGACATTCCCAGCTATGATCACTGCTTTTGCCAACTGCGGAGACCTGGTCAGCGCTGTGGAGTGCTATACCGAATATCGAACTCTTGCCATCGCCAACGACAATGGTGAGGTTACCTTGAATGACCGTCTCGACGCTCAGGTCTACGCATCTGTCATCAACGCTTACGTTGTCTCGGACAAGCTCGACGGTGCCATGAAGTTCTACAAGAAAATTGTGCAAGAGTATGGTGTGCGCGCCGCCAGCATCAAAGATGCCATCATCAGCCTAGGTTTTGTGAAGGGCTTAGTCCATCGAGGCATCTACCATGAAGCTCTCCGATGGGCTCAAGCTATTGAGGACGACTCACGGGCTCAGTCCATGGCCGACCTCACAGTGTCTGCGGCAGATAACGGTGACAAGCACACAGCCATTGCCGCGTTCGCGAACCTTCCCGTCACCTTCAACAACATTGCCGCTCCTGCGATGGCTCTTTTGGCACTAAGCATTCGTGGTGGTGAGGTGATGGAAGCATGGCGTTATTGGCAGATCCTCAGCAGTCCCGAGAGTGCCGTCAGTCCTTCTTTCATTGAGCCCACAGCCATGTTTGCTGTCGCATTGATTGGTTCTGGGCAAGTTGTTGAGGGTCTGAATGAGGCTGAGGCAATGTTCCACCGGATACGCTCATCTAACGCGGACGATGCACACCTGGCAGCTGAGGTAGAGGAGGGCATGGACTTTGTCTCACGCTACATGACGTCTCGAGGTATTACTGATCCTCGAGAGCTGGCTTCCCAGACTGGTACTGCCTCACCATACCAATCCGCCCCCTCAGTTTCAAGTTACGAAGACACGTTCGATCCATACGCGCACAATACCGATTTCAAAGGCTCGTCGCTTATATCCGACGAGCTTGAAGGTGCTCATGGCCGCAAGGGTCCCAAGCTGAACGACGCCCTTGCTCGGTTCCGCAACATGCGCCGTGCTGGCCGCCACCCGCGATACATCACTTATGCCAAGCTCATCTCGGCTGCGGCGCGCGAGGGTAAGATGGAGACGTGCAACGACATCCTGAACATGGCTCGCACTGATGTTCCATTGTTGCCTCAATACGCCGTTGTTCGTTACGGATGGTCATCAATCTTGGACTCAATGGTTGGTGCTTGCCTAAGCCTGGGCTACCGAGCACAGGCTGAGCAATACCATCAGGAACTGTTGGACATGGGTGCGACTCCTTCGGCCAACACCTACGGTCTGTACATCACCACGCTCAAGGAGTCCACCAAGACTTTCGACGAGGCTTCCGAGGCGGTAAAGATCTTCCACCGCGCCAAGGCTGAGGGCGTCGAACCAAGCTCTTTCCTCTACAACGCCCTAATTGGCAAACTGGGAAAGGCTCGCCGTATCGATGACTGTCTTTTCTTCTTTGCTGAGATGCGCGCCCTTGGTATCAAGCCGACCTCTGTGACATACGGCACCATTGTTAACGCTCTTTGCCGTGTGTCTGATGTCAAGTTTGCTGAGGAGCTCTTCGATGAGATGGAGGCCATGCCCAACTACAAGGCTCGGCCTGCACCTTACAATAGCATGATGCAGTTCTTCTTGACCACCAAGCGCGACAAGTCAAAGGTCCTGGCGTACTATGCACGTATGCAGGCTAAGGGTATCTCGCCCACCGCGCACACCTACAAGCTATTGGTTGATACCCACGCGACTCTCGAGCCTGTGGACATGCAGGCTGCAGAGTCCGTTCTGGACAGCATTCGTGCTAGTGGTGGCAAGCCCGAGCCCGTGCATTACGCTTCCTTGATCCACGCGCGTGGTTGTGTCTTGCACGACATGGCTGGAGCCCGGAAGATCTTCAATAATGTCATCGGTGATCGCAACGTTACTGTGACGGCTTCCCTCTTCCAGGCGTTGTTCGAGAGCATGGTGGCCAACCACTGTGTCTCGGACACTGAGCCACTCCTTATGGAGATGCGCCGACGGAAAGTCGAACTTACTCCTTACATCGCTAATACCCTAATCCACGGATGGGCTTCTGAGGGCAACATCGCCCGCGCTGAGGACATCTATGGTGCTGTGGGACGTGAGCGTCGCGAGCCGAGCACGTACGAGGCAATGACCCGCGCATATCTCGCTGTTGAGGACAGGGAGAAGGCGAGGTACATCGTCTCGGAGATGATGGGACGGGGTTATCCCAGTGCTGTCGTCGGCAAGGTGGTGGAGCTTGTTGGTGGTGGTGAGCAAGAGGCTGTAGCTGTCTAAGCCGTTTACCTGAGGAAACATGTTTCCTCGATCGTCTCTGTCACTTATTTCCTTTGTGTCGCGCCTCTGGTTTGCTGTCTTGTTTGATACCCCTTGAAACGGTGCGCGAATAACAACGGAGGATGACAGCGTACAAGAAACACTGTCCGGTGGATGTACGAGAGCAAGGGGTTGTCAAAGACCGCAAGGCCGGCACGTGTTGGCTATTTCCTTTCTGTCCAATTTCCTATGTCTCGTCCTTTGCAGCGGGCGTTGGTGTGTTCAAAATTGTTTAAAGCGGCCGCGCCCAAGAGGCACGCTGGCTGATGAATGACCTGGGACGGAATGATCTTCCTGGTTGGTCGGGGCATGGTTTGCCACACCCGGTGCGGTATCGTTGTGAAGGGAACGGAACGGAGGTCCGACATGGAACGCTTTTGTTTTTTTATTTTCGAAGCAGTTGAGGCACGATCTTCCTGCTCGCATCTGTCGCCATTGGCGGCATATAGACAAATCTCTACTCTGCATATCAGCAAGAACAAGACATGGACATATTAAACAAGCGGTGGCGATTTGGAACGGATTTTGGCATGGCGGCTCGGGTCGGTTGGGTCGGTCATCATCTGGTTAGGACGCACGTGTATTCGTACACAGCAGGCATTTAGAGATGATGGGCGATGTCGAGATGCCGGGTAGGCATGTCGCTTGTGTACAGTATCTAGAATCATCGTCGATAATGATGAATGGCCAACGCAAAGTTGGGTCTTGTCCAAACAGCTACTTGTGGGATTGTTTCTCATTTTTGTGTGCTCGTATTTATCACCTTCTCAGATGACAGAGAATGGAATTATACATGACTGGCTGATAAACCGAGCTGTGAAGTTCTTGCGAGGCTGATGCCGAATCGGCAACACGGTTTACAACTTCTGAGTCAAAACGCGCACATGGCGAACCAAACAGCCCTGAACCTTTGTGCGCGTTAAGTCACATGTGCAATGTCATTTAGCGCATTCGTACAAACTGCAGTATTGTCAAGATATTGTATGAGAGAAATGACAACGCTAATGATAATAAGTAAGAGTCCGTCTATGCAATATTGAACTCGCTGGCCGCGTTCATCTTCCTGAGCATGTCCTCCATCTTCTTCCTCGCCAGAGCCGCATCCACGTCGCCACCGTCCGCATCGTCCATGACGTCCGCCTTTCTCTTGCTCCCCACGCTAGAGGTGGCAGAGGCACCGCCGGCGGCCGGTGCCCCCTTCTTGTGCGTGCGCTTCTGCACGCCCCCTCCTATGCCGCCCGGTGCCTCCCTCAGCCCGTAGCTCTTGGCAATGTGGCCCAGGTGCAGCTGCTGGATGTCGAAAACGTGCCTTTCTTCCTTAACATGGGTGGCGTAGGCGCGGATATGGGACCTAAAGGCCTGCCTGGCAGAGTCAATGATCACTGGCCCGGTACCCTGCGGTTTCGGTGCCGGCAAGGGCTTCCTGCCACCCTTGGTCGGTGGTGGCTTGGGTGGCTCTGACGCCAGTATGCGCTGTTCGAGGTGAAGCTGTAGGGCTTCGGCTCTGGCATGGGGAGACTGTTTCTGCGGTAGCTGCTGCTGCTCTTCTTCATCCTTGCCGGGGACGGAGGGTAGCGCCACTGGGGTGGCAAAGCCTTTTTGCAGGACGGTCTCGTAGGACTGGGCTACTGCCGGCGGGGTGGTAGGCAGCATGTCGATATATCCTTCTTCACAACCTGGCTGCAGGAACAAAGAGGCCTTTCCGGGCCGGCCAGCACGAGCCGTACGTCCGATACGGTGAACGTGGTCGGCAATGGCGAAGGCGGGGTCATACTCGATGACCAGTTCCACGGCAGGGACGTCAAGACCACGCGAGGAAATGTCGGTTGTGATGAGCACGGCAGGGTCTTTGCAAGTCGAGAACGAACGGAGCGTCGAAGTACGCATCTGCTGGTTGAGCGAGCCGTGAAGCTTGTGGAGGAGGACGGTCGGGTTGGCCGGGGACGTAATGTAGGCCGCAGGATGCACGGTGGTGGCCGTGTGGTCTGGCTTGGGTTTCTGGGGCGGTGAAGACGGTGCCAGGGCCTGAGCCGGCGCTGTGGACTTGAGTACGTCGAAGTGGAAGTCGACCGAGTCGGCACAGGATATGAAGATGATTGCTTTCATGACGGAGCCTTTCCGTGCGAAGGCGTCCTTCAGGAGTGCTATGAGTGTGACCAAGCGTAGCTTTGCCGGGACAACCAGATATGTCTGCTTGAGCTGCGCCGGTGCAGCAAACACTGCTTCTGTCTTTGCATCTCCCTCTGCGTCGTCCTTGGAAGTGGATGCAGTAATGTGGACGGCGTCCTGCAAACTGATCTCGCCAAGCCTGTTGACATTTGCCCTCATTGTTGCAGAACAGAGGACCGTCACCCTCCTCTTTGGCATGGCCTTTGTGAGCAGCACACCTTCCTTGTTCTTCTCCTTGAGAGGCTCCTCACGAATTGCAGTCACAATCTGTTTGAGGTCTTGTTCGAAGCCCATCTCCATCATCCTATCACCTTCGTCCAAGATGAGCCAGCGAACCGTTCCAACATCGAGAATCTTCGTGTTTTCCAGGTGGTCTGTCAACCGACCAGGCGTGGCAACGAGGATATTGCAGCCCTTGCGAATGCGCGCCTTCTCCGAGTGTTTGCTCTCGCCTCCCATAACGGTGGTGCTGACGATCCACGGGCAGCATCGCAGTAGCTTTTCCAGCACAACAGAAATCTGCTTACACAGTTCTCGGGTTGGTGCGAGGATAATGGCGAACAAGCCCGAATTCCGGTGTATGTTCGCGCCAGTTGTGCTCCCGTCATCATTCCGACTCAGAGCGACGATGCGCTGCACTATTGGAAGTAGATAGGCCAGGGTCTTTCCGGAACCCGTCTGTGCCTGCAGGAACGCATCATCGTCCCCGTCGACGAGCTGCGGTATGGTGTTCTTCTGTATGGATGTGGGTGCCTTCATCTCGAGCTTCGAAGACAGGTGCTGGGCTATCCTCCGCGACAGACCCAGGGCATGGAAGTTGGATGCCTCCTCAGAAAGAGGCGCATTGGAGGGTACCGCTGGCTCGGGCTCGTCCGCCGGGGCGGCATCGTGGAAAACGGTCTTGGCTGTCGGGTTGGAGGTGAAGAGCTTGGAGGCGACCTGGAAGGGCTTGGAGGGGTCGTTGTGGTTACCACCTGGGCGGCTGGCGGGCCAGTTGTCGGTTCTTTGTCGCTTTTGCGGCCGATCAGAAGAGAAGCCGCCGGAAGATTGAGCAGAGGCGTCGTCGGTTGGCGGTGGTTTCGATGGCGGGCCACTCCTCTCCTGGTCGCGGGCAGTGTCCTTCTTCTGGGCCCTACGACGATCTCTCCAAGACCCTCCTACATATTTCACTTTCTTGGCAGTGAAGGAGGCGTCCACCATGGGCGCCAAGTTGAGGACCAGATCATCAGCCATTGTCGATGTGGGCGTCGTATGGCCAGTGTGAGGATGAGGGGAATGGAGGAACAAGAAGACTCTGTTTCCATCCAAGAGCACCCGACTGCTTGGGGGCGCCGAAAATTTAGTGGGTCTGGTGTTTATCCCGTGCTATCGGTTGGTTGGTGCACAGCCGCTCTAATTGAACCTTGCCGCTACAAGACATGGGGGTTCTCTTGACGATCCTGTGAAGGGTGCAACAGGGAACCATTGCCCACTGTCCAAATCTCACAAATATACAGTCTCCTCTAAAATATTTTCTTATGAGATATAGAGTTATATGTAAACCAGACAGACAGGTCTTATTACATGAGCTGCAGGGTTTTTGGAGTCCAACCCAAGTCAAAAGAACCAGAACCGCGCCACTGTGCAAACATCCACATGGATTAGCAATGTTCGGATCCAGACGAAGCAGATCATTTATCAGTGTACCTGTCAAAAAAGAAAAAAAAAAAAGGCTCGCGGGACGTCCAAGACGCTCACTCTGGTTGATTGTTCAAGGTCGACACTGTGACGTCAAGCCTACTTCTCCCTGTGCCGTGGACACCAAAACCGCGATAGCCCATCTTGGGGTTTGTTGTGGGAGCCTACTGCGTTCTGCTTCCTGCGCCATGCAGAGCATTTGAACTGGAATTATCGTTGATTTCTCGGCCCTATTCGTGCGTACAATATGCCGCCTCGTAAAAATCGCTCATCCGCCTCAGAAGGCACAGCCAAATCTAAGGCATCTGGGACAAGCACCGCACCACAAAAGCGCAAATCAACCGCCGCCAATGACGATGATGCTGCTAATGTAAAGCCCACCAAGCGCTCTCGAGCCTCCAAAAACTCACCCCCGGTCAACAAGGACCTAAGACAGACCGAAATCTCAACGAAATCCATTGACAAGCTTGAGAAACCCATCATCATCAATCGCGCTCCTGTGCTCGAGCTCTGGGGCGCATGTGTGGCGCATTTCCTCCACCCAGACCTGTCTTGGAATCTGTGCCTCAGCATAGGAAGCAGCATCTCCACCATCACAGCTATCTCCAAAGGCCGGTCGATTGGAACCATCGCGCCGTCTGACGAATCAAAGGAAGAGGACTCGAAAGACAAGAACAAACAGACTGGGGATAACCTCGCCATGTTCAAGGTCATGGGCTTTCCCATGACGACCAAGGACGAAAGCGTCATGGTCAAGGGAAAGCCCAAAACGACACGTGAGGTCAGTCTGGTTAGAAAGTACGGCTCAGACGAGACTTACACGGAGGCAAAGAATGCGATGAGTGAAGCCTTGGAATCTTGGAGAGGGGAGGAGGACGACTTGGATGAGAAAGCATTCCATCTTTATGAACAGTTTCGCCCGGATGTTGCGAAAGGGCAGAAGGGCTGGGGCCGGAAAGGGGAGCTACACTTGTCCAAGGTCAGGGACACAATTCGTAAATAATTCCATAAGAATTGTTACCAAGAGGTCTATCAATATATAATGAAACCAATTGTATCCCCATGAGTGTTCTTTTGACAATGTCTGCGGCGGCTGAGACTTCAGCTTACTTTGGCTCATACTTTCCTTCTAGCACCTGCCAACACGTAACCTTCTCCCTGGATCTTGGCCAGTACTCAACGTTAATATTCTCCTCTCGTCTCTCAACTTTCAGTCTCAGCCTCTTCTCAAATTCGGTCTCGCATGCCTCGGGCCTCGAATACCACAAAATCCGATCCCCATCCCTTAGGCCTGCTTCCCAAGCCCTCGAGCCCTGATCCACGCCCGTGACAGTCCCGGTATCCAGACTGGTCCGGTCAAATCCAAAGTCCAGAAACTCCTGCTCAACAGGCTGCGGCCCAAACTTGGCCCCAAAGCTGGACAACATGTCGTCCAGTTCGTTGGCTTTCCCCCTCTCATCAAGCATCTCGCGAAAATTTCTATCAGCCTCGTCTTCTCCAAGCCAGTATGCAAGACCTTTCAACCAGTGCTCCTTTTGAATCTTCTCCCCCTTCCGTCTTCGACTCAACAGATCGCGTATAAGCTCATCCATCGGCCTTGACAAGTCAGACCCCCGCGCCACAGCCGCCCGCCGTGTGAAAGAATCCATCTTCAACATGTACACAAATGCACGGAAAACTTGTGCAGAGGAAGCGTACCAGCTGAGCCCACGAGTGTCGAAGGGCCGAGAGTCCGTCGGTGGTCTTGCGACGAGCGGGTTGGTGTAGTACGCCGACAAGAATGCATTGACCGTCGCACGGAAATAATCCGGTCCGCGCTGGCCGAAGCGGAAGGGCAGGTACACCGTGTACAGCATCGACAGCCCATCAGTGAACCACTCATTTGTGGTCCCGTCATCCTCGGGGTCTAAACGTGCCCAGGCGGACGCCATGGAACAGTTGAGGACCCTCACAAGATCCCAATCAAACTCTTCCTTGGCTTCTTCGTCGTATTCGATTATACTGCTTGACTGGAAGGCTGTGCCGCGGAGGCCCTTTGAGGTACGCCGGAGAAAGGCCCGATACGAGCCAGATTGGTCACTGAAATGCTCGGCCATGCGCGGGAAAATCTTGGACGCATAGTCCGTGACGGCGTCCAAGTTCGAGGGCAGGTCGCCAAACCAGTACGTGCCACAGGGGCTGTGAGTTGCTGAAGTTGATGATGTTGGACCCTGGTTGTCGCTTCTTACTTGCCCGGCCATGAAGACGCACTCGAGAAGTGTGTCAGAGTTGCCCATGAACTCGATTCGTTCCGGACCTTCCCCGAAGCTGGTCACGGCTCTGGAACCTCGGGGGCAGTTGGACAGATCCCATTCAATCGCAATCAGAATTCCATTGCCCAGATTAAATCGTGGGATGAAATACTTGCCCGCACCCATCATGCCCCCTTGGTCACGAAGGAGCTGACAGACAGAGCCTGGACAGTCTTCACGAACATCGCTTGTTTCAAGTAATGGAACTTTCCATTCTGCAACAACATCGCCCAGGGTATGTCTCTCAACGAGATAGCCGTGCCCTATATCCGATTCATAGATTGTCAAAGGACCGTCTCCGTCCGAAAATACTGTCAGGATGTTGTGCGGCGTGTGACAGGGATGCCAGCATGATTCCTCTTTGGTCACGCCTTGTCGACCGAAGGTGCAAAGAATATCTCCAGGCTGAAGCGATGGCCTGTTGAATTCGATTCTGATAGTCAAGCTGACGATGTCGCCGATTTCGTCGGCTTCGGGCGTTAGATGCAGATGAACAGTTGGGCTCGCCATTTTAAGGACTCGGGCGATGGCGTCAGAAGGGAATGTCTCTTGACAGTGAAGGCCTCTCGAAGGGTCTATTAGGGTCACGGAATTCGATTTGTCACACCTTGAAATTTCTCGGGCCGGCAACTGTTCAGGAATAATCATGTGGCGTGGACGTACAAGTGTCCAGAACTTCGAGCTACCTAGGTAGGCCACACCTTTGACATGCGTACCCCCAATGCTAAAGCTGACAGGCGGGGTATGGACAACAATATCTGATTGGACGGTACAAAGGGCATCAGGTTCAGGATAGACTGGCGTGACCGGAAGGAAGAAGAACACTTGTCCTGACAAGGGTGAGCAACAAGGTATACGATTAAAAGATTGCCGGCCATCCAGTGATCAAAGGACAGTTCCGAGTATTCAAAAATGCCAGTACCACTGACATTGTGACTGAGTGCGAGCTGGCCCAAGAGGCCCGAAACGAAAATTAGCTCGCACAATGCAAATGTGACTTTGTACCAGAGCAAAACGATAGAAATAACTGTGACTACTTGTTTGTACAAGTGAATTCAGAAGATAATCTATCAAGCGCGGCAAAGGGCCTCAGATCGCTGTGTTTGTGCTTGCGGCCCGCTACGCGCCACGACGTCATTGATTGTCATGATCCGCGGTGCTGGACTGGGCCCTGATCAACGTCACTGGGTCGCTAAGAAAAGGGAAATGAAAATCTGCGACTCTTTGCTAGACACGTCTAAAGCCTTGATCATAACAAATTCGCAGGCCATCACTCTAACATATCTCAACACAAGATCATTGCCGTGCATATCATCCCGTCCCAGCAAGCCATCAGCACTAAACCACCATGGCCGACCAGCAACCATCCAACATCGAACCCTACATCCAGCCAGGCAACCCCATAACGCGGGAACCTCTGGAGAAGAAAGCGGCCAACAATCTCGCCGAAAACCACTCATCGACACAAGGGAACCCGAGTGTCCCTTCCGAGCGCCATCAGGACCAGGGCACCTTCAGCTCCCTCGGCAGCGGTGCACAAAACGGCAGCGGGCCCCTGGACGCTAAGGAGGCGAGAAACACCAGCACCAGCGCCAGCGGGAATGAAGACAGGCCGCAAAACCCAAATGTGGATGCAGAGCAACTAGCAACCCTATCCGAGGGCAAGGTGGCCGACGCGGTGCAGCGCAAGAGTGGCATCCAGAAGGCACCCGGTGACAGCGAGGTCAAATATGACGACTATGCAAGTGACTTGGACAGGTATGGATGCCCACGTGCTGCGAACACTGGAAGACTTTTGTGGACTTGGCGACTGACACCCTCTTTGCTACAGGAAGAAGGCAGAGCAGGCGGCTGCGCGCGACGAGGTCAAGGAGGCACGGAAAGCGGGTTTTGATGTGGATGGAGGATCTGCGGGTGGCAATGTGAGAGGTGGTGTCCAGGTAGACTAATTTGTCACATTTCGTTTGCGGCTGGGCGTCAACTTTTTTGGGCCGTGCTATCATAGACGAAGAAACATCTCTCTACAACAACCAATCCATGTACTAGCCGTGCTCATCGGTGAAATCCCGCTGAAATGCATGATCAAACGGCAGCACACACTTTAGTGGACACAGATGCGGGCCGTTTCCCAAGCGGTAGATGCCTGTATGATTCTTGAGCAAGTGGTATCATCTGTGTAAAGTACTCGATTTTCGGTTCTGTAGTATACTGATTGAAGAATGGGCCCCTCTTTTTTATTCAGAGGAACTGTGGACAATAAATGATTCTGGTCTTCAGAGCTACCACTGCGGCCGCCACCAATAAGATCCAAAAGCATTACTCTTGAGAATGATGCCTAATAGTTGGCAGTTGTATTTGACACCCTGACCTAATCAGTGTAGAAAGAATAAGCGAATAGGAATTACCTACTAGTGGACCGGAACATATCCTAGAATCCCTAACACGAATCACTGCCGAGGTGTAGTTTCAGGTACGTGCCAAATACCACTTCTCGAAATGACCTCAAGATCTGCAGATATCGAATAGACAGGCTTGCGGTCGAACGCGTTGGCTCACCAAATCGCGCAGCCATGGATCCAGTTAATTTATTTGGCTAATTAGTTCTTTAAAGAATTCCCTTTTCACGCCGGCCAGTGGAGTCCAAAACCCAACTCCCGGCCGGTATGCGGCGCCTACTATTCCTAAGTATTAATTACGCCAAGCAATATACAAGGTAGACTTCAGTACCTCTCGTCGCCTCCTTGCTGTAGCTTCATGTCTGACTTCCCCACATATTAAGATAGTTTCCCTTGTGTTTCGATCCGGCCTAGACATTTCACTCCACAGGTTGCCGACGCAAATTCAAGGCTGGTGTAGATAATTTGACAGAGTTGGTGCCATGTCTTCGAACAAATAATACAACCACGAGTATCCAGATCTCGACGAATTCATTGCCAGGAGTTCAAGACGCTAGCTCTCCACTCCTGCCTATGCATGACTAGGAAGCCTTCAGACAGCAAGTTGAGTTCGCCATTTTTGTGTTGAATTTTGAATACGAAATGGTACCTACGCTGCAATTACCGCGGAAACCGGCAAGCTACGTTCGTGTCCGTGTCGTCTGAATATGGGGCATCAAAGTCCTCCCGCCCAAGTGTTCTACTGTGTACTCAATCCGGGTCTGCCGAAGCTCAGCCCTAGCGCCACCTGAACCGTAAATCTGGGAGTTCAGGCACCGTCAACACGATGGTGGAGAGACTACGTACAGGAACCGTGCTTCGTGGTGTGGGGCGGGCTACCGCAGTCTCGTCAAAAAAAGAATGCCAAATGTATTGGGCCCACGAGACGTACTGACATGGTGCTTCCCGTACGACAATGAGATTGGTCAACGGCACTATGGAGTCTGGGGACTTGAATGACACAGACTGCTCAACGACAAACGACAACAATTGATGGAAACAAAAATGGTACGGCACTGTCCGCGTGTGATACATGGATCTCCGCCCAGGGTACAGCAGCTGGACCCACAGGCGACCCCACGCCAAGAGATGTCTTTGGTGGAAATATTGGGGGTTCACTTGCGTATCCCTGCCAATTTCCGGAGATCACCACCGGTCACCAGGGTCGCCTCCATTAAAGTTGAGACCAAGCTTTTCCCACATCGACGTAGGCCCACGGAGGTATGCCGCATGTAGAAGAGAAGTCACTCGCTCCCGAGAGAGACACGCGCTTAAGGTTTGCAGCCCATACAAGTGGCCCATCATGAACAAGTGAAGGGGGGATTGTGCAAATGGGCCGTTGTAATTTCCCGCCATTGATGGCAGGACCTCGTTCTGCTGACTTCCTGTTTGAGACCCCACGATGCCCCTTTCCTGTCTGTCCATGTATATAAACACCATGCCAAGCCATTGATCGACGGTTGTGGTCGACATCTCTGTACAGGAATCATCCGGTCTACCAAAAGAGTCTAGCTTGAAGACAGTTATTCATCGTTTGTCCGTCGTGGAATCAAAATGACTTTCAAGAAGTCTTTCGGTGTCGTGGCCGCACTGGTCGTGACGGTCCTTGCTGCTTCAAGAACCAGCCCTCCTAGTGGAAGCATCACAGTGTGCTCCTCCGGCTGCAATTACAACACTGTACGTACCTTGTGCGACCATGGAATGTAACACACCTCTTTGCTGACAAGACGCTGCAGATCCAAAAGGCAGTCAGCTCCATATCCACGTCTTCAAAAGATGAGCACAGCATTTTCATCTACTCCGGAACTTACACCGAGCAAGTTACAGTTCCAGTGCTAAGTGGAAAACTCAACATATATGGATACACCACGGATACCACCGATTATTCGGGCAACGTCGTCAACCTGGAATGGAAGTCGGCTCTGGCCACGGGGGCCGCCGATGATGAACACACCGCCGCACTGATTAACACATCACCGAATGTGGCCGTGTATAACATCAACATCAAGAACACTTATGGCAAACCTACCGGAAGCAATGGCCAGGCCATTGCACTGTCTGCTTATAACACTGAGCAGGGATATTACGGTGTCGGCTTGTAAGTTTCCATTCACGTGCTTTTCCCCAAATCCCTCTCTCCCTTGTATCGACTAGGTATCCGTTGTCAGCACAAATCAAGGTACACCAAGTTACTGACTTGACCATATTTCAGGTATGGATACCAAGACACGCTCCTCGCCCAGACTGGCAACCAAATCTACGCCAATTGTTACATCGAGGGCGCTGTGGACTACATCTTTGGGCAGCACGCCCGTGCCTGGATTACCAACTCTAAGATCGCCTCCATCGGCGCCGGAGCCATCACCGCCAGCGGGCGGGCGTCTTCATCCGACACGTCCTACTACGTGATAACGGACAGCACGATTGAGGCGGGCTCGACTGCTCCGGCGGCAGGCACGGTCTATCTGGGCAGGCCGTGGGGTGCATATGCCAGGGTTGCGTTCCAGCGGTGCTCGCTCAGCAACATTATTAACTCTGCTGGGTGGGAGGTCTGGAGCACCAGCGACACCAGGACACAGGATGTCTCCTTCGAAGAGTATAGCAACACCGGTGATGGGGCCAAGGGCACACGGGCTAGCTTCTCGACCAAGCTGAGCAGTGCCATCACCATCGCCACGATCTTGGGCAGCGACTATGCTGAATGGGTTGACTCCGCTTACCTGTAAGCGGGCAAAGGGGATGTTACCCAGCATGAATCACTTTTACTTCTATGTACATAGCTTTCTTCCCGTACGACCTGTGATGTATATATAGTGATTTGATCAAATTGGAAAGGCTTATGGCCACACTATTATCACTATGCTACTATTTCCCAAGCCCAGGCCATCGTTTGAGTTAAGGACTGTCCACCTACTGACCGAAATAGCTGATGAACGTCACGCACTTCATTTTATCGCTCTCGAGACATCCGCGACTCAGTGTCCATTGACCTGCTTCGCAGCCCGGGCTTGGTCAATCCAATCGTACTGATCTTTGAGGTACAGCTGACTCCTGAGGTCCCCTGACCGTGCATGGCCCTCGAAATTTTCTGCTCTGGCACACCGGCCGCAGAGTTTACCAAGCTCACCGCTCGCCTTTTCCGAAACGACCTCTTGATACGTTTGAGTCTTGAGGTACTTGCCGACCCAGAGCCCACCAGTATACCTGCCTGCCTTGCGAGTTGGGAGGACATGGTTCGTGCCGATGCACTGCGGATACGTTAGCACTACAATCCTGAAAAGAGAGCAGCACAGAAATCAACAGTCAAGAATGGCTCACCTTATCACCAAAGGACACACATGTCTTCTCGCCCAAGAACAATGCGCCATAATTTGTCATCTTCTCCAGAGCCTCCCTCGGCTTCTGGGTTAGGATCTGGACATGCTCGCTTGCGAAGTCATCAGCCAGCGCGAAAGCCTCGTCCAGATCGTCTACGACGACCACCTCTCCGTAATCCCGCCACGACGTCGCCGCGAGCTCGGCCGTGGACAAAGTCTTGAGCTGCTCGTCAACGAACCTGATCGACTCCTGTGCGACGTTCTCGCTCGTCGTGATCAGCACGGCAGGCGTGTCCGGGCCGTGCTCCGCCTGCGAGAGCAGGTCTGTCGCCACGGTGAAGGGGTCGGCGTGCTCGTCGGCCACAATAAGCGTCTCTGTTGGCCCGGCCAGGAGGTCAATCCCGATCTCTCCGAAGAGCTGCCGCTTGGCTTCTGCGACGAAGGCGTTTCCTGGGCCGGCCAGGAACTCGACCTTCTTGATGGTCTCCGTGCCGATCGCCATGGCGGCTACAGCTTGCGTCCCGCCGAGGATGAAAATCTCGTCCGCCCCGGCGAGATGGGCGGCGGCTACCGTTGCATGAGGGATCTGGCCATTGATAGGCGGCGTGCATGCTATAACGTGCTTTACGCCGGCGACTTTGGCAGTAGTGATGGTCATGTGGGCTGAAGCGAGGAGAGGATAGCGACCTCCGGGAATGTAAGCCCCTGCTGTGCTGATGGGGTTGTTCCTGTGGCCGAGGAAGACGCCCGGCTGTATCTCTATCTCGACATCTTTAATAGAGTCCCTCTGCGCCTGGGCAAAAGTTCGGACATTTTTCTGCGCCTCTTTGATGTCCTTAATTGTTTGCTCTGGTACCTTTGATATGATATCCTGTATTTGGCTGTCTGATAGCCTAAATGACGGTGGAGCCCACTTGTCGAACTTCTCAGAGTAAGTCCGGACGGCTTGGTCGCCGTTGGCTCGAATGTCGTCAATGACAGACTTGACGATCTCGGTGACCTTCTGAGAGGCGGCGAAGCTGGCTGTTGCCCCGACAAGAGGAGACTTGAGACGACGAGCGACCATGTTGACGGACTGATTTATTTCTCTTGTTGAGTTCAGCTACAGCGATCCGGTCTGAGAAGCGTCAAGGTGGGTAATATTCATGTGTATGATGTCCACACCTCACGGCGTCTCCAACAGCGTTCTCCTCCACTCTTATACAGCCAGGACGTGCACACCACATCTCGCCGAGCCGATGCCGCAAGCAAACCCGAAACAATTGTCGGCACCATCCCGGCAAGAGTGTATTGTGAATATGACGATACAGCAGCACAAGCTGAAAAAGGCATAAGATTTTCCGAGTACGTCGGTCTCTAGCCCGTAGGAATTCTACTGACCGGGTGAAAGCCGAGCTCCCAAGTTCCCGGTGGGGCCGGACCCGTCATGGGACAGCCGAATTGGCCCATCCCGTCTTCAGCATCCCGGGATTTGACATTTGAGACCTCTGCATATTGAGGTTGGTTGTCTTGAAAGTTCTTCGCAAGCACATTGATATCTGCTGCTATATTCCATCTATTCCTGTCAGGGCAATCTGCTCTCAAGCTAGGATCCGACTGCTGGGTGGGTACGAGGTGACATACTCTGTCCATGTGCACCGTCCACGACTCCAACTCCGAAATTTGGGGGATCCCATACTTGGATAGTCCATTGCACCTCATCCTCCATCTCCCCACCTCCGCATGTCGGCCCGTAGCAGCGGTACAACCAGTCTTCCGGACTGTCGCCCACATCCCGATATTCTATCTGCGGCAAGGCGTCTCAATTCAGTTGGAACGATTCTCAAGTCAAGCAATCACTAGAAATAAGAGAGAAGAGACAACGGCAAATTGTTGCCACGGGATTCGATGCGTTCCCATACGATTACACGTTTGCGGGCCGTCAAATGACAGTCATTTGTTTGGATGGCCGTGCATACCGGGGTCACTTTAACAATCTTGTGATAAACCATGTTTCCAACTCGGATATTTTGTAAGAGCAGTCTCTAGATCTTTCTCTTTCATCAGATAACCTTCGTCCTGCCAGCCTGTTGTGGCGCTTCTATAATCAGCTTCTTTTGGCACTTCGTGAGCAAGTATATGAAATCCATATCCGCCGACGAGTAAGACTACTGTCCGGTCTGTAGCCTAGTTGTGCCATACTTCGACAAGATGAGCTTTCAGAACTACGCGACTGGAGTTCAAATCTCTCGTGCCACATACTTAAGAGAATAAGCGGTGCGCAAAGACAGAGCTTTCCTGTGTTGCTGCGAGACGAGTGAGGAAGAGTATGATGAGGACTCACGTTTAGGTTTTCTGCTTCCAGGAGTCGGGTTGCACTAAGTGCTCTAGCAGAAATTCCAGTCCATTGCACGAATTCCTAAAATTCCTTTATTCGGTCTTCCTCGCTCCGACTGGGATTCTATCGCACGAAACGATAAAGAAAACCAGTGATCAATGAGATGTTACGTCCACCAGTACTGTGTATAGAGATATCGAGGTTATGTTAATGAGTCTTGCCGACCATTCGATATTAAATTCTTGTTACCATTGCCCTACAACTACTACAAGCCATCTTTTCACTGTCTTTCGTCCCTTCGTTTCAAGAGGGTCCCTGATTTTGTTGTCTAGACGCGTATCAATAGACTCCCGCTGCACGACGCTGTTGTTCTTAGCAAATCAGCCCCAGAGCTCATTGAAAGATTTTTTGTCCTGGTGCTGCCCATTATCCATCACTGCGGTTTTGCCCTCAGTACGAGTACTCAGATTGCTGACCACGATTGGATCTTGTCTCATTCTGATGAAGGCCACGCAAAGCCGATCTGGATCAGTGACAAACTTGGGACCGAACAACGCGGACTCAGTGCTGAAAAAGAGCACTAGGTCCTTTCCTTGACCCTGGTATGAGTCAATCGTGGCGCAATCCATGCTCATTGGATTATGCACCCAAGCTGTTGGCTCCGATCCATCTGTGCCGGCCAAATCTTCCTCATCCACGTATCCGGCTACAACCGAAGACCCACCTCCTGTGCCTCCGCGACCTGGACCGACGAGATTGTCGTCAGCCTCGCAATTGATTGAGTACCGAGGCTATGAGATCGAGACCTCATGCGCGCACGAATTCCCAAAAATGATTGGTCATGGCTCGATACGGGTTGAGGATGCAGAGTGTTCGCTACTCGACTCGAATTTCCGCTTTTGGCAATAGGAAATCGGCTCAGAGGATCTTGAAAAAGCTCTCCCACATCTCCTTGTTGATAGATAAGTTGGAGTTCGAGAACTTCTCGCACCTGATCTCTGGTATGTTGAGGAAGACCGGCCAATAATCTTGAGGTGGTGATGGCGAGCCGCCATTGGACATAACCCACATCTCGACCGTGCTAGCAATAGAGGTGCTGGCGTCTGGTTTTGTAATGTCCTGGATCAAAAAGACCTGGCAACATTCGAAACTGCTTGTCTATTAGAACAATAGGCCACTCGAGGTTTTTCAAGGCGCGGAATGCCGGCAGCTGTTTTGGGTCGAAGGCAAAAAGGAATATAGTTTGATTGAAGACACACTGCAAGACATGAGCCTTATCCATCATTTAAAGCGAGGAGATATGCTTGATTTCGAGTGAACAACTTCGCCTGGCTGCCCAGCGCACCGTACGGAGTTGCCGCGATCAACAGCGCAGACGCATAGACATGGTCAACGCACTGGTCGACGTAGACGGAATAGGTCCTGAGTTTTTAGGCTTCGCCCTCTCGGGCAGATCATCCGTGGAGTCCAATTTTCGAGCCGCTTTCACTGCATCCTTGAAGCACGTGAGTGACTTTGTGGCACCGAGACGCTGAACAGTTGAAGGCGATGGCTCCAAATCAAGAAAGTACCCGACCCAGAACGCGACAGACAGGCGTGGGCGCCAATTCGACTGCACCCTGAATTCCGTGCTGCGCAATCAAAGCTGTACACCTCGTACCGAGGCTAGCACTACGCACCCCGATACCACAAATCATACTCGATCCATATCATTGATCCGTATAGATGTAAATGTAAATGTTTATTTGTTTTAAAAAAAAACATTTATTCTTCATAAATTTAAAGGTAATGCATTTTAAAAGATTCGAACAGGAGATGGTTGGGCTTTCATAACCGGAGTAGGCTACTATTACCTGTTGATATCATTTATAAGACCTTCAAGTTTCTCCACCTGTCAGTAGGGCTCCTTGATTTGTTGTGTCCCAGAGGGTACACAGTACTCAGGAAGACTCCCGACCCCCCGCCAACTAGCCCGCTGTCAGCAATGGTACCGGGCCCACGCGGGCCGTAAGCGGTGGAACGCAAAGTTGACCAACACATGTATGGGGCAAGACATCGATCAACAAGACAGCGGCTCACCATCGTCAGTGTCTCCCGATCGGCGAAAATGATTGGGCTTGGCTACGCTTGTGTCTCAGCGTGTGCATAACTAGCAGGAACGGTTCCATGCCCGCTTCGACTCTGCAAGTCACACCATGTTCGCCAGCAAAAGCACAAGAAGCCACAGGCGAGGAATCCAACAGGATCCATTTACGGGTCGACAACGGGGGTGGATGGACCGTTCTTGAGTCGCGTGGGTGACGCTTCTTCAGCTGCAGGCAGCCTCGAGAAGATGGGCCGCGACAAACTTTGTTCGCGGTCGACCAGTCGCACCGCAGTATCGGAATTTGCCAATTCGGCTGACGATCCTGGCAGATCCTAATCAACAACTTTGCTGAGGTGGAAATGATGAAATACCAAAAGCACAGCATCAGCGTGTGCTTTTCTTTTTTTACCTATCATGCCCGCCTGCCCCTGGCTTGCCACCAAACTTTTTTTTTCCACCGAAGCTGACAGCTTCCACCGCAAGTCTGTATTGTCAACCTTGTTCTGCCCAGGCCTTGCTCAGCCCATTCGCAGATGAACGAGCCGCATGGGCGGCGATTCAAGCCGAGACTCTGCGCAGGGAGGGTTGCATCGATCGCTAGGTCCACGGAGCTGGGCGCCCAGCACTTGGAGCTTACTCCTACGCTAAGCAAGCCCAACGTTTCCGCCCAGCCAGCCAGCTGAGTGAGCCTCTACTGTAGGGATCCTGGCCAACCCCCTCTTATCACACATCGCCAGAGGGTGGGAGTGGGAGCACTAGGGCGGGTAGTAGGGCAGATAGGGCAGCATAGCACAGCACAGCATGACAACGCCAACTGAGCCAGGGGCAAATCCTGGTCACAATCAGGTGCCAACCCACCAGGATCTTGATCCGGCTCAGCACCATGACCAGGTACAGCGCCTGGGCGTTCCGGCGCCCACAGCAAAACCGTCCGCAGGCCGCCGACTAAGCGCTGCCTCTGATATTTCAGTCTCAAACATCTCCACGACGTCCTCCGGCAACGAGAAGTGGCTCTCCCCCTTGGACAGATTATCACTGCAGCCAGTTGAGAATGCTGCGATACCTACAGGTGGTGCAGGCCAGGCCATGATGGATGACGATGGAGTCGACCTGAGCTCCCTGAAGGCGGGGGCGACTGACCGCCGACCCGGACCGGGACCAGAACAACCTCTTTACCACCAACAGAATGCATCTTCGACCCGCATGCCCTTTCACGGTGACGAGTCCTTTCCCGGCACGCCGCAGCTTTACACACCCGAGCCTTACAGCGGCCAGTATGCGGGACCCCAGAGAGACTCCCAGGCAGAGCTGCTCCTCGATTCACAGCGGAACCGGCATTCAGCCCGCTCCGTCTCTTTCGGTCCGTCGACGACTTTCATGTATCCTGGCCAGGGCAAAGAGCCCCCAAATCGGAGCAGCAGTCTGCGCCCTCGGACATGCAGGCCAATGTGGCACTCCTCGCTCGGCATGTACGTGTGCTTCATCTTCGGGCTCCTCTGCGCAGTTGGCCATCACATCTTCTATGCCTCGCTTGACGGTGAGCCCGCCGAGAGCCAGACTGAGATGCTGCGATATGGAACCTTCCTCGCCTATGCGGCCAAGGCAGGATTCAGTGCAGCTGCTATCTCAGCCTTTAAGCAGCGCATATGGGTCACTGTTCGCTCGAGGTTCATGAGCATCTCCGCACTGGACTCCATGTTTGCTGCGGCTGAGGATATGGCTGCCCTGATCAATTGGGAGTTCTTGAAGGATGCAAAAGCTGCTTTCGCTTTGGTATTCTTTGCTTGGACAACGCCCCTGGTAGTCATCCTGACAGCAAATACCCTGTTGGTGGAGCCACGAACGATCGTGAACAATACGACGTGCGCCTCAGTACGGACCTTGAATTTTACGTTCGAAGATCTCAACGACTGGAGGAAACCAAAACAGATCGATGGGCTTTTTGAGATTCCAGTGTCAATTTGGAACACTACCAAACGGGATGATCAGACCGACGATGACTGGTTCGACTACTACACCGGACCGAGTCCCAACTTCCAGCAGACAGCGACACTCGGTGCTTTCCTGCAAGAAGTTGTAGCGCGAAAGAATGCTTCCTACGAGGTTTGCGGCTCCGGCTGGAACTGCACCTTCAACATCGAGTTCACTGCACCCGGATACAACTGTACTGAGGTAGCAAGCGGAGTAAACTCGACGCCGGCAAACCTCACCCAAGAATCTGGCCAGGCCGAAGCCCCCTTCGGCACTGACTTCCTACTCCCTCAGGGCAAACACAGCTATTATGCCTATGCTACCGGCGGGGAATACTCAACCACGCAGTTAAAGAACGTCGGGGTGAGCGGCATTCCGAACATCCCCAATTCTGAATTGCCAGCCCATTTCGGTGCATTAAGGGTAGAGCCAATTCTCTGGATTGGATACGTCGTGTTAAATTCTCCCGGTGAAGTACAGCCCAATCGTTCTGATCCAGGTTGGCAAGATGCGTTCACACCGAAGATATTTGCCTGTGAGCACCGTGAGACAGACTACATCGCAACGTTCAACTACACCGATGGATCGCAGTCCGCCGCCATAAGCAGTCGCAAGTTCGGCGCACCAATCATCAACACCACTTTTATTCCCAGTATAGAGGCCAACGACGGGACGGACGACAACATTACCGCAATACCCGAGGAGAACTATATATATCCCAATGACACGGCCCGTTATCGCCGGGTCGCTGCGTACCATTCACTGGGATACATGTTACGAAACTTTATTAATGGCACAGTTGAGGTTGAGGATACACTCATCAACCCTATCCAGAATACCGAAGCCATCCAGACTAAGTTGCTTGACCCGCGCAACAATTACTTCCCTTACTCCAACCTCATGCCTATGGTACAAGGCCTCTATGAAGACCTCATCTTATCCATGTTCAGCAATCCGCAGTTCGTCGAGGTCGTCTGGGCCGCGAGGCCCTCTGAGCAGTCCGGGACCCTTCTTGACGGCGGAGTACCCGCATCGTCAGGCACGCCGACCGGCACCGGCGACGAGTCAGACTACAAATACAACTGCACAAAAACTCGCACCGCTAATGCGTATGCCTACCACAAGCGGGACCTGTGGATCGTATACGGCATCGCAGTGGTGCTAACACTGATCTGTGTCACTGTTGGTGGCTTGGCGATCCGCGAGAACGGGGGCGTCACGCGGAACACGCGCTTTTCATCCATCGTCGCCGCCACGAGGGGTCCTGCGCTTGAGAAGGTAGCCTGGATGGGCCCGCTTCAAGACAGGGGAGATGTTCCCAAGGATGTCAAGAGCCTTAGGCTCGGCTACGGCATTATGAATGAAAGCAAGCTGGGGCTAGGCGCGTGGTCACCGCCTCCGGAGATCGGACCGGATCCCAACCTCGTTGGAGTTGAAGGTGAAGGCTTTAACGAGCGTATGGTCTCCGAAGAAAGATCGAGCTCAGGATACTTCCGTAGGAGGAGGGCGTTTTCGACTGATATGAGGTGTGGCTTCGGACTCAAGGGAGATGTAGACCAGAGACACGGGGAAGGAAGTTTGTTCCATCGATAGGAGGGACGAATAACATGGCTAGATGGTGCCAAAGGGGACAAGGAACATAGGTATATCTTTTTTTGGACACTGCAGCTTGGAAGGGGAGCGTTGTGATTTATTGAATGATACCATCAATGCAAATATAGTACGATTCTAATGCATGTCACATGGCCGACCTCATGTATTGGAACCATGAACGACGCCTATTTCCTCCTGGCCCTCTTCCAACGCCTCCTTCTCTTCAACCCTCAATTGGCTTTCCGCCTTGCCGGTATCAACGAAGCAGAACAGCACCAGCGAGACGGCAGCACAGCCCGTGCTGAACCAAAACGCCGCCTTGTAGCTAACCATGGTGCCCCTCCATTCGTAACTCGCTGCCACCACGTCCGAAATGCCTAGGAAGAGACTGATAGGCAGGAACAAGATACTGTAGATCAGGGCTCCCGCGGCACCTTGTTCTTTTTGGGGTATATTGGTAGTGATGAAGACATTCGTGACATTAAACGCGATGTCAACCCCAATTGTTGCGCCAATCATCGCCGGTAGGATCCATGCCCAATAAGAGCCATCCTCCGGGATCAGTGCGAAGAGCAGCACGCTGATAATGCTCCCTGCCCCTGATAGGATCAAGAGAATACGGCCTGGGAGCAAGTGGAGAGTAAAGCCACCGACAGTTGCGAGGACGATACCACCCGCCGCCATACTGCAGCAATTGGAGTTAGCTACCAATTTACTGAAGGAGAAGTTGTAATAGGAACCGGGTGAATTAGGACACCATGTACTCATAGTCTGTCTCAAAGACTGCAGCCTGATAAAGGCCTTCGAGGCAGGTAGTGAAACAGACTTCAAATTGCAGACCTTTATTCTTGCAAAGTTGAGACTTAAAAGTGGAAGCTGCTTACGGGATGAAGGCCAGTGCCGTTGAGATGACGCTGTAATTCATAACTGTAAAAAGACTTTGATTTAATAGTGGTTAGCGTGCTGGCTGAGAAGACAAGGGGATGGGAAAAGACTCACTAGAAACTGGCGTAGTACATAAAGATACCGAAATTTCCGTACGCAAATGCGAGGGCCACCAAGATTGTCTTCACGTACTTCGGCCTGAAGAGGCTCGCTGGCAAAAGCGGCTGCGAGGCGACCCAGCCTTCAACGACGAAAGATACCCCCAGCAACACTACACCCAGGACGAATGTGACGATAACATAGTCCGTTGCCCAGCCCTTTGGCGCATGTGCGCCGTCCGTCACCGCAAATACGATCAGGATCAGGGCAGGCACTGTGGTGACGACGCCCCAGTAGTCCATTTCGACACCGGCAGTCTGCAAGTCGCCGCGCGGGATGCTGAAAAAGGCGCTCACGCCGCAAAGACCCACAACGATGGCGCCTAGCCAGAAGTACCACCTCCACGACAAGTATTCACCCGCCACACCGCCCATGATCACACCAAAGAAGAAACCCAGGGGCGCAAACGCACCATAGAGGCTGAAGATGAGGTTCTTCCTGGGGCCAGGCCGATATATCTTGCCCAGGATCATGATGCCAGTGGGCAGGAATGCTGCCGGGCCAAGGCCCTGGAGAGCCCGGGCGGCGATGAGCATCTTGTAGTTGACACTAAAGCCAGCGATGATGGTCCAGACCAGAAACCAGGCCAACCCACAGTTGAAGACAATGAAGCCGCCATATATATCGGCTATTCTGCCGAGGGGAAGGAGCAGTGCGCCCACGATGAGGGCGAAGACACTCGAAGGCCATATTTGGGCGGCGATTGGGATATCGAGCTCTTCTGACACTGTCGGGAGAACAATGTTGAAGCCAGAGATGAAGTATTCCTGGAATAATCATGTGTTAGAGTAAAAGGGCAAAAGAAGTCGATGCTTGGCAATCAGACGTACCGACATCAGCATCGATACTAACATCGATGAGCAGAAGAATATCTCAGAGACGGCTGTCTTGAACTCGTCCGGTCGCTGGCGCCCTAAACGCTCCAGGTCCGCCTTTTGGAAGGTCGCTGGGTCTCGTATCGTGGGAGGAACATTGTGCTCTGAGTCCGGCTCCGGCGAAGTAGACATATCATGAAGGCTCATGCTGTCGGCTCACACAGAATTGGAGATGCTTCACTGCGTCTATTGACAAAATTGTCACCAAAATCCATCTTTCTGAATGCCTGGATGGTAGCGACATCTTATATGTCAAGGTGGATCAATACGTTTTTCGACTCCACTTGTCGGGAGGAACGACATGACTAATGGGAGGAAGATGTTTTCGTGGTCATTCCAGTCTCGGCCTCCTATTTCCAATTTTTCTTTGAAATACACGGTGAAGACAATGTGTCACAGCCTTGGTAATGACGACTTGCAATGCAGAGGTTGCCATTTTGCTACCAAATGCGGTAAAGGGCGACGGACAGGGCGTCGTCCCGTAGTCAGGGACGTCAGGGCCTAGTCCCTCGTCCGGGACAGTGGGTCGGCGGTGGGACTAATGCACGTCGTGCGTCTTGGCTACCTAATTCAGAATAGACAGAAGCTTATTACGTACGGAATTGCTGACAAAGAGGGTTGATGGCGTTGGCATGACATTTCGTCCTCAAACCTGAGATTCTTTGTTTCGTCCAACAGCTCGGCCTGGACTCCCTATCATACCATGAAAAGGGAACTCCACTGTTATCCCCTAGCACATGCCTCGTTCTAGAAGCTTGATCTGTTCCGCTTGGGATAGATTTGTGCGGTATACTATGTCTCGATCTTGCATTACGTTAAGCCCAACATACCAAGCCCGCGAGTGACGCACAACGCTGCAGGAGGATGATAGACTCGGATCTGGCCCGGCCAAACGTGTCCCCACCCTCGAAATCCTGTCACAATTGTCGTCGGAAGCGACTGAGATGCGATAGGTCCATCCCAGACTGTCAAAAGTGTACCAGCAAAGGAGAAAAGTGTCTGGGCTACGGCAAGCTCCTCCGATGGACGAACGCTGTGGCTGTCAGGGGCAATCTCGCCGACCAGATATCACAACGCCCAAGCCACACCGTGCATAGCCATACCAAAGATGTTGTCGCCTCACATCTTGTTCACCCAAGGAGGCGGCAGCCGCCAGACACGGAATTTCAGCCTCTTCAACTCAGTCTCATTGACCCTTTGCTGATCGACCTCGCACCACGACACCGTGTCTACATTGGTCACTGTGAGTTGCATGCTACTTCAATAAGCAATTTTCGGTGCACAGGTCTGACTTGTATTAAAAGTTACACGAACCGTCTGTCAAGATCTAGTCTCTTTCGACCATCAAGATACACAGAATCCCTTCCGCTCTATGCTCTCGTTAATAGATAGTTTTGACTATATTCGCGAGATCACTCTCGCCACCTCCGCAGTTCACATGGTCACATTGCGCCGTGCGCGTGGGCTTACATATCAAAAGGAACTTGTGGATGCCCTCACAGCTAAAGGCCAAGCATTTCGCCTCCTCCGTCGTGCTCTTGACAATTTGGCCGCTGTAGACAAGCCGATTGCCGTGGTCGCGGTGGTATTTTTCATCAATTTCGATCTCATCGAATCAGGGCGCGGCTGCTGGAAAACACATGTCGAAGCTGCCGGAAACCTCCTGAATTCCATTCATGCCATGGAGATTAGGAAACAGATACCGCCGAGTGTCGCTAACCTGGCAGACATTGTTGTGGCGGACTGCATCACATACCATGTGCTCGGCTCCGCTTTCGCAAGCTCTGGAGACACAGCCTTGTCGGCGTTCGAGTCCATCGACATCACCTCCGTCTTACAGAGAGCAGCGGCTTTTAGCTATGGATGTTACCCGCCGATAATGCTCGAGACATTATCTAGGGCAAGCCGTCTGTCTCAGAATGATGTTTGTCAAGCTGGAGCTTTGATGGATGAGCTCTGTGGTTTAGACTTCAGGACTTGGGTGTATAGTATTCCGGGGCTGTCACCAAAAGATGACCTTGAAGTGAGAGTGTCAATAGCGGATGCGCACCGGGCGGCAACATGTCTCTATATTCTCCTCGCCGTCCCAGACCTAGAAAGAGATTCACTCTCTGACCAGTCGATCACGGCGGAGTCTCAAACCCGAAAGGTTCTAGACCAGCTGGCGTCTGTGCCAATTGAGCACGCGTTAGCCAAGGGTCTGATATGGCCGACCTTTATGGTGGGTGCCCAAACCAATGATCTGGCGGAAAGGCAGTGGTGTTTGGGAAGGATGCACAAGATTTGGCTATCCAACGCCTTCGTTTGTCCCTGGGGCTATGTCGAATCTGCCATTACCATGATGCAGCGAGTATGGGAGACCAAAGATGCAAAGTCCAAGCATGGTGGACATTCAGGTATGAACTGGCTGCAGGAGTTGAAGGCAGCCTCTGACCACGCTCTGATCGTGTGAGAACAACGTTGATGCTTGTAAATCGTGCGAGGACATACAAAGATATTTTGGCTCAGCAGAAGGCAATAATACGAGTGAAGACAGTTCGCTAAACAGTGAACAGCTAAGAAACTAGCATTCAGCGAGTGTGGGCTCAAATGCCATGAAGTTAGGCATTCCCCGAAGTACAGATATTATGGGCTTGCTCCCTTGAGCAAAATATTTTGGGTAACACGACTGTGCACAAGGCGACTCAGTCACTTAGACTTGTATCAGTAGATTTGAAAGGGAGTCTGTGACCAGACTGACGTCCAGTCAAGCCGACTTGAATAATCGGGTCCAGTGAGCAACAGCTTCGGTACTGAATTTGCAGCCACAACCTCGCCGAACATGAATATTTAAATCGTGTTCATCAACGACTGACCTCACTTTAAAGAAACAAACCTACAATCAAAAAAGAAGAAAGACCACGATAATACATTTGTCTCGACTGCCAATTTCTGTGGGCTTTCTCAGCAGTAGCTTGGTCATCCTAGCAGATCAAAACAGCGATTCTGCAAGCTCATCATGCCTCGTGCCCCTCGACTGACATGCACCAATAATCATTCGAATTCCGAGCCCTTCATACAGCGTGCCATAATCATTTCCGGATTTCCATGCATCGGAAAATCGTACTTCAAGGAGAATAGGCCTGATTTGAAAGTCTACTATCTCGACTCCGGAGAAAACGACCACAAAGATAAAGCAGGGGTATGGATGCAGCATTATTTGGAAAAGGTCATCGAGGCTGTTACAGAGCCCCACGGTATCGTTATGGTCAGTTGCCACAAGGACTTCCGCAAGAGAATGCAAGAGGCTGGCCTGCGTTACATCCGTGTCTATCCCAGACCAGAGCTCAAGGACGAATGGCTGAATCGTCAGGAGTGTCGTGCAGGAGGCAAGGATATCCTCTGGAACAAAATGAATAAGGATTGGAATGACTGGATGGAAATCCATGGAGGTTTCCAAGGTGAAACATCTCCTGAGGTTATTCTTGGGCGTGACGATCACTTGATTGATCGTTTGACAGAAATCTGCGAGGCAGCGAGGAATCTGTAGACTGTTTGAGCTGAGGAGGTGTTAATCGAGATGGCGCTGATATACCCTCATAACTTTATTGGACAACTGTTGAACTACCAAACATGATATGCATGCGTTCATATGGCTACGCCGTGTATATGAATCTTCCTGGATTCCAACAACAACGGCGTTCATGTTGAAAATGATGCAGCTTAATACTTCTAATATCCATTGCATATGTAGTCAAAGCCGAGGCGCTGGCCGAAAATCAAACAATACTCATTCAATGATTTCCAAGTCAAAGTGATCACGATTTCGCCATGAGATGTCGGGCTTGTGATTGGAAACGAATCGGCTGATAACGGTACTGGTCACTCAGACAAGGGACCAGGACGACTAAGGCTAATTAGGGCAATAGGAACAGGATTTAAGTTGCTAAGTTTACGAATCCAAGAAAGCGAGCCAATGTGCTGACCGTATGTCGGTCGACCTGTCAATTACTCCAGCAGATCACTCTTATGCTGACAATACTCAGGGCCCCATCCTGAGCAATTACCACCCCGATAATACTGTGCCCCCTTGCACTCTTCTAGAGCACACAGCGGAGGGTCTGTGTAATCAAGTCGTTGGTATACCTTGACCATACTTGCATGCAAGTGCCTGCCCTCGGGATCTACGCCACTCATCTCTGTTGAATACAGGCTATCCCAGCTCGTGGAGTAGAAGAAGCACACGAAAGCTATGGGGTTGTTGTCGGAAATCATGGACACCTCGAACATATTGAACATGTTGCATTTGGGATAGGCGCCGTTGATATAGGGATGCTGGTTGACTCTGTTTTTACTGTTGTACTTGGTGAGAGCATTGCACTTCTCAGCACATACTGCGGGATCGTAGCTGGGGCCTTCGCCGTCTGTTGCATAAATTTCGCGATAGACCTCGAGGAAGGTCAGGTAGCCATCTTCAGGCTCAATCATCTGGCTGTGAGGGAAAGTAGATCCTGGTACAGCACTATGAAGAACTTGTCAGCGGACCTGGCTATAATTCACAAGTGCCTTGGTCATTGAAACAAGGTTGACTGTATACTGGGGCAGAGAACTATCCCAGAGAATTGAGACATACTCGCCACGGGGTCCAAAAAAGCCAAGGTCAGTGAGATTGTTGCGTGCGGCTTGCTTTATGTAGCAGTTTGACCCAGCGATGACAACCTTGAAGTCGCATCTGTCTTCGCCCCAATTCAGCGAGATATCCGTATTTATGGATTGACCCCAGAGGACACATTTGATGTTTGTGGTAGACGGAGGGTTCGGACACCCGTTGTAACTTGGACTGATGGTTGGGTCTCGTTCATAGTCTGGAACTCCGCGTCAGCTATCATCGTTAAAGAAGTCGCATCGAGTTTCACCTACAAACATTGAATGCGCTGCAATCTTCAATTTCGTTGCATTCCGACGCACACAGTGCAGGATTGTACTCGTCGAGGTAGTAAAGACCTTGAAAAACCTTTCCATACATGGAGCCATTTAGCGCTTGGCCGACCAGTTTATATCCAAGGGGCGTGCTGGCGATGCGTGCTGTGGCGAAGAGCGTGGTAAAATTCAGAAACTCTTCGGGAGTATCGACCTCGGGTCGAGGGCCAGCCCCAATCCTTTCTGGTGAACAGATGCCATTTGCGTCAGTGCTTTGGTTGTTTAGAGCTTGGTGGAGCGATTCATTGGAGTAGTACAAAGTGTTGGGCAGCTGTTGTGCAAGGTGCAAGTGAGCGAAGGAGAGGAATGAAAAGAGGAGTACGGCACAGCGTGTCAACTGCTTTGTTGCAATGGAGAGTTCCGGCATGATTTGAGTGCGTTGCGAGTGTGACCTGGGTGCTTGGTCAGGGCTTCTAGAAGATGATATTTTCAATGTTGATTGTTATAATTCTCACTGCAAGGAAAGGCAGCACGCAGTTGGAATTTGGGTGGCCTCATGAAAAACACAGGCCGCAAACGTGCTGCGTGGTCATTGCGGAGGAGGGAGCCGCAGGCACTTTCCAATGTTTGTTATGGAAATCCATGTGAATCAGAAATGGTACATGAAGTCAGTCGCTCATGGCGTGTACGTGCCGTGAGATGCGGTTGTCAAAATACGACCTTCGCACAGAAATCGGAAAGAGCTGTTGTCATTGCCAGGTCACCTATCGAGGTGAGTCTGGCTTACAGGAGAAAGCACGCCACAGGCATCTAGAGGATGGCATCGAGACAGTCTCGATACACACTGTCCCGATTACCACCTCATTTGACGTGCGCTTTCCTGCATCGCTTTCTTTTTGTCTTAATCCTACGAAATCCACCTACTTGACAACTCATCCTGGCACGTGGCACGCAAAGAACGCCTCAAGATGTCAATCACTACTATTCCTATGAGCGCTGCCATTGAACAAGACGCAAGAACCTTGTACAACTATCACCGCCTGAATATGCCTATCCTGCAATCCGCAGAAGCCATTTTCACCCTCTGCAGCTTCGACCTGCGTGTTGCGCACCGCGCCGTGGACCTCTGGGGCAAGGGGCAGTATTTGATATTTTCGGGTGGTTACGGCAGGCATACCGTGAATCGTTTCTCCAAGACAGAAGCGGAAGTCTTCGCAGACATTGCATTGATGAGGGGCGTCCCGAAAGACAGGGTAATTATGGAGAAGGAGTCCACAAATACGGGCGAGAATGTCCGTTTCACATACAACTTGCTCAAGACAATGGGACTGAGTCTGAAGAAGCTGCTACTCGTACAGTCATCATACATGGAGAGGAGGACATATTCAACTTTCAGAAAACAGTGGCCCGACGAAGCAGTCCTATTCAGTGTCACATCGCCCCAGCTCGACTTTGACGAATACCCGTGTCAGGCTATCTCGAGGACCTTGTTCGTCACCGCCATGGTTGAGACCCTTCTACGCATCAAGGACTATCCGGAGAGGGGATTCCAAACTTCGCAAGACATTCCGGGTAAGGTATGGAAGGCAGGAAAGAGGTTGATTGCAGCAGGTTACAACGCAGACAGTGACATCTGTTGAAAGGCAGTACGTTTGGCATCAACGGCCATCCATTTTGACTTCAACATGAAACACTCACGTAGCCTCACATGGAAGGAATGAGATCTCTTGGCATGGCCATCCTAAACAAACTTGTTTGTGCAAGGGCAAGTGTAGAATTTATATAAAACGCGTTGATGTGAGCATGAACTGAAATGTGCAATATTCCAAGAGCGTCTAGCTACTCTTTTTTTTTTCTTCATTCTGATACTCAGCCCGGCCCCCCGGATGCATGCAATCATGCTTTGATGTACTGAGTAGGGATACGCCGTGTTATTCGTGCCATTCTGGCCATAGAACTGGTAACATCTCAAATCATCTCTCCATGTGATCAATCTTAGGCAGTTTAGCATCACCATTATTGCTGGTGATCTGACGCAGATCATTCTCCTTGAGTATTCCAGTCTTGGAAATGTGCCTCATTAAGCCCTCGTCGCCCTCACGGTGCTGAGCATGGCCTTTTCCGATAGTGATGAAGGAATCCCTCAACAAGAGCTCATCTATTTCATATGCGAGTTTAGTCTTTGCACATAAAGAAGACTCAAAAAGAGTGTAGTATAACTATTCAAAGGATAGGCCCTCAGGTGTTGTGAAAAGAAAGAGCCAAGGGCCATAAGAATTATAGAAGAAGATGTGTGAATCGTAGCGTTAGCGTTTATAGCGAGCTAATTAGTCTGTTAGGCCTACAGCTATAAGTAGGCCTTAGAGGGATATAGCCTTTAGCTGTTTCCTATAACTAAGTAAATAACTTATACTTAAATAAACACTAACATTTTTAAATGTATATTATATTTAAATATATAACTTAGCTAATATTAATTAGTAGTTATAAGGGTAATTATAGATAGCTAGGTATAGGAAGAGATAGTTTACTGCTTTAGGATTTGTATATTATTTGTATATGTTTTTTATAAAGCAGCTATACTAATATTTGTTTATATTTATAAACTTATATTTATTATAAGTATTTTTTATAAATATTAATAAATTATTATATAATTAAAAGGATTTAAATATAGTAAGTATACTTTTTAATTTAATTATTTTAAGCATTTATTATACTTTAAATTAAATGTTAATTCTTATTAAGCTCTAAATTCCTTGTTTATTTTTATTAATAAGTAAATTTACTATATTTTAGTAATACTATAGTATATAAAAGAAAAGCTATTACTTATATATATTTACTATATACTTAGTAAGTAACTTTAAATATAGCTATATATTATAAATGTAACAGGAATAAAACTAAGGGAGTACTATTAATCCCCTAAAAGTATAAATAAATTTTACAGGCTAATAAGGCAAGCCTAAAAGGATTTACTATATAACAGAAGTAGGTTATATAATAGAGTAAAAGGATAATTAAGATAATTAAAATAACGCTTTACTTTAAATAATTTAAATAATTTAATACTCCTATTACTTTAGGTAAGCAATATTCTAAATAAGCTGCTAAAAGTAATGCTTTTATTGCTTTAGCTAAAGAAATAAACTATATAAATTATGCTTATTATTAGTAAATAGTATTAGTTTAAAATAGCTTTTTAATAATTAATTTAAATATTTACCTAAAATAGCTATAAAGCTTTTAATTTATTATTATTATATATTATTTAAAATATTACTATTTTAAATATTTCTTAAATATAAACCTGCTTATTAAGTTTATTAGCTAAAAACTAGCTATAATTATTATATTTTAACTACTTTTATTTAAATATTTTATATAAACCCTAAGCAATAATTTATATAGTTACTACCTTTACTTTAATATATCTTTTAGCTATATTTAAAAAAACCTTTAATAAAAGCTAAATAATAATAATTTTAAACTTTTATAAGCCTAGTATTTTAAAATAGTTAAAAAAATTAAAAAACTTTATACTTATATTTAGGAATAAGCTAGCTAAAATAATAAAATAGAAAAACTTAAAGCTAAAATTAAAATACTTTAAAGCACTACTAATATTATTAATATTTTAGTTAAACCTAAGGAATTTATTAAACTTACTAACTTAACCTCTTATAATAGTTCCCTAAGATAGTTATAAGCCTACTTTACTTAAGTTAAGGCTTATTAGTACTTTTATAGCTTTAATAATTAGTTTAATAAAAAACAAGTTATATATATAGCCTTTTTTTTAAAAGAATAAGCTCTAATATAGTTTAAACCTTATTTTATAAACTTCCTTAAAAAAAACAAATTTAAATAATATAAATAAAAAACCTAAAACATTTTTAGTAACTTTAAAAACTATAAGCTTACCCTTAAATTACTTTTTTAAAACTTAAATAAAGAATAGCAAATAAAAAGGAAACTTATAAAACTATATTAAAAGGAATTCACTATAACTTATACTACAGAATTCTACTAAATTTATATTAAAATCAACTATACTAATACTATAAAGATCTTTATATTCTATAATAAGTTAAAAAATAAAGTAAAAAATAAACTATTTAAACTAAACTAACTAAACAATTTTATTTAATATATAGAATTAGCTATTTAAATTAATAACTAAATTTATAAGTATAAACTTAAAAAAAAAAGGTAAAACCTAATATATCCTTTTCGCTAGTAAAATAAACTAAGCTCTAAAAAATAGTACTAACTATAAATAATAGCTAGTAAATAGTATTTAAGCTTAATAAAACTTAATGCTATTTAAAAGAAACCTAAAAAGGATATTAAATACTATAATTATAATAAAAAAGAATATTTTATATAAAATTACTAAAATAAGAAAAAGGATAACTAGAAATTAATACTAAAGCAATAATAAGCTAACCTAGCTACTAAAAAACCCATAAAAAATCATACATCTATAAGCTAAACAGCGTGCTATAATAACAACTGCAATATATACCTTTTAAGTAAAAAAGCGTTAAAATAATTCTTAAAAGTACTTAAAAGCTAGAAAACTCTTATAATAGTAAAACAAAAGCTACTTATAATTATAGTTAGTACTAACTAAATAGTACTTTTAAATCTAAAAAACTAAAACCCTTATAAATAGGTAAATAAAACACCCCTTATAATACCTAATACTAGTATTACTTAAATTATAATTCTAAAATAAAATAAAAGTATAATAATATTAGCAATTTATAAAAAACTCTTTATACTACTACTAGCGTGTTTTCCTAATAATAACCTTTAAATATACTATTAGCACCTAAACTATAAAGAAATCTTATAAGCTTTATATATTTTTAATAAGTATAAGATATATTATATAAGTAAAATTAAAAAGGATTTCTTTTTTAAATAACTAAGTATAATAAAAATAGTAAAGCTTTATAAGTAAAAGGAATTATAATATTAAAGTATTTAATAATATTCCCTAAATTAAAAATATATAATTTTTAAACTTTAAATAAACTATTCCCTATATTACCTATAAAACTTTAAATTATAAAGGCATTATTTATAAACTAATTATTAAATATATTTTAAATTAAAACTTTAAAACTAATATTAATATTACTAACCTAATATAGTTTTACTGCTTAATAAAAAAAATATAATATTAAAAAACCTTACTATTATAATATAAGCGCTAAAAGCAGTAAAAAGGCTTATATAAAAAGCTATTTAATAAATTAAAAAGATTTTAATAAAAAACTAAATAATAAAAAATAATTAAAGCTAAATCTAAATAAGCCTTAACTAGCTTTAACTAATATAAAAAGGTTTCTCTATATAATAAATACTAAAAAATATAAATATATAAAAATTATATTATAAATTAAATAATAACCCTTTATAATACTTTTAAATAGTAAAATATAAAAAAACTTTATATTACTAATAATAGTAAATTAATATAAAATACTATAATAATAAAAAATAAAACTTTATATATTTAGTACTATTAATAAATAAAAGGTACTTTATAAAAATAAAATTATTAATATAGAAACTAATTATCTACTAATTATCTTTAATAACTATAAAAAAATTATTTAATTTAATATTATAAATATAGTAAAATATAAAATTATATTAAAAATTTTATAGCTTAAAAAAAGCAACCCTTAAATTAACTAAACTATTAACTAAATTTATTAAAACTAACTAATAAATAGGAAAGTTAAAAATAAAGAAACAAATTCAATTTTTAAAAATAGCTGCAATACTAGCGCTTATATAGATTTATATAGCAAACCTCTTTAAAAATAAAAGAAAAACTTAATTACTAAAGTAAAAACAGCTAACCCTTTAAATAAATTAAATAAATAGTAGTAATACCTTAATCCGCTATAAACTAAAAAAAAAATAAAGTAGCTAGCCTAAATAATATAATAGTAAATATAAAAAATCTAGATAATACTTAAATAAGTATACTATTTACCAGAAATCCTAAAAATTACAGTTATATCCCTAGAAAGAACTTTATAATAAATATAAAAACAATAATATTTAGCATACTATAAAATAATATAGCTGCTATTTAAAAAGTTTATTTATTTTATATAATAATAGAAAAAGATAAATAATTTAAAATAAATTTTAAAAAAGTATTAAAAATACTTAAAGCTATTTTAAGTAATATTTAATATTAAACTATTTAAATATAATTAATAAAACTATAAAATACCTTTAAAGAAAGAAAATCATTTTAAATTTTATAAAATCTATAACCTTAATAAAAAATAGCTTAAAATACTATAAAAATACCTTAATAACAACCTAAAAAAGGAATATATTTAACTATTTATATTACCTATAGGCTACCCTATTCTTTTTATACTTAAAAAAAATAGAAAGCTATACCTTTATATAAACTATTAATAGCTTAATAAAATTATAATTAAAAATCAATACCCCCTTTTATTTATTAAGAAATTATATAATAAACTTTAAAAAGTATAATAATTTATAATATTAAATTTTAAAAGTATTTATAACCTTATTAAAATAAAATATAAAGAAAAATAGAAAACTGCTTTTAAAATAAAGTATAATTACTTTA